CTTCCGAAATTCAGCAGTTTCTTTAAATGTAGTTTTACCTACTACATAAAGCAGAAAGCACTTCCATAGAACAAGCATGGCTGAATAAGTTTGATGACTCCCTGACAGATTATTTCAGAAAATTAAATTTGAGCTCGTTGGACACAGACCATAAAGTTCGTGCTCACAAATCTGTTTGTTACGACATCGTAACGAGATTATGTCCATTTCGCTGTGAGACGTCAGCGTGCCGTCATGATATTGCATGTTTTATTTTATTATTAAACGCCATAAACGTGGGGCCGTCCATCCCTACACTAAATTGTTTAGAAGCATAATTTTAATGCTGATGATATCATTGATAATGGCTTTATGAGAAAACGTGTGTAACAAACGAAAAGTGAAATTTATACGATGAAATGTTTTGTTATTCCGTAACTAGATCTTCAAGTAAAATGGTCTTCAAGTTTCCGACTTAATTTACAGACTTTCACGTTGTTACGTTATCATTGTATAAAGCGAAGGTAGAGGAGGCTCTTTCAACGTATATTGTCGATCACCAGCTGAGCCGTTCGGAAACATTTTGTATGTCATAAATCGGGCGGGCATTATCGAGGGCGTGTCACGTGGACACGCGGCACTCCACGTGCTTCAACTCCCACACTCGAGTCCGACAAAAGGCTTCAATTTACCCACAACTCAGCCGAAGGCATACCACGTGCCCTAAACTCCTCTACCCAAAAACCGCTACAAACTCAGCTATATTATACCCCAAGTCACATGTTCCAAACTAACTGCAAATAGAATACCACTTCCACGAAAGTAACAACGACTCTTTAAGGTTTCGACCAACAAAATTGTAGACGTTAAAATATTTGTTGCTAACTTTTATTACCCCCCGTTATTCCAAATAACAAACGCGCCTATTAATTAAATTTAACTCTGATTGAGCTTTTTATTTTTTCCTTTGAACCTTAAGTGACATTCTTAAATATTAGTTTCTCGTATAGGTATTACGTCCACTCTCATCGCAGATTTTTTCTCAGTTGAAAGGCTTCCTTAAAGGAGCCAGCATTTACAGGGCGTCCCACGGCTACCTCACACGGAGGGAAAGTATATTAAATATTGAAGATAAGATATTTTACTGAAAGAAGACCTCATTTTATTTTTAATAATAACTAGAACTGCATTCACAGTTTTTTTAAAATCGCCTGTTACAACTGGGAATCAAACTCGTGAAATTTCGAAAAAAAAACACAACATATTTTATGATAACCATCGAAAGGGTTAATCATGGGGATTATTTTTTGCTAAATAACATATCATTTTAAATGAAAGAAAAGTAATTAAATCATTTTATTTCAAATTATTTAACACAAACTAATATAAAATCGGATGCGCCTCAAAGTAAGCTAAAATGTTGAGTTTATCATCGTAGACGTTTATCATCCGCTGCTGTGGTTTCTGTAAGCGCATACCAAAACGTCCTAACTTTCTTAAAATATCTACTAACCTTTTTAAACACATATCGAGAAGGTACGTCTCTATCAGGTACCACCGCAAAGCTAATATGTCTTTGTGGTTCATAAAGTAAGCCATTCCATTAAATCCATTTTATTTTGATACGCAATGGTAAGTAAATTAACAAATAAATTGCAAATAAATGAAAATGAAACTCACAAAAAAAAAGAATAGACGCTTGAAAATTTATGTGTTCCATTTTGGAATTATTATTTTTATAAATATCAGCCAATCGCATTGTAACAGTGAGTTCAAAAAGAAATCATACGTACTACAGTTTGTATATCACTTTATTATTTTTATCACGTAATAAGACATTCCTTTCATTTAAAAGGCTATGTTATTTAGCAAAAAATAATCCTCATGATTAACCCTTTCGATGGTTATCATAAAATATGTTGTATTTTTTTTCGAAATCTCACAAATTTGATTCCCAGTTATAGCAGGCGATTTAAAAAAAATCTGTGAATGCATTTCTAGTTATTATTAAAAATAAAATGATGTCTTCTTTCAGAAAAATATCCTATCTTCAATATTTAATATACTTTCCCCCCCGTATGAGGTAGCCGTGGGACGCCCTGTATAAAAACTTACATCTGAACCTTACTACCTGAAATAGAGCATTGCTAGGGTACCGACGATGCTCTTTTGCAGACACTTCACATTATTCTGACATATACGGAAACTGTCAATAAGTCCTTTCATGATCATCGAATAGTTTGCGTGAGCTTGATGAGTAGACAATCGTGTGCAGTACGTGGAAGTACGGGCAACGGCCGTGTGAGAGAGACACGCGTGGGGCCTGTACTTGATGGACACTGTCGGCCAAGTGGACAGCCATTGTATGTCGTATGCCCACGCTGCATGCACCGACAACACATTAATCAGGACTATACTAAAAAGAAACTCACTCTACTGTATCTAAATGGATTTCTCTCGCCCAATTGCACTACACTCATTATTTTGAGCTGACGTAACAACATTAACTTTGAAATGCGGTTGCGAATTTCATCCAAGGCTTGCAATTAACTAGTTGGCTGATATAGTGCGCTTACAACGGCGGGCCATGTTAATATGTCCATAATAAATTTGGAGCGGTTTCCATCCGCCGGCCGACTGTCCCGGGGCTCGGCCCATTAAAAAGGCTGGATGAGTTATTTTGCACGTATCATTTTAGCGCAAGTAGTACTCGCTGTCCAGATGCTGATACCTCCGGCATGCAATTCTGAAATTCATATTGCTGCTTACAAAATAACATAGCATTATCTGTTCATATTTCCCCTGGGTCATCTAATAATTATATTAAAATAAATTATTAACAATAGCTTGGCGGTCGGCAACCACATTGGCTAGTTTTAATTACCGCGGCAGCGATCATATTTTACTGAGTATAATATAATGCACAAATATTAACATACTGCGGCCACATCGCTGGCAGCATGGTATGTCCGTTGTCACTGGCTTGGCATATTGCAGCTTAAACATAGATGTGCGCCAATTTTTATTATCCATACGCAAAACAGCTTAAGCGGATATCAGGCTCAACTAGGTTTCTAATTAAACTACATGCAGGACTAATGACGTCGCTCCGAGTACATGACACACAACACATAAATCCCGTGTAATGAACGCAGTGAGCATTAAATAAGGCCGAGTTAGTCAAATCGCCGACAATGCGATTATTCCATTAGTCGGAATCGGCCGGCAGTAGGACACAAATGCTAAAACACAAGCTTAGGCACGTGTTGTGCTCACCTCGTCGCCTCCGCATGTTAACCCGACTGCCCGCAACTTAGCCCAAATACATACCACCAATGCCACTAGTCTACGCCATCCTTGATTAAAATCTAAATCTGTAAGTAATCAATTCAAGAGCTATTATTAGCTTTACTGCGTTTCTGTTCCTTGACATTCTTTTTTAAATCCTTTATTAAAATGAAAACTTTTGAAGTGAATTTTTTTTTAGGATCATTGAGCACTTTTGGGATGGAGAAAAAGCTCTATACTCGCTTGACCGGTTCAAAATTTTATAAAATTGAGGTTGTTTACTCAGTTAGTAGGAATCAATACTTTGGCTACATAAAACATAAGCGTGATTCTATAAAACTTCAGTAATACTAATATCTTCTGTTTACATAAAACAAGATGACATTGTTAATAAAAAAAAAGTCATTTTCGTCAAACCCCTGTGTTAAATTTCAGTTCATTTCAACAATATCGATAACAAAGGAGTACATAGCCACCAATTATAACTTTTTGAGTTTATTGACCGTGATAACAAATCTGTTTAATCTGTTTACAAACTCGCCACTTGATGTTTTGGTCGAATTTAATTATCTAACCTGATACTTTGTCAATAAAACATTTCAATATAGGTTCATATAATTAACACGTTTCTACAGTGAAAACAGGTTAAAAGAGATGTTTTTATAAATATGCAAGAAAAAATTGTAACTCCCAGTGTAGGTGACTTTTAAATCAATTATTAGTGAAAATCCTTTTCATTAGGGTTTGTAATATGTCTGTTATTGGGTGTCCCAAACGTCCCATACTTTTTAAAAAATATTATTATTTCAGCAATATGTAGTTTTATTATATTCTTTGCTATTTAATAAACCTATAAACTTTAAAACATATAAAAAATTCTGAAATTAGATTAACATTTTCTCTTTGAGTCAAATGTGAATTTTAAATGAAACTGTATAAAAACTGCCAGTTACAAACAAATAAAACAATTTGTCCAACGGGTTTAAAAAACCTTTTTAATACTTTTTGACAGAACTCGACAATTCACACACTTTTTTTCGACAGTTACAAATAGTTCAAATAAAGTGGATAACTTAGGTAGTTATGTACCTCTATTATCTCTCTTTAGAAAACGTTTAAAACAAGGTTTATTAAGAGCAACTGAGCAACTAGTTATAAATATTATACTAGAGCGGCCACCCGCGACTGCTTGCCACGTAACTTTGGTTTTTTGACAATCCCTCAGGAACGTAACATTTTCCCGGGATGAAAACTTTCACTTTTATAATTATAGTAGGAAGGATTTCAATATAGTCAAATTAAGCTATAGAAATTTGTAACATAAATATGTCTATCTGAATAAAGGTATATGTGTACCCTTTATAGTATATGTGTCTGCCAAATTTCATTCATATCAGCCGTTTTTGCGTGACTGATTAACATAAAAACTTTCACTTTTATTATAATAAATTAGTAGGAATGATTTCAATACTATCAAGTTAAGCTATGGTAGTTTTTAACATATCGCTCGAGGCTCTAAATAAAATAGGCTCTAAATTGTAACATATTTTAAAAAATATTAAAGAATATGTCCATGTTTTAATACAGGTAGTGTCTATTTTTTAATACACTTTATGTGTCTGCCAAATTTCATCCATATCAGCCGATTTTTGTTATTTTTTAGGAAGGATTTTAATGTTAAGCTGTGGAAAATTTTAGCATATCGTTAAAAAATATATCTTTTTCTTTTGCAGCATGTCATCGAGACTCATACCTTCGCAGTTGAACCTGCACGAGACGAGGCATGTACTGGCGCGCGCACTCGACGTTTGGGAGCAGGCATCGCGGCTGACCTTCACCGAGGTCAACTCAGACGAGGCAGACATCGTGGTCTCGTTCGCCAGGTACATTTTGACAGAATACTAAATAAGTACTTTAAGCGGTCCCTAATTTAGGTGAAATTAGGGACCGCGAGAAGACAACTCGAGGCGGAAAGAAGATTCTTAAAAGTAACCTATTACGAGCTATTACCACGACAAGACTAATACTGCTGTTTAGATGTTTCCTGGTCATGAGATCTGTAACGATGAAACTCAAATATTATAAGATAATCAGCAAAGGCAAAAGGGCGTTAAAAAGTAAAAAATAAGCGAGCAACCTCTTTACAGTAATCTGACAAAAAATTTAGACAAATAAAACCCAGTAGAAAATGGAGTTCAAGTTTCATTGGTTGATTTATTGCGTTGGTAATAAATAATAATCAAGTAAGGATTTAGAGAAACGTCCTATCCATTTTAAGGGGATTTGCGAGGTCGTGCGAGCTCTGCGTGCCTTTGAAACGGAGGTCGGACACTGAAAAATCCGCGTTGAAATTCAGAAGATACTTCTTTATTCGTTTATATTTATGAAGTGCAATACATTATACATTACGACCTCTATAGCGAGCTTAACGATCACGTCTCGTGTCATATGAACATCGTGCTTTTGTTATCTGCTTTCGAACGTGGATAGTATTTTCCAATAAAATTTACTTCAAATGAGACTGGAAAATTACAAATGGGTTGAAGGATTTACCATAAATATATAGACTAATAACTACATGTCTTTGAAAGACTCATAAAACTTTTAAATAAAATTTTAAGTCGTTAGTTCATGACTCCATGATTAAGCAACACCGACAAAGTAATGCTCAAACTGTAGTACAAACCATTGTTATCTCAAAGTGACGTATACTGACGTAAGTCCATAAATTTAATTATTTACCCAAAGAGAATTGTTTCTTAGATTTAGATAAAAATACCTACCAAATTACACACCAAAGTTCCATTTAATATAGTTGTATAAGCCTGCGCGGCACCTACTATATAAAAATTATTAAATGTATTAGTTACCTGCAATCTGTACAATTCGGCATTCTATTTTATACATTGACTACCTAGGCAATGTATAGAATGGCAAAAACGTGAAGGCAATGTATGACATATTATTCTTTTGCGTATTCTATACGATGCCGATTGCGCAGTCGACACTGTGTGTAAGAAAGAAAAACGCGCCGACTTCTGTTTGTTTTATTTATCTATTATCTTTCAAGTGGCTGGCTAAGTTTAGGTTACAACACTAACTTAACCTAACCCACTGTGAGTTGGTCAAATGTTCATTGGTCTATAATTATATTAAATATTCTTTAGTTATAGTGCCAGTGTAATACTTTTTATACATCCGTGTTTTTGTTCATGTTGAGTTTGCCAGTAATTGTTTTTGCACTATGCTGAAAATTGTTACATATAAGTGTGATTATGTAAGTTAAGGTGTAAAAATGTTGGCAGACCTTTAATAAATAAATAAATAATTAATTCAGCGAAAATTGTAAAATCCGTCCGTTATTTTATATGCAACTGGGTACGCTAAATAAGGTTTGGTTACGATAAATACAAGCTAAATCTGTTTATTTTATACATTCCCGGTATACAGTACCTAGGCAAAGTATAAAATGTAAAATAATATTCATAATATTCCATAGATTTCCTAAACGCCCCAGGCATTATAAACATTGCCTAGTTATTGTATAGAATACCTGCATTATACAGATTGTCGGTGTCATATACACACATACATTAAATAAAATTTGTATGTAATAATATTTTTCATTCTTATACTTTTAAGCAGTTAATGGCTTTAATCTTAATTAAGAAATGGTACATAAGATTGAAACAACAGCGAAGCTCGTCCGTCCCTGCTCACTTTCATTTTGCGGAGACGTGACCGGCCAAATCTACTTATGTGATACCCCAGACACACTACAGCCAGTTGTTGTCCCACAGAACAAGTTGCAGCAAGCTACTGCTTCAGTTACATCATTTCACTTCCTCCGGAATTTAAACTTATAAGATCAGCTTATGTAGTCACATTTTTCTTTTAGTAATTTGTCAACTTAATGTTGTTTTTTTATGTTTATATATAATTCGTGTAATATTATATGACCAGTGTACATCTCCCCGAGATCTAAATTCAAATTAGAAGGTAAATTAACTCTGTTCGGCTAATGCACTGCGGGGCAATTCGTTTTTTCGTATTCATTGCACGTACCGCTCTATCGGTCGGGAAAGCCACTCCATACAATTTCATGTTCAAAATGTCAATTAAGTTTTTTTTATGCAAAATTTCTGTTTAAAAGTATTGGTGCCCAGTAGGTGCCTAATTTGAAATTACAATGATAACAAAACCGAGGACATTATGCTTAGAATGAATCATTTAATGCTTTTACGAAATCAAATCGTATACAGACGAAGAAATGGTATTAAAAAGAAGCTGTCAATTTCAGATTGAAACCACCATAGGTTTTCATAGCGCGAACATAAGGTAGTAATTTGAATCAAAAATAATTCACAGTCAACGTTTTTAGCGATATACAGTTGAATACACAAGAATACTCGTGATAAGTTGAATCGCATGTTTAAAGCAACGATTCGTAAAAAATCTCTTTATTATTTGAATAGACATGTTGTAGAAAACAATTTCAAAACAATATCAGAACAAAAATCGAAATCAAAAATTCCATTTACAAGGTGCCGCGAAAACGTTTCTCTGGACAACATGGCGTCTCACTAGTATTGGACGTTAAACGACTGTCATTGAAACGTCAAACGATATAATGTAATGTCACTTTGACCGGAAAAGAGACCCGGCACTTTTCATAGAAAAAATGCTAAACTTGTATACAGTTGAATTTGGTCTCAAAATAAAGCCAAAATTATTTGCTACATAAAACTACTTTTGCCTTATTTTTAGTGAATCGTGGAAAGAAGTTATATAATGATTAATATTTTTTGATATGGAAACCCTATATCTTCAAGGGACAGAATTTTACTTCAAAATATTACTCAAGTGACTGTAAAAACCATGATTCCTTTTCTTTTTCTAAATAAAAAACCAAATGTCAATTTGACTATCCTAAAATACAAACAAAAAAATCATTCGCATTTCGCATCCGCTCCCGCGTACTGTGATTGTGAATGTTCTCTGCTGTGATTGCCTTTTTATCCGTTATTTCTCTTGACGACCCGGCTACATATAGAGGTTATATCGACAAACCTACGTATTTGACATTGACACCTAGCTGCTGATGACAAATATTGCCAGACTACGTTACCCAATTATGAAACACAGATAAAAAAATTAAAAAAGTATACAACTTTGGCACAAAATGCCGGGTGTCCTTTACTAGCGTTTACCGTAATTTTTGGATGTATTCCGTAATATATACCAGTATACTAGCCAGTGCTAATGACGTCATGAATCGACGCTATACTGGTGAATTGTTCCGAAACATACTGGCCAGTGTACTAAAAATAGTACGAATAAAGAAGATTTTTTATTCACCTCATCATTTGATTCCTTTTATTTAAAAGGAATTCTTTTTGTTATTTATTTTTCTTTAAATAAAAAAGAAATAAAATTCGAATGCATCTCACGCACGCTCGGTCATACGTCATATTCGTTTTCCCGTTAAAAAATATGGTAGCAAACCAGTACAATATGGCGTCGCATTCGTGACGTCATTACCACTGGCCAGTATACTGGTATATATTACGGAATACACCCTTAGTCTTTGCCGATCCAAGGGGTTTTCGGTCACGTGACCAAACAACAAAAAAATCGCTCCTATTTATAATGATTTTTAAAAAATGTTATTAATATTTTGCTCTCTCGGAATTGTAAAATTGTTGCTAATATTCATATTAAATACAAAATACAGATGCCAACAATTGGTAGTTTATTTTTTATACTGTCAAATACATTGATATTATGTTTTACAAAAAAAAACACTAACCTATTATTAACAACTCGTAATTATAATAAACAGTCGCGGGACGCGCGGCTACATCCTAACAAATGACCCGAGTAGCCGACAAGAGTAGAATATTGAATGAGCCAAGGGCAAACTTCTGCTTATTAGATCACCGTAGACGACGATATGAGAAAGCAGCGGCGACAAAAACCCCAAGTGCGGACATACTGCGACTGCCATATCGTGGGCGGCCGTTGCAAACTTGCTGCGAGAACTTCACACACAACAGTGTGCATATTTTTTTCTGTTTTGAAGGAAACATGGCGCTGCCCACAAGTTTTTAGCAGCGCTTCATCATGAAGTTATAGTTATAATATTCGTTAAACTTAATTACCGAAGAAATATATAAAAGTAAAGTTTTTTAATACTTATATAATTAAAAACCAATTATTCACACATGAAAAATAATTTATGACATTAATTAAAAGTTTACTTAAATAAAATAAAGATAGCTGATGACCAAGCCGATTTCTTTGTTACAAAACATATAACTAAAGTGAAAATTAATAAGAACATCGTATCGATAAATCTATCTACCGCTTTAGAATACATACAAATATTCAAAGTTATATCATTTTATTAAAGTATATCCATGCGATGTTGTCACATGATTTTACAGCAGTGGTGAATACGATGTAGCCAACAACATCATAATTCAAAGGTCCATATCAACAGCTAGTTCGATCGGTCGCAGGATTATCCGCTGCACAACTAGAGTCGTCTCCCAGTTTTACCGCACTCATGAACCACAACAATATTATCCGAGTAATAATAAAGTAACACAGCAACTTAACTGTTTGCTCTAACTGCAATGCTACTCCTATAAATGCAATGTCCAACTATAAAGTCGTGAAGATAAAGCGCGACCAATAAAGCAACTCACACAAATTACAATAGTGCTTCAAAATCAAAAGAAATTGATTATTTGGAGAGGTCATAAAAAGGCGGTAAAGGATCTTTTACATCACGTTAAGTTTTTAGATACAGAGCCCAATATTCATATTGCAGTGTGGCCTATTATATTAATTATAATAATCAACAACTACATTCCCAAATACGATACGATTATATGTATTAAGTAGGTACTAGTGTTTGCAACAATTCTTAAAATCAACAGAAAGTAACAAAACAGTTACACCATTATTGTTATCAGACAAGACAAGATATGTCTAAAATGTTTTTTTCGTCAAACTTTTATATATAAAAATGCAGCTTCTGAATTATTGGCCAATTTTAATATTCATAATAAACTAGATGTTCTCTAATAAATTCACATATAGGTACCTCATAAAAACTTAATGACTACCTGAATATGGTGTGATGCAACTATAATTGATTATGCTAGCTTCAGGAACACTAATGCCGCTTCTTCTTCCTAGCAACCCTTGAAGTCATTCAAGCGTCGGCTATCCTGGGCGACGTCTGACTTTCGTCGGAAGAGGAATCGCCCGCAGCCGATGGGAATTCTGAGATGTTGGCTTGCGATCTCATTTCGGCTAGAATACGCTTTGGACTCTTGTTTGGGAGGCTGACTAAAATTTTACCGTCACCAGGCGACTGACCTTCGCACGAAAATGTATCACCAGCGGCCAAGGGGAAGGAAATGGCTTGTAGTTCCGCTTCGGTATCGATGCGCTTTCGGCTCCTGTCTGGGAGACTGATTATTATTTTGCCATCAACAACCAGCAGTTTTTATCCCGAAGTGCTTTCTAGCAGATGTAAAGATGCCATATCGGGGTCGAGTTAAAAATTCTGAGATCGTGATATCAGTGCCATTAAGTGCAGCCTATCCCAGATTAACCATCTATGGCTATAGTCGATTAAGCGCACAAAAACAGACCTGCAACACATCACTCGATATATCCGACAATTTTAGCTTACTTTGGAAGAACTGTTGATCTTGCTCGACCAGATCACTCTTCTCGCTCTCTGGAAAACATGGATATGAAGTATCTTCCATCTCAGGAGCCATCTCATGTCTCATCTCATCTCCGCCATAAGAGATGGTGAGCAGCTCAAGTTGAGACCTTATCAATCAATCAATTTATTTGTTCAAATATGAGTACATAATTTGGTGTTACATAGTTATAATGTCCATTCATATTTTACCCTATATGGGTGTGAAACAAATTCGGTACCGTATATCTACAAAATCCAAAATTGTTACTTATCGGTAATTGTACTTAAAATAGATTAAAACTGTGCTAAAATCAAACACTTAATAAATTGTAAAATTAAATAGATTTTTTTCATATACTTAAGACTTAAAAATAATAATAATCACATATCAATAATTGTACTGAGAATAGAATGAAATTGTGATAAAATCAAACATTTAATAAATTGTCAAATTAAATGGAAATTGTTCATAGGTCACCTAATAATAATTAAAATAATAATATTTAAATAAAAATAAAGTTAATAATGATTAAAACATTAAATTAAAATGAATTCAAATAGAGCTTAAAAGCTATTAAATAATATTAGTAACTATAACCAATAATTCATAGTAATATCCTTATAGACTTCAACGCCTGCCACATAATGGCCTTAAAGTCACGGAACTCACTTGCAAGAGTGTTGAGATCAGGGCAGACAGCAGGAGATCAGGTGGTGGCCTTTTTCAGCTTGTCTTCATATTGAAACAAACGAGATTTAAAAAAGTTTTTCGAGATTTTTCATGTTTTGAAGGAGATTGTGTTCCATTATTGCATTGTAGAAATTCAAATATAGTGAAGCAGATGGTAGAAGTTAAGGATTATTATAACAATAGCTGTGTGGGAGCTCCACAGGTACTTATTCCATTAAATAAACATGTAATTAATATTTATAAAATTAAAATATAATAAATTTAAAATTTCGGATCTAAAAGCAGATGACTATAGTTTTTGACTACCCACGCAGGAAACATAGAAAAATGTGATTAATTTTAGCTTATATCTTTTGATATAATATCTCTCATAAGAAATTAATAAAAGCAACAAATATCAATTTCGAATAAACAAACTACACGTTCTTCGGACCGATCCGTCGGTGGCGGAGGCAAGGATGTTTTACGTGTTTGCGCACCCGCCCATATCAGCTAATGGCAGAACTTTCACATGAAACTCAATAACGCAGCGGTCAGCTAATATTACGTGAAATATGCATGGGCGAGGTCTTTCCTTTGTTTTGTTGGCGCGAAAAATGATTAGGTGGGTAGTGGCCGGACCGCGCCAGGGGACGCAAGTTTGATTGCTCTGCAGCCTCCGTCCACTCCATCAACTGTTGTTTGTTGCGAGATGAATATATTACTTTTGTACAACTACAGCCGTCAATTGTAAAAGCTTGATCTCTGTTCACTTTGTGAGTAATCAGATCTCGATGTCATTGCATCATTTTTCATTCTATTATTCAGTGTAAAAAAAATAATGAAAATTAAAAGACACGACTGTCTTTTTAAAAAAAAAACACTTTAATTTTAGATTATAATGGAATGTTTTATTTGACATAAATAATTGACAAGATTTTGAACTTTATACCCAAACTAACAGTTTGAGTATCCATGTCACCCGGGACTGTGAAAGGATTCAAACGAAACCACACATATGTAAATCGGCTAGGTGTTTAGAAGTTATGGTGGAATAAAGAAACATCATACATACATACCCTGAAAACATAACACTTTTTTGGGAGGCCGTGTAAAAAGGGGATCAAACTTGTAGTAGTCGAAATGTAGAAACCTGGTTTATTATATTAATTTTATTGCTGCAATTGCAAGTTATTATGTCCTTCGAAGGAGCGGGATCCCCTACGATAAGTATTTAGTTAAAGGCAAAAAACACTTGGTATTTCTACATTGTTAGAAAAATAAAACATTTTCATCACTCAGCTGCTAGATTTTTTAATAAAATTAATTATAAACAGAAATAAATAGACCTATTTCATACCAGGCGACTTTTATCTTTCATATTTTTTCGTAAATATTTTTTGTTCCTGATTAACTCTTTAGGATTTTTTTTGTATTCCTTCAGATTTCATTGTACCATACATTTTCACCAACAACTAGTAATTTCCTATGTTTCTTTGACGTTTACAGACGAAACCACGGTGATGCATACCCATTCGACGGGCGCGGCAGTATCCTTGCGCACGCGTTCTTCCCTGGCTCCGGTCGCGGAGGTGACGCACATTTCGATGACGACGAATTATGGCTTCTGCAACCAAAGAACGACGACGAAGAAGGTACGTCTATAAGAAGTATTCGAATGAACAGCTCCTAAAAAAAATGCGCCTAGAAATAGGATTTTAGTCGTGTACCATTGGTCGTACCTACTGCGTTTAGCATTTTTTGTTAAGAACAAAAGGAGACGGTTCAAATCTGTATGTATAATTGTATATAACACTTTTCATATTCTTATTTATTTACCCAGACGAATTATAAGTATAATAAGTTCCATTTTTAATGACATGAATCATTGCAAGGTCTGACAATGGTACATATTTAACAGCTTTTGTATAAGATAATAAAACTTTATATAAACTGATTTCATTAAAACGTGCTTAAACTTAAACTATTTATCGGAATGTATTTTAACTTGAAAAGTTGGTCGGAAATGAGTATGTCGCGGCTAGATGTATGTTTTGACATGCGAATGGCGGGCAGCGTATCAAAACGGAACCAACAAGCAGTCTACCAGTCTGACGTAGTATTTTCGAATAAGTTTATAGGCCGATAAAATGTCGACGTTGCCAGGTATATCAATTTTCTTTCATATATAACGGTTTTTTTTCTAAAAGTTGTAACAAATTAAATATCATAGTACTTAGTATAGTTTCTACGTTTAAGAACGAGCATAACTTAAGTTTTGGCATATTTTCAAAATAGTAATATCGACGATATAGTGGGAGCCAAATATTTAAATAAACAATGTGCAAGTGGATAGGAGATGCAACCGCAGTGCATGAGCACGTTCTCTGCGATTGCAGCGCCCTCCTGCGGCACACGTGATAATTTACACGAACAACGGACGCTCACAATGCCGCGTCGGATTGTATTCGGCTAGCCATGTGTAAATATCTACCTTTATTTAACCCGAACCACACACAAATATGAAACAACTAGATGAGCTACCCGCATACATCGTAGCCACTTTTTTACCTACTCACCTACATAACAAATGAATATGTACCTACTTACTTTAGCCTGTTTAATTAAAAGTATTACGGCGCTGCGTTAAGCGGGAGAAGCGCTGCGACGGGAGACCCGCCTCACGCAGCGCTGCTCTATTAAATAATACTAGCAAACCAGTGAACCAAATGTTCACCAAAACCTGATTTCTCGAAAACCGGAAGTGCTACGTTACTCAAATCCGGTTTGTAGTCTTATCAGACTATTCTTAACTTATAACTTAAATATTCTCTTTATCTATCTCTTACGGTTTGGCCGCTGAAACAGCACCACAGACAGACGGACGGACTTGTCTAATAGATAAGAGATTAAACAAACACGTGGAGCGGACGTCCGCTCCGTGCTCCCGCTTAACTCAGCGCAGGCTCTTAATTAAAGTCATGGTACGGCCAAATTTTGTAGCGTTTCGCTAATATTGTTAAACTTATGCGAATTGTTATTACACCAGGGACATCACTGTTTGCTGTGGCCGCACATGAATTCGGTCATTCGTTGGGTCTCAGTCACAGCTCCGTGAAAGGAGCGCTAATGTTCCCTTGGTACCAAGGCATCCAACCAAATTTCGTGCTACCAGAAGATGATCGTCATGGTATTCAAGATATGTATGGTAAATATTTCTACGCTTATAAAAAAATATTTTAACAAACTTTACAAAGTTGTTTTTATAATTAAAATGTTGCAACATTTCAGGTCCAAAGGTAAAAAAGAAATGGGCAGACAATCCCAACTATCGACCGATACAGACCCCTCCGACTACAACTACAACTACAACAACAACTACAACAACGAGAAGGCCATACATTCACTATCACGACAGGCACCATACCAACCACAGGCACGACTACAACCCTCGCAACCCCGAAAAACCCAATTATTATCCGACCCCCCCTACATACTACCCCATTCCACCTCATCATCCTCGGCCAACTCCAGAAACTACCACTAGGAGTGTTACGAATCGGCCGGCACGTTATCCTAATGTTGGTCACGAGTATCCTAGTCATCCTAGACCAAATTACCCAAACCATAACGTCCCAAAAGCTAAACCCTCCCCTACTGTAAGGCCCACGCCGTCATCCGATATACCGGACACTTGCAACACAAGCTATGATGCCGTAGCTCTTATACGTGGGGAACTATTTATTTTCAAAAACAGAGTAAGTTTATTAAAAAATATTTTTCCGCTTTTAATTTTTTAATAGTTGGTATCTAACAAGATTTTTTTTTGTCATTTTTTGTCAAAATAATGTCACATTGATTTTATTTTCAGTATCACTGGAGGATAGGATCCCAGGGCAGATATCCACAATACCCCATAGAAATATCTAGGATGTGGTCAGGTCTCCCTAAAGATTTAACACACGTTGATGCGGTTTATGAGAGACCTGATAAAAAAATAGCTTTCTTTGTTGGTACGTAGAATTTGACCTAAGGGTCTTAAATCTTTTCTTCATACAACTCTGCCCAATCGTCTACCTCAATCAAGTGTGATCATGAATTTATGTATCGAAACGCCGAATTTATTATCAACTTGTTCTTATACCACCTTAAAATGTCGTTTGAACATTTAATTCATGTCAACACAGATATTATGGTAATGTGATTCTATACATTAATTGAAATATTCTACAGAAATCATAAAAAGACCTGATCGGAAAAAGCTTGAATATAACAAAATTTTATATTGCAAGCTCATCAAAATGCTAATAAAATAACTTAAAGGCCGGGACTCTACCAAAGTAGAGATGTGTGCGGTATACTGTGTGCTGTGCGAGAAGAGATGTTTTTCAGCTCGGGGGACTGCAGCAAAGCGGAGATGTGTGCGGTGTGCTGTGTGCTATGCGAGAAGAGATGTTTTTCAGCTCTGGTGCGAGGCGTTGAGTGCTCAGCCGGGCTCTGCGGGTTGCTGGCGGGCGAGAGGGGGGAGAGTGACACCGCTCACTGAACGCCGCTCACATCTCTCGTCTACACTGCACGTCGTCCGTGCACAGCTCACATCTCCGCTTCCATCGCGCCATACAAATATAACACATCTCCGCACAGCGATCTCCACTGAAGCTGAGCGGAGAGGAGACGTGTCAATAACACAATTCTATTGGTTGTTTAAAAAACATCTCCTCTCCGCTCGTCTCGTCTCCGCTTTGGTGGAGTCCCGGCCAAAGGGTTGGCTAAAAGGCTGTGCTTGGCTCAAATTAGGTGCATGGTGCAACCAAGGCGATTAAATGTCAATGTCTGTAGTTACAAATAATCACGTGATTTATGATACAACTAATCACACTCAACGAAATTAATATAAACCAGTGAGTCCTTTTAAATATAATTTTATATGTTTTTTTGACATAAATTTTACTTCTAGGTACACAATTGGGCAGAAACCGAGGGTCTCCTTTAGAATTAATTCTTAACGTATAACCTTATATAATAATTAATTATTTTTTTTAGGTCGAAAATTATATTTGTTTGACTCACAATATTTAGTGCGTGGATATCCAAAACCTTTAACACATTTAGGTCTACCTGAGAGTTTAGAAAAGATAGATGCTGCTATGGTATGGGGCCACAATGATAAAACCTACTTCTACAGTGGCACCATGTATTGGAAGTAAGTACTTACAGTAGCAGGAATCTAAAAGAAACAAAATCTTAATTCAAGATAAAGATCTATATATTATGTAATATTACATAAGCATGTTTATTAACAATTATAAAAATCTTCCAGGTTCGACGAAGAAGAAGGTCGGGTAGAGTTAGATTATCCTCGTGATATGTCGATGTGGAAAGGTGTCGGCTACAACATTGACAGTGTCTTCCAATGGAGGGATGGTATGTATAGAAGCCTAGACTGTTTATATATAATTAAGGAGTTTGATGTCAATATGATCTATTTCAAGTTTATAGTATTACAAATTCTTGATCTTGATAAGACAGTGATGTCGATTCTGGCATGACTCTCTAAAGCTAAACTTAAATTTGACAACAGTGCATCCCTATCATTCTCTATACAGAATGAAAAGGAGAGACTGATGTTAAATTTAGTTTTAAGTTTAGAGAATAACGCCAGAATCGATACCAGTAGTTTGTTTACAGTGTTAAATTCAATGACCAATTTTTATTTCAATCTCCACACTTTGAAAGACGTGTAAAGCCCACGATAAGTGATTGGTCCCATTCGTTTGGCCCTGGTTTACCCTACCACAAATTTCCTGTACCTACTTACTTATAAGCTTATAATATAACTCATCATTCCCACTCTGAAATTATGTTCTAGAAGACGACTCGTGTTACGTTAATAATGTAATGGTACGACTTTTTGCAGGTAAGACGTACTTTTTTAAGGGGAAAGGCTTTTGGAAGTTCAATGACCTGCATATGCGCGTGGAGCATGAGCGCCAGCTGCCATCGGCCACATTCTGGATGAAGTGTCGAGAAGGGAGACGTGCGCCGTACCACGCCCTCCCCCCTCCAGGCTCCACTCTACGGTCACCCAATGCCGCGTCCTCGTCGACACCGAACCATCTAGCGACTTTCATCTCCACCATCTTACTATTCATAAGCTACGTCAAATTCAGTACAATAGAGTAACGTTCCAAATGACTGCATAGTTTTTAAATATTTGTGCCACTTTAATTGTAACTGTAATCGAATACCTAGTAAAAACTAACGATACCGCATAATTTATTGGATTGAGCGTCGGTATAAACATTTACATATCGGAATATGTCTAAGAGGTTTCTCTTTATGGTTTAATTGAATATTAGCGCAAAGCATGCACTGCCTGTATTATTATATTATAGTAATAATTCCTATGATAGAACAAACTATTGTAATTCAATTTAATAATAAAATAAATTATTCAATGCAATTTTATTATGTTAAAAATTTATGTACATTTTGATCTCATCAAGATCGAGTGCTTGGTTCGTTAATGACAAGTAAGGTATATAACACCAGCCATTATAGCTTTCTGTACAGTTTGTAATGTCCGTCGATGTCACTAATTATTAAAAACTTACCATTATGACTATTATTATATATTATGCTATTTTATTATTTATCACCTATGCTGAAATTATATTTAAATATAAGAATGTATATTAAGTCAGAAGTACATTCTAAAATATTATTTTTAATAAAAATATATGCACACAAGAATGCCTTAATAGAGAATGGATAATCACAAAATTTCTTGTAAATTAAGCACTTATCTAGCAATTTTTAATATTTATTATTACCTGTAACTCTATTTAAATGACACTACACTATGTAGTTTTAAGTTAAAATCTCTTATGCTGGTTAAAAGAGGTACACATTTATAATATGTAATATAATAAAAATTGTTGTAGGTAGAAACATAAAATTCCATTATATGATAAAAATTAAACAAATAAAATAATGTACTTGTAGGTACGACAAGTCCCCAAGTTTGTAAGTTTGATAATTGTTATTACCTACATGAAAAGATCCCTTTTTCTTTTAATTAATTTAATTATGAAAATCACATCAGTGCTATCTATTCAATCCTAGTGTCGCAGCTCTATGGCCGTATACAGAAAGAAAGCTGGAAGCCAACCAGCGCTTATCAGCGCTGGTCCTTACTGGTAACAGTTACATAAAGGAAGCAGATTGAAGCGTGGTTTTTCATTAGGCCGTATACAGAAAGAAAGCTGGAAGCTGACCAGTGCTTATCAGCGCTGGTCCTTACTGATAACAGTTACATAAAGGAAGCAGATTGAAATCCTAGTTGTTCATTAATTTCAAAGAGCGGTGCCAGCGCTGACCGGCGCGTGTCGGCACTTGTCGGCGACTTTCGGCGCTTACCGGTGCTGGTCCAAAGAAATGCCTGCGCCGGTTACTGGTAAGGACAAGCGCTGGTCGGCTTCCAGCTTTCTTTCTGTATACGGCCTTAATTTCAAAGGGCGGTGCCAACGCTGACCAGCGCGTGTCGGTAATTGTCGGACCATGTCGGCGACGTTCGGCGCTTATCGGCGCTGGTCCATAGAAATGACTGTGCAGGTTACCTGCGCAGACCGGTTCCTATAAGCGCTGATAGGCTACCAGTACGGCCTATTGTATGAAATGAAGAGTTTATTTACATATATAATACATAATAAATCCATGCTTTAAAACCTCTATAAAAAATCTGAAACAGCTTATTGCCAACATTAAAACGACCAATGTCCTAATAACAATAATAACCATTATGTCATCCAAACATATAAATGCTGTACTAAATTTAATAAAAACACTTCTTCACATTTTCGATCATATCATCATCATCAGTCAGCCACAATTTTTAGTGCTCGATGCGTGGTATCTGTATGGATTTCAAAAGCACCGGCCAAGCGCAAGTCGGATTCGCATACAAATGGTTCAACACCTTTATCTATACAACATTAGACACTATTTTATAATATCTATCAAAAAACGACTAAATTATCACATCTATTGAGTTGTTTTTTAAAGTGAATATACTACTAAATATTCTGTGGTTATTTCAAGTGTCTACCTGTTACTGTTATCAATATAGAGCAATTAAACGGCAAAAAAAACACATTTGTGGTTTGGGGGACTATTTTAGTACTTATTTGTTGTTATAGCGGCAACAGAAATACATCATCTGTGAAAATTTCAAATGTCTAGCAATCACGGTTCATGATACACTGCCTGGTGACAGACAGACGGACAGTGGAGTTTTAGTAATAAGGTCCCGTTTTTAGCCTTTGGGAACAGGACACTAAATAGAACATTGTCACTCACCTGAAAATTCATAAAAAGTTTAGTATCATGAATTTTAAGTTCTTAGAACGGCCCTGTGGTTTCAGAATCTTTTAAGGAGGATTCGTATCATGGGTATGGTATACTATTTTCATGTGATGAACCCACATTTGTGTTTTAATACCCCTCATTATACAAGACTTGCATATATAACTATTTATTTTGTGATCCGTCGCCAACTGACTCTACCCATTACCTACCCGTAGATTAAACCGTAACTAGAATAGTCAAAGAACATACCTAAGAAGATTGCCTTAATACTGTATTTGAATGTAAGCTACCTACATATTCGTTTTATTAAAGAAACGTTTTGTTGCACTGCCAGAGTATATTTGGGTGAATAAAATGGATATGTAGAATGAATATGGTGCTTATTATAGTTAGTCTTTGTACAGAATAAATTGTCCGCGTGTATTTTTGTATGTAACTATTGTGTGTCAAAAGAAGAAATCGTTTGTATAATGTATGTACTCTTTCAAACGTTATTTCTTAGCTGGAAAGGACCCAAAATTATGTACTACTTACTACAAGAACGGTTTAACCTAGCTTGTTTATTTTGTAAGAACCATCGCACGATAAAATCTCTTTTTTGACAAAAGAATTTGTGTGGTAATGAAAACAGTAATAATATGATATGTAAACAGTGTAACATTTTTGTATGAAATTACTCTTTTGTTGCTTAACACCTAAAATTATCATCTCCAGACGGTTGAACACAAATTTTGTTAAGTGAAATTTATAGCTAAACGACTTAGATTTTGACTTTCTCAATATTTTTGCGTTATACATAGATAATTTGATAGGTATTTGTTTTTTATTTTTTAAGCATTTAACTGCTAGATGTTTAAATCTAAAGAAAAAAGCTGCCTGGTCTGCGTGTTTTTATCTAGTAAACTTTTCTTTCAATTTGATATTTACAAATAAGTTCCCTTTGTACTTTGATACCTAACTTGTATGTTAAAGTTTTTAATTTAAATTACAGGTTCAGAGATAATTTGAAGTTAGTATTTATGCTTTCATAACTCTGATAAATAAGTTATTTACTATAGTATTTATGTTTAAAGACTCTGGTGCAATCTTAATAAAAGTTTATTAAATTATAGAAATGATCTGCCAACCATTTTGTAAAAAGGATTGCGTAAGATATAAATGATTTGGTGAATCACAAATTGAAATGAGATGACTTGTTTGTCTGTTGCGTTCTTAATAATAAAAGTATACCTTGCTATCAAGTCGCTCATTATCTAGAATAAGTTAGAAAAATACATTACCTAGCTTTTTTACAACTTCTTCGGTCACAAATAATTTAATAATAACTGTGATATTTACTTTTATAAAATTGCCATATTTCATGGCAATAAAAAAATAAAATAAAAATTATAATATTCTAAAATAATTACTCAATTTGTAGTTACAAATAAACAGTTTAAGGCGTAATATAATTTTTTAATAAGATGAAATAAAGATTTTTATAAACAAACGACTGTTTTTACTATTTCCATCAATGACCTATCTACAGATACATAGATTCCCTTAGAATAAATATTCAATTGCAATAAGAACAAGTAGGTATCTTGATAAGGTACTTTTTTTTATTGAATGTAGGTCCATACCAGTTCAACAATATACCTGATCTATTGAAGCAGGACAGGTATATAGGCATATATGTTGAGAGCAACCAAGATCAAACAAAATCATTACTTTTCAAATTAGCTGCCGTAGATTTTAATAAATTCTTAGGAATCGGATTATTCAATTTTGATTTTATTTTTCTCTACTTATACCCATCCATCACTAAGCTCTATAGGAGAGTTTAGGGTCACGGTGACCTACCTCCAAGGGATGGAACACTTCCAGGTAGGTCACACGTCACAGGTCTTACCCTTCCTAACAGTGTGTACATTAACGGGCTGATGATGATAATAAATTAGTTCCTGAGACAGGATTTGAATTTCTAAAACAGCTTTCCTTCAATTACTTCTGTTTATGACTCGATCATCAAGGTGGATAGCACTGCTGGCTAATGCTGTTTCCGACTTACTGTGTCTCTATTCCTACGCGAACAGCAATTTGGTGACTCATTTCTTTGTCGCACTACCTTTCCGCCAAATGGAATGATTTGCTACGGATCCTTTAAAACTAGCGTGAAGAAGCAATACTCACTATGCCGGCCTAGTGAGTATGGCTGGTGCGGCAGGTACAATTACTGTACCAGCTATCTTCGCATCTGGACTCCACCGTCACTTTACATCAGGTGTGGTCACAGAACATTTCCATTCGGAAATGTGTTCCATAGTCTGGTTAAGTTCAATAGCAAGATTCTCCCGTTTCTCTTTGCTGTCCGCCGGTCCATCCGCTGCGTGTCCTTAATCGTCTGCATAGCAATGTATATTTCTTATAGAAATTTAATTATTGATATGCAGCAAAAAGAGTATCCTATCCCTCCATAGGACGGAGCCCTGAGGAACACCTGCAGTCACCAAAATGAACCTCTAACTACTACCTATAGGAAGTCTGTTACCCAGGAACAGAACTGAACAGGCAGACCGTTTGTTGGAAACTTGGAGAGAAGGCATTTTTGCCAGACCCTGTGAAAAGCCTTGGCAACTAATTCTACGTCACAACCATTTCCGCCAGACGTTTTCGGACCGTTCAATAATTATTTATGTGCAGAAAGAAATGTTATTAAAAAAATAGCTGACCCAGCGACCTTCTTATCGCCATAAAAATGTGGGTGGCAGAAGGATGAAAATTTTGGGTTGTATGTATTTTTAGTACTACATTATAAAAAAAATTAGGTGAACATTTATTATTTCTGAGACAAAGATTTAATGGTGGTGTGGATTCTGGCATGGTTCTCTAGACCTGAACTTTGGTTTTGCAGCGGTGTATCCTTGTCATTCTCTATACAGAGTGAAGGGGGGGCACTGATGTTGGGTTTGGTTTTGGGTTTGGAGGGTAGTGGCAGAGTCGACACTAGTGTTTAGGTAACCACATGCATGTGTCCTACAGTTGTGTTTATAGTTTTTTATAGTAATGTACACTGGTACTTAATTATTTTTTTCCCCCTATTTTGCTATCTAGTATCCATATGTGGTTATGGGTAGTCATACTCTCTTAAAAATCTCTTCGGCGGTGTCGTGTGAGGCGGGTCGTTACGTTCCCTAAAAAATGGTTGAGCGAAGCGATTGCTGGTTCATGCGTCATGCTCGTGAACGGGTGCTGCCAGCGGAGATGAGTCTGCTCTTGCTACATTGGGTACTATTAATCGTTGTATTTAACTTTAATGGTACATTTGTTTTTATGCCTAAACCGTGGGACACGGCATTCCTAAACTTTTTTATATTTTTTATTTTATAGTCATAATTGTTTTATCATTTACATTTGTAATGGAAAGTGACTTCATGGGTTATCTCATATTGAACTCATTTTTCAAATTGACGACTCTGTATATAATACAGGGAGAAAAAAACAGCCCTTGCTGAGTTTCTTGCCGGTTCTTCTCAGTACAAGGTCTCCCGCCGTAGATTTGCGAACCGATGGCGTAGCTTTTCGACATTCACAAGTGCTTGTAACAGCCTAGACTGAATAAACGATATTGAATTTTGATTTTTTTTTTGAATTTTTTGAAAAAATAGAAAAATAATTTTTGTCCAAGAAATAAATAGGGGTGGACAACCCTTACCACTTAGGGGTATGATAAATAGAAAGAAGCTGATTCTCAGACCTACTGAATATGCATATAAAATTTCATTAAAATTGGTCAAGCCGTTTCGGAGATGTATGCATTGTAATAACACGGGAAGAAACAATTCAAAAGTAATAGGGCTTAAATAATAAAATGATTCCTATTTGAATTAGTTATTACAGGTATATTCCCTATTCAACTAAACTGTAACTGAAGACAAAGTTAATATTTCTGCCACTTTCATCTACATTCTTGAAGCACCAAATGGACAATTGTACAATATTTACTACAGAAAAACTATCCAACACTCTTTTTATTAAATTTTTGTTCCAAAAAAATAAATCTGGGGTCATCATTTACCCAAATTCTATTGTAATTTTCTTAATGTCTTGGACAAGGGCTCTCATTTGTTTAAGGGTTAAGTTGCCTATCAGTATTTAAAAATAATTTAAGTAGTTATTTAAATTAATTTTATTAAAATTAGCAAACTAACAAAAACAAATTGTTACTTTGGATGCCTTATCAAGAATTCATTTTATTTTCCACTGAAACTAATACAACTTAAGCATTTTTCACTGCTAGATGTCTAAATCTAAAAAAAATGTAGAAAAAACGGTACTAAATTCCATTAGTTGTGATGGAATTTCGGGGTAGTTTTGATGTGGGAGGGGGGGAGGGGGGTCTCCCTGACTCCCCTGCTGCCTGACTGCGTAAACTAAAGATTTTAGACGGAACTACATGTTTTTTTATTAATTAACCTAACCTAAAAATTCATAATTTTTTTAGGATGCAAGGAATAGGGAAATAAGAACCAGTACTTCTGCCTTATCTCCAGGGCTGTGGGAATAGCCGCCCCTCCGCCTTTGCATGATAAAGTCACAAGCATCGTGCGACCCGTAGCGACTGAGGCTGGTCACCGCCGGAGGTGGCGACCCACACAAAAAAACCCATCTTGACTGCTGCCTGGAAATGGGTGGAATTATTTTCTAATGTAACAGTTTTGCAATAAAGAATTATTTTATTCTATTCTATATTAGTAACATTTTCTTTACATGAAGAAGTGATTATTACAATGTCACCAGGTAAATAATCCTTGGTTTTGGTCTGGGATATCCTGAAAATGCTAAATGCTGCTCTTGTGTAAGTGCTAATAAGAATTTTGAACTTAGAATGATAACGGAGAATGCTAGGTATTCCAATTCTTTATATTGAAAGAAAACTTAACAACAATCACAACTTGAAAAACTCATAAAATCATTGTTTTTCTTCCATTTGGTTATTACTGGAATTCTGTTCAAATCCCAATTTAGACCAGTCTTCTTTCGCCATTAGATTATGTTCCATTCTACACGCTAAGTATTCTTTCGCTTCAGCTCTGCACAAAGAGTTGTTACTATTATTATTAAATAAGCATTTCATGTATTTTGTCATAGTCTTCTTGCACAAACCTTCATGATCCAAGGGAAAACTGCCTTTATCAGGTGGTGTAGGGATGAATTGTTTTTGTCCAAAGGTCATAGTCGACATTTTGGACAAGTTTTGTTTTTATACAGCTTCAAAGAAAATGGTTTTAATTCCCTACCAAGATTCTATTTTTTTTCGTTATTTATTAATTGACTTGTTTATTACCAATTCTCAATTTTCCTTGGTTTATCAGTTCTCAGTAAATTCAAAATGAAAAGAATGAAATGCATTACAGCTGACACAGCTGTCATATCCAGTGCTGTCACATTACAATTGTCAATTTTAGAAAAATGGTAGAATAGGATGCAAAAATTGGTAGAATTTGAAATGAAAAATACTTAGACCATTAAATGGTCTAAGGAAAAATAGGTAGATCTACCTACTACCCAGGTCAGTACGTTTTAAATGATTAAAAATGCGTAAACTAGTGATAAAAATTATTTGTAGCCGTCCATCACAGATGAACTAAGCAAGGTCCTAAATCTATATTGACCTATCTTTTCTTACACTTTTTTATATTTCATAATTGCATGATAAAATGTACTCACTTTAAAGAAATTGTTAAGCCAAGTTTGGTTTTGGGGAACCCATTTTAGGTATGTTCATAAAAGGCATTCGTTCCGGGAATTTCTTTGAGATTTACTAATTGTAGGGAAGGGGGGTGCCAATCGTAAGTGGCCCAGGCGCCAGATTTTAATATTATTCTGAGAAAATACGCCCTGTCTGCCCCCAAAAAATATTTACTATATTATATGGCTGAGCTGCGTTCTAAACCTACGCTCCGGATTGAACTTTTCTCTCTGACGTTTCAATTTTGATATAAAATGTATGAACTTTTTTTAAAATTTGACATTTGTTGGACCTGGTGCGTAGATTTAAAAAGCAGCCCTGAGTACAACAGACTCACAAAGTGTGAAAGTGAAAGTTTCGTTACACGCGTTGAGAATTGCTTAAGATCGTCAAATTTTTAAACTAGGTAGATTCGAGGCTGAGGTTGGTAGATAGGTAGAACGGAGGCAAAATAGGTAGATCTACCGACAGATTACTTGGATTTCTTCAGTGGTTAATTACTTTTTGGATTACTTGCTCAGTGAATCTGCCAATATGACCGTGACAGATTCTGTCACTTATGGCAGGAGTGCGTTCAAACCTAGACTCCTTTATTAATAAACAACGAATAAGCTTAAACTAGTAACGCCGTGTTTTGTTCATGTCATTTTCTCTAAATAGCTAACAAAAATATACAGAATTAAGAAATAAATAATAAGATTTAATTAGTTACTCCATGTCTTGTCTGTGTTCGTCAAATGACAAATGCCATTAGAGTAACACTCTTTCGAGCGGGACATTATTGAGATGTATTGCTGGCACATTCTCTGGGCATCTAGCACCACCAGCCTTGAAAACCCATGAACTGACTTTTATTTATTTATTTTAGTTCTCGTGGTAGACCTATCTTGTCCAACTTGCTCCATAAAACCTCGTTCGCCATCAGTTCAAAAGTCCGGGATAAATCCAGGAAACAAGCATATACTGGAGTCCTACGATTCGTATAATACCTGACGCTGTGCTTTAGACTCAATATTGCACTCTCAGTGGACAATTTGGATCTAAATCCAAACTGATTGTCGTGCAAGTGAATGTGTTCATTTAACTTTTCATTGAGCACAGCGTCATATATTTTTGCTATGATCGTAGCTAGGGAAATTGGCCTATAGTTACTTTTATCAGCAATGTCACCGGTTTTATTACTCACTATAGGTACTACCACTATCTTCATAACGTCTGACGGTAAATAAGAGTGACACACACACAGCGAATAAAACATTGCGAGTACACTATAAGCGTGTGGGCCTGGCATGCCGTAAGTGCTGGACGCTGAGACCATGGTCATGGTTTTTACAACAGTAGCTAATTCTTTCGCTGAGACTTGTATACCCACAGCCCCATCCCCATTTAGTATTTCAGCATCGAACACCCGACCCACCAGCCCCAAGGGAGATTGATTAGTAAAATGAGACCTAAAGGCACCAGCGATCTCCTTATGATCACACTCACCATCAACGACCCTATGGTCGTCCTATGACGGCTCGGTTTTAAGTTGTCCCTTTTTATACATCTCCAGAAACTCTGAAAATCTCCACTCGAATGTTTTTCAGCAAGGGCGTCCATTCGTAAATGGTCCTGGTGATTTTAGCACCATTTCAAGCGTGATATAAAGATCCTCCTGCTTTCAGACATATCATTGAAAATCATACCCGAACGCGGCTTACCGCACCTTAACCATTCAAAATATTTTGAACGTGCCGTCCTATGAGCCTCGGCGACGCACTTGTTCCACCCTACCATACCTGACCCACTCCAACCACCACCAGCGTCAGAAAGGGCAGGCCCAATGTCAGAGTAAACTCTGTCAAGTATATGTACTTATGACTTTCATTAATACAATAGGAGTTAGCACGGTCAATAAAATTCTGACTGTGCTAACTTCATGATTTAAGAAGTTAATAATTTTATTATGTGTGATAACTTAGAAAATACTCAGTGATTCAAGCTTTCGGCAAAGATCAATCCCATTCGTCCAACGAGTGCTACGCTAGCGCACACCTGATCCAAAATGATAAAAAAAACAGAAATACCTACGTTTGGTGTTCGATAGCGCAAGTGGTGAGCGCGTTCGGCCTGCGATCGTGGAGGTCAAGCAACTTTCGCAATTGTCATTGGATGGGTGATAAAAAACTTATTATCTTGAACTCCTCCGTGCTTCGGAAGGCACGTCAAGCCGTTGTTTCCGGCTGCACCTGCAGTAGTGAGCACCCAACAACCCGCACTGGACCCTCGAGGTGGGTCATGACCTAATATCCGTATTCCATTAATAGGGAAGGTGTCGCGACGGCAACACCAGTCGCGATGTTTGAGGTGGCAACACATATCAATTGCCGCTATAACTAATGTCAATGTCAAGTAAGCCGCTCTTTTTTCTTTTCTTGTTGGTTGTGCTATTTTAACTAATATACTGTGATTACCTTGTACTATTATTTAATAACTGTTATGTGCCATAAAAATGTGCCTACCTGATGCGTGCCTGTCTACGAGCTCGAGAACCAACGGAATATAACGAAAGCTAAGTAGTAGAATAGTTCACATAAATAATAGCCTGTTTGCATCTCATGAAAAGTTTGTAAGTGTAAAAATAAGCGCTTGCCTGGGCTCTTGATATTAGCCTATGTACCTGTGTTTACCGGCACGGTAAAAAGATACTCTTTCACACCGGCGTAAGGGCGTGAAACGCCTGTGGCATTGACATAATCATAACAATATAAAAAGAGGTAAAAAGATACTCTCTCACACCGGCGCGGCGTAAGGGCGTGAACCGCCTGTGGCATTGACATAATCATAACAATATAAAAATATGAGGGCTTGTGCAGGAGGCAAGTCCTAGGGTACCCTACCGAAAGACCACAAGAGAGAGTGTTATGGCATGCGCAGCGCTATGTCTGAACGGAGCTGGAATAGTGGCTGAGCCAGATGGGAGACGTTCCATAGTATTGCCATAAGAAGTGGGCGACGCGACTCTTGCATGTGGGCGCACACATGCAGGGGTTGCGTGGGGAGCAGGCGACGGCTTTGGCTCTCATGCTCATACCGCTCTGCAGGAGCGTAGGACACATGGCATAAAGTCATGTTAGGAAATCTCCGCATCGTTTAGACAGCTAAAGTAGATTGTTGAGTTAACATGGGTAATTGACGTATAGATGATCTTGATACTCATTTATGACAATATTTATGTGTTCTATGAATCCTGGAATCATACCATGGTGATGGTGTGACTCCAGGACTTAGTGGCACCACGCAGTGGTGTCATAATTTTATTTATACTTACAGATGGAGTAAGAAAGTGATGAGAGGCATGGACGGACATTCGCTGGTGCTTGAAGGTACATACAATATAATCTGTGGTAAGTAATCACCATTCGTCTCTCGATTCTCCCTTTGTCACGTGTCTATCGTCAAAATCTCGCGATCCACGGTGGATATGTTTGTATCACGGATATGGGCTGCATTGGCAGCCCCGCCCCCAAGAGGGTCGCGACAGAAGGCTTGTTACGAGTTACGCGTTATGTTCTTCTTCCCCCCTCTCTTATTCTGTCTCCTCGCGGGGGATCCTCCAAGCGCATTTGGCGGCACGGGCTGAACCGCATCCGCTTAATGGTGCTCGTGTGCAAGAGGGGGTCTCCTTCCAATCTCAGGAAAGAAACGGCGCATGAGGTCGGACTGGAACCTGGCGAACTCTCTCTCCATATTAATGGAGATCTGGCTCCAGTCCGACTTCACCGGCTCCACTTGGGGCGCCTGTGTTGTTATTAGGGGGGTGGGCCCTTTCGCCTGCGCGCCCCCTGACGCCTTTCCTTTATATTTATTAGGCACCGGATCTGTCGAGGGAGTCGTGCTCTCCCGGGACGACCCCGGCGCGTTATGACTGATCCAGTAGAGGCCCTCTTTCAGGGCCTCGTTCTCCTTCCTGAGGCTCCCCACCTCATTGGCCAGCTCCGTAAGGCGGGCGGTGAGCTGCTCCACCGAGGAGAGAAATTGAACGTTCTCCCTGTCCCGCTTTGGTCGTAGCGCTTTAACGACCTCTGCCCGGGAGTTTCTGGCCCTATCCACGGTCTTCTCGTCATCGGACAGGCAGGCAAACATCTCTGTCCCGATATCAGCGGTGGAGGCCTCCTCCTCCGCGGCATTTTGGGAGGGGACTTCCCGCTCTGAGTCCCCGTCACGACCCGCCCGTTTGCCCTTCTTCCCTCTTCCATGGAGTGGACGCTGGGATTTGCGCTTGCACGCCCGCGGCGTCTCACTGTCCGTAGTTGCGACGGACATGCAACTGTCGCTGTGATCCGCAGCCTGGGCCCTTGAAGTCATTTTGGGGGGCGGCGAGCCTGGTCGTGGAAACAACGGCACTAATGGCTCCCAGTCCTTTCCGTGTATGGAGGAGGTAGATCCCTTTAAATGGAATCGTGATCTCCCATCCTCTCGGTCGGTCCGGTTTCTGTATCGGACCCGTCTTCTCCTTGCGGGGTCATCAGTGGCAGTCGAGCTTGCCGCCGGAACACCCGCCATCGCGGGATCATCAGCAGCAGTCGAAATTGCCGCCGGAGCATCCGCCATCGCAGGATCATCGCCTGCGCCTAATGGCGCAGCCGGAACATCCGCATTTCCACCACTCGCCTCGGTTACATGGTCCACCGCCGACCCGGACATCGACGGTAACCCGCTCTCAACGGGATCGCATTGTTGGAGGGCGGCATTCGGTAGGCACGGCACCAGATACTCCTGGCTGCCCGCAGCCGCCTTGCGCGGTCCTACGGGGGGATTGAAACCCCCTGCTGTGATTTGTTTTCTTGACCGAATTCCATGTTTGCTATTTGGGGATAGCTCCCTGGGTGGCCTCTCGCGACTGGAACCCCTCCAGCCACTCATCCCATCGGCACGGCCAGACCTTAGGATTGGGGTAATTTTTTATTGTGGTTGTCTTCCACTCGGTCCGACGCTCATTGCGCCGGTCCCCCGGCCCGCTCAATGCGGGTAACGGTGTTTTGTGGCCACCCGAGGTGGCCCGCCGGATTGGACCCGGCCATCCCACGCCCTGAAAAGCTAACTAACGCATACAGGCGCGACGCGCCATGGCGAAAAATCGCCTCTGCTCTGCCACGCTGGTGGCCGCCGGGTTGAAACCGGCCATTCTCCGACCCATCGGGTCCGACGGCAACTAATCTCACCTTCTCTTCAAAAAGAGGAGGGGATTTCGCCCTTCGCCGCACGAGCAGTGACCACTTAAAGCGGTCCGCCAAGTAGCACTCGGCCATCCACCGCTCCCCTCCATGGGGGTCTCTGTCAGACTATTAGCCTCCAGTGAGCATGGATTCCGCTCAAGCCGACGTTGCCCAGGGTGCACCGCGAGGAGGTTGTCCGACCTAGCACCCCAGACTAACTCAATCCCTGTATTTGTGTTAGTGTGTGTGTGTGTGTGTGTAGTTGGGTGTTTTAGTATTGCCGTGCTTTTCAACCTTTAATGTTTGGTCTGCTCTTATATATTCTAAGTCTATGTTATTAACAAAACTATGCCACAGATGGTGTATACACAAAAGAATACGAAAGAAAAATCAATACAAGAAAAAATACTACAAAAGCTGTATGAGCATAATATCCTTAGCCTTCCCAGAATGGATAAATAATTAAAACAGTATTTTGACACTGCTGCAGTGTTGCCAGATCAGGGGATTTCCCCCTAGATTTAGGGGTATTTCGTCGGGCTCAGGGGAGAAACAGGGGGAAAAATTTTTTAGGGGTTTTTCAAAAAAACGCGAATTATTTTTGAGAAAGTTATTCTTTTCGATAATTTGAAAGAATAAAGTCATTTGCATAACGAACCGAACGAATCGTCAGGTATTAAGAAGTCGGGTGGTCGCGGTCGCGGGTTAAACTTGATTGAATCACTTGACTGCTGCGCCACGGAGATATGATGAACAAATATTGGCAGAGGGAACCCCCTGTCAATATTGAAACTGTTTTTGTCCACGCGTTTTATCCACAAACCCTAACCTATATTACGAGTAACCTTTTCTAACCGCAATAACCTCAAAACCTCATTCTTTTGTACAGTTTTTAACACACTAATCAGTTATTAGTTTTTTATACACCCAGAGCTCATTATAATAACATGCATTTGTCACTCACTGCATCTCGCCGCGGAACAAGCCTGCAAGACGTTGCCAAGGCATATGGATTTTTTGGTACGGGAAACCCACCTTTGGTTCACCCATAGTACCAAAAGACAAATTGCATATGCAAAAATTTATCAAACGCTTTCAGATAAATTGCCAAAAAAAATTGTTAAAATGTCCGATACGCGTTGGTTAGTTCGACTTCAGGCTGTTGAAATAATATTGGAGCAATGGGATGCGTTGAAACTTCATTTCCAAATCACTGAAAGTAACGACGAGCGCTGTTATATAGCGTCTCAATTGCACGCAATGTACGCCACACCCGAAAACAAGTTATTTCTAACATTTCTCGCCAATAGCCTGAAAGGTGTTGTAGGACTGAATAAGTTGTTTCAGTCTCAGAACGTTGATCCCGTCAAACTTTTCGAAGACCTTAACAATCTGATGTACAGTCACCTGCAAACCATCGTTGTACCATCTCAACTTCAGAAAGTATCGCGCTATGAACTCGGGACCTTTGATTTTCTTCAACACTTAATGAGCTTGCAATGTGTAAATTTCGGATACGATTTCAACAGTCTTGCTTCGAGCATCAAGCCTGAAACGCTGGTCAATATTAAAGAAAGATGCAGGAATTTTTTAATCACATTGTGCCAACAATTGCAAAAAAGATTGCCCGAGAATATAAAAATTCTCGAAAAACTGTCGACTTTTTCGCCGAACGTAGCTTCATCTCAAGTTAAAGTCGATATCACTGAGATAGCAACCAAGCTTAAAGCCAGTGTGTGCACTGACATCGACAGTACTGTGAAGGAATGGAATCTTCTTCACACTGCCAAAGTTTTGAACCTCCAAAATACCGAAGATTATTGGGCCGAGATTTTCGACATTAAAAATGCTGGCGGACAAAACGGTTCGGTAATATTGCGCAGCTCGTACTTGCTCTGTTGTGCTTACCGTTTTCGAACGCTTCGGTCGAACGAGCTTTTTCAATATTGTTAAAGACAAACTGCGCAACAGAATGTCAATTGCAATTGTAGAGGCAATAATGCACGTCCGACTCACGCTTGGAGTCGATTGCCGCGATTTCAAGCCTACGGTTCTCATGCTCAAACGTTTCACTTCTGAAAATGTTTATAACAACATCAATGATAGTGACCTCGAAGTCCTTAATGTTTTCCCCAGTGATGAATTTTGATACGAATCATATATAGTATCTTCATCGCAAACAGTCATTAAAAGTCGAGAGCATCCATGACTAATTGATATTCTTCTCTATGTATTTTTTTTCCACTTATGATACGAATATATGTGATAATTTCTATAAAAATGTTATTTTGAAAAAATAAAACTAATATTCTCCGTTAAATATATTTTTAATTCATTTTATTTTACTCGTTATTATGTATAATTCTATTTCAAGGCGTATGTTTCGGGATTTAGAATTATATATTTTCGTGATTTGAATTTCGTGCTTCAGAAAGTAGGCGAGCAGGCGAGTGGGGGCATTCAGGGGATTTTTGGGGGGAAACTGAGCGACGCTAGGGGGAAGGCACGGAGACCGTCTGGCAACACTGCACTGCTGACTAACATTGACATCTGCAATGCAAAGCAACAGCAACACGTGTTGCTTCGCTATGTTTTTGATTTTGTGCATATTTCGGTAGAAAAAAAGTTGCGGTGATTTTATGTTATTCTTTATATTTTAAACTTAGTGTCTTGGTGTTTTCATAATTATCTTTTTGATAGCTTAGTCACACACCTATTAGAATACAACATGTCTAATAATTAAGTAGTAATATTACAATGTCTCGGCTAATAATTAAAAATTTACCCAACAAGGTAGCTATTTTCAATGTTTTTCTATCTAATGTGTTCTTTATTATGAATGCTTGTATATAGGAAAATATTATAATTTTACCTGTTTAGATAACTGTCGACAGCCTCAAGGATATATTTAATGAAAAGGGAGAGGTAACTGATGTTCAATTAAAATATACAAAAGATGGAAGGTTTAGAAATTTCGGTTTTATTGGATACCGGACAGAAGAACAAGCTGAGGCTGCAAAAGAATATTTTCATGGGACTTGTATCCGTTCTATGAAGATAGACGTGCAGGTTTGTGCCAACCTTGGTGATGAGAAAAAGCCCAGAGCATGGAGCAAATATGCACCTGACAGCACAGCATACAAGAAAATTCACAAGGATGAAATCCAAACTAAATCAGAAAATAAACTACAAAGAAAGAAAGAAAAGAATAAAAATAAAATAATTGAATTACTCAGAAAGGTTTGTTTTGTCTTTAAAGATTACAAAGTAGCTAGAATAAGTAAAATGAGTTGTCAAATTAAAATACAGTGGTGATAATCAAAGTAGTCATTTAAAAGTAAATCTATTTATTTTAGCATTATGTTTTAATTTTAAGAAATTTACTGACAGGTTTTTTGTATCTAAAGAGAAGTAATACAATTTTGATATTTAAGCATAAAGAAGATCCTCTGTTTGCCGAGTTCATTGATGCTCATGTTAATGATAAAACAGCTTGGATCAAAGAGGCTTTTGAAAATGCTGCTAATAGTGATGATGATAGTGGTGTAGAAGAAGAGACAAAAATTAATACACCATCCTTTAACAATCCTACCCAAGAGCCTGTGGATTCAACAGATAAAAATGAAAAATCTGAAGATAAGGTTGCCAATAAACAAATCAGTGATTTAGAGGTGAGATTTAAGTAAACATATTAATCTAGCAGGGCATGTCAGTTACAGGCATGAGAAATCTCTAAACCTGTAATTTGACAACAATGTATCCTCCTTGACATGCTCCATACTATCTAGAATGAAAAAGAGTGAGTGTTGTCAGATTAAGTGTAGATACACCTTAGCAATGCCTCATTTGCCACTGGTTAAGTCTAAGATATAGTCAGAAAACTCTTTTACTAAATTCATAGACCAGCTTCTGAATGTGACCTTAGTGGATAGGCTTTTACTATTTACACATACAGTTTTATTTTCTACTAGCGGCTGCCTGTAACTTCGTACTCATGGAGTTAGTTAGAAATAAAGGTTCACTACTTGTTCCCTGTAGGTGATAGCGTGATAATATGTAGCCTATATGTTGACCCCACTTCTTAATAATATTCATGCCAAATTTGATGTTAATCCATGCAGTACTTTTTGAGTTCATCCCAGTCATACATACAGACAAACAGACAAAAATTTTAAAAACTATATTTTTGGCTTTGGTATCGACTGTAGATCACACCTCAAGTATTCTTTTAAAAAAATATTCAATGTTCAGTTTTGACTTTCCTACCATTTTATTATATGTATAGATTCCAGTCTGGCTTAAACTCTTCCATGATTATCAATTGGTATAATAAAAAGTATCTTTCAAATATTAAGAATGTGTTATTCCAAAAAAAAATAGTTATATTGTTTGTGCAATCTTTGTGTAGACGATTTATAATAATTTTTCAGTGTTTTTTTTTTTACAGTATATGCAACTGCTAATGAAAAAGGTAGGGGGGGAAACCCAAAAAACTCAGGAAACTACTGAAGAGGTTGAAAAAAAAATTAGAAACAGACCACTATTTCATGTAAAGGTAAACATGGTATTTATGGTTTTGACATTAAGACAGAAGATGACTACAAAGTTGGTTAAAATCATAATTCAAATTATTATGTTTTTAGATAACTGGTCTTCCCTACAAATGTAAAAAAAAAGATATCAAAGAGTTTTTTAGGCCTCTTGTTCCATATTCAATAAGATTACCTCTTGGCAAAGGGAAAAAATTGGCAGGCTTCTGCTATGTTGGGTTCCGGACAGAAAAAGAACTCAAGAAAGCACTTAGTAAAGATAAACTATTTATAGGTAAATATAATCAAAACCATTATGAAACTTACATACATAGAATATATTTGTCTTTATACCTGTTAGGGTACCTACTGATATAAAGTGTCAAAGAAATATATAAAAGCTTACTGAAATATGTTTTCAAGCAACATAGCCAGTTAGTGTTTCTCACTCTGAAAGTCCAAAAGAGGGCAAATACCTGAAAGGCCAAAGTAACACAGACCAAGTAACCCTACTTGGTCTGTGTTTGAATCTGTTAGTAATGGCTGAGTATTCTCATGTATACTACATTATAAAAAGGTAAAGTTTGTGAGGTTTTAAGGATCTCTGGATCTACTGAAATGATTTTTAAAATTCCTTTATCAATAGAAAGTCACAGTATTTGTGAGTGTCATAGGCTATTATAATATACACATAAAGATTTTTTTTTACATCACTAATTACCAAAGTGGTTTTTATTAAAAATATATATATATATATAAATAGCTAAAAAAAATATTAAAAATCGGACAAAAGCCAAAAAAAGACCTTTTACCTTACCAGAAAGTATTTTTATATTTCAGGTTAATATAATAAAAAATTCGTTAACATCCATGAATTGGCTAAATATTCTTTGTGTTTTGAAATTTAGATTTTGTTTCATTATGAATTTTAATGCTGATAAAAAAATAAGCAATTAATATGTTAAATATGTTTTTGTGCACCTAAAGCTAATCACTGTGTACACATACATAAGTATGAAGACCAGGCAAAGAAAGCTGCTGAAGAAGAGGAACAAAGTAATCAAAAAAAGAGAGAAGAGGTATTCATTTTGTGTGTCAATTATAGAACATTAAGATACTATAATATTATAAAAACGCTTAATTTATTTTGTGTTTTAGAAACAAAACAGTGAGGAAACTATTGGAGAAAGTGGAAGCATATTTGTAAGAAATTTACCTTACGTAATATCAGAAGATGAACTTACCAAATTATTTGAAAAATATGGTAAGAACATAAATGGGAGATTTTTTTATTATATATAATAATATTGAAATTATTTTTTCAATCTCATCAACTACCTACTGATAATTCTGTTGGAAATTATTGGTGCTTGAAAAAAGACATATTATAATAAACTAGTGGGTGCCCGCGACTTCATTGGTTCCCCAAACTAGCTTCTACCTAAATTATCTTTATAGCACAGTGTGACCTAAACCCGCACTTTACGCACGCTTTTCCGTGACCTAAGTTGCCTATTTCTGCATAGTGTGTAAATGAATTGACCAACTTCACTCATGTAGAATTAGTACATTACGATACGCGTACCTTAACTTTACTATGCCAATCAAGGAATAAACGTTCATGGATACATTGAAATTCTATTTTGTTGTAATGATATTTGTTTTTTTCCTTTTGAAATATACTTTCAAAATGGTAATCTGAACCGGAATTCTTTCTTTTCAGAGTTTGACTTGCAAACTGTATTGCAATTCTTTGTGATTGCAATACATGAATTTTACTTTCAAAACACTAAACGCATCCCCCCCCCCTTGCCCGCGTCCGGGGCGGGTTTATGTCACACTTGCTATAAAATAGTATACGATACTTGTGGCCTAAGTTGTCTATTACTGCACGGCGTGAATCTAGCGCCCGAGCGGAGCGAGGTAACTTAGGTCACGCGTATCGTAATGTACTATTATACCAAATTTCTTGTAAATCGGTTCAGCGGTTTAAGAAGATGTAACAGATAGAAAGACTTAAAATGATACTATAAGGAACGTGGAACTTGGCGAACACGCGCAATCGGCTGATTGACCAGTAGGGCGATTCTGTAAAATAAAATGTTACTTTCGATTTCGGTAGCTGTCATTTTAGACATTTAGTTTGATATGCATAACCCAATAACATGGCAAAATGTCGCTATGTTTATAGAAGCATCCAGTATTAGATATTTGACATTTTTCAGAAATCTGAATAAATGAGATTGCATCTTACAGAATATTTAAACAGGGGCCGAAATGTTGTGAGTTTTTCAATTTTTGCCATTCATTTCATAGGAAACCCGGTCTTACACAGCGCTGGCTTCACCGCGTCAGTTGACGGTTAGCGAGCAAGTAGACACCCGATTTCTTTTAATCTACACTCCCCCCTCTCTATCTTTCTTTTAATTCTACATTCTTACCCCTGGCAATATCCTTAGCAGCCTCAAACTGAGAGTGGTAGTTTTTTTACCAACTCTCATTATTATGAATCAGCGCGTAAAATCCGCCTTGGTAAATATAGCCTCGCTTGAGGCGTGAGATCTTATTTTAAATTAGTTCGATTAATACAAAACGAAGTAACTCGCTGGCCAATGACTAGTATAAATATTTTATTTTGTAGTTCATAAGGTTTAATTCACGTTTATCTTTTTTCCCAAATATCAGATATAGGGGAAACTACCCAATCATTGGCACTCTTCCTATTATTGGCACTTTTGAGTTTATTTCGAAAAAACCAGGAAACAATAGATTGTAGGAATAATGCTGCCAATTTTCAAATTTCGAAACCATACTAGGTTTTTCTTTTTAATATGTAACGACCTTGAATAATCTATTATCTCCTTGTTTTTTCGAATTAAACTCAAAAGTGCCAATGATTGGGTGGTTTCCCCTAATTTATAAAAGGAACAAGAGTTCGTTGATATAAGATAAAAGGTTGTATGTGTGAAATAACATTTTGTTATTTGTAACCTTATTCCTTTGTGAGATAGTTGTAATTAGGTTCAACTTAAACTGTTTTAAAACATTTATCTTTGTTCATTGGGAATCGAATGTAGCTGCATAAGTTTAAACATACGCGGTAAGTTTTTAGCTTTGATTTTGTATGCAACCCGTTATCTATAGAATTGTTGATCGAAGGTGGAGGGTCTCTTAGTTGGAAAAGAGATATATGTAATGTCAAATTGACACTTCATATCTAGCTTTGAGGGGGAAAGGAAAATAATTAAACTTAGACAATTAATTACCTAACCTACAATATCGCTTTCGATCTACGAAGGCCGACGGCGGCGATCGTCGCCGAAAAGACATAATCGTAACTACGTGCATACAAGCAAGAGAGTATACAAATTATAGTTTGTATTTGCAACAGTTACTTTACAGCTTCTACAACAGAAGTATGTCGTGTTTTAAAAGCAACTACAAAATGATATGTTTGTATGATGTTAATGATGATTAGACTGCATACAACTCGTAAATCGATGAAGGAGTTCATAGCATTGCATAAGCGGTTAATGTTTATAATAGGTGCTAATTTGCTTCTTAAATATCGGCAATATTGCGAAGGATCATCAATCAGTGTGTTTGAGTCTTGACCCTTTCGCAAATATTTTTAACCGACTTACTTAATCCTGTTAAACATTCAGATCTTTGCTTTACTACATAATGTTAAACCTAGAAACGTTTTCAGGCCCTCTTGCGGAAGTAAACATGCCAATAGATCAAGTGTTGAGGCAGTCCAAGGGGTTTGCTACAGTAACATTCGTGATGCCGGAGCATGCCGTTAAAGCCTACAATGCGCTCGATGGAACTGTCTTCTGTGGCCGCATGCTCCACTTGCTGCCTGCCAAGACTGAAAAGTTAGAAGACAGCGATGATGGTAAATTGAATGGAAAATTGTAAATGAAAAATCTTTTCTTCTATTTGTTACTCCTCCCTTTAATGCATGAGTATTATTATTACACTGGTGTCGATTCTGGCATTCAGTCTCTCCTTTTCCTTCTGTGTAGACAATGACAAGAATACACTGTTGTCAAATTTAGGTTTTCAGAATCATCCCACCATCAACACCATTGCATCTCTCAGAAATTATGATATTTTTAATTCTATAATATATTTTTTTAATGTTTGTAATATCATAAACCTAATTATTATATATTCAGTTTTAATTGATCAAAATGAAGTTTATTGATATTAACAGTAAATTAATGTTCACACGCGCACAGGGCACGCCATTTACGAGCTCTTACTTGCATCAAATAAAAGATGCATAGTGCCAACAAGCAACTATCACATGCACGCGTCGCGTCGCTTGGCAACTTGGAGTTTTCTTTTCTCTCTCTACAAACAGCTGAGCTGGATTTGTTGTTCTTTTCTTGATAACAAATGGCGAAAATACGCCAATAACATTCATGACAAACCGTGATTTATGAGAAAATAAAACATGCTTATAGTTTTACGAATATTCTTAAACTATTTTTGCACTGTTTAAAAGCATTGAAGGCAAGTTTTAACACAGAATTTCCGCAATATTGTTTTGTGTGTACATGCAGCGTGTTTGGATATCAAATTGTGATTAAAGCGAATTGTGGTCATGCACCTAATTTAAGCGGAGGCAAGAGTGCCATATCTTCCCTTTTTTCATTTAATCTAAAAATACACAGATTCACTATCTTTCTACGGTTTACCATCCCACGAGATAGATTGTAATTTAACGGTATTATATACAATTTTTCGGTGATATATATACCCTTGTGATCAGACACTTTTAAGCTAAGTTAGGAGCGACTGATATAGTAAAAGACTTTATGATAGCCAATATTCCCACTTGATTGTTTGTTCTTGATTAAATTTAGAGCTATGTTTCACCGGAATTAACATATAAGACAATTCTAATTAATTGATTTTATTTGCAGAAGGCCTTTCTTTCAAGGAAAAGAAATTGAAAAAGTTAAAAAAGCAATCAAAATCTTCACACAATTGGAACACATTGTTTTTGGGAGCAAATGCCGTTGCTGACGTAGTCGCTTCCAACTACGACACTACGAAAGAACAACTACTGGCTGATAATAACAAAAGTAAGTTTATAAAATATCATAATAATACCTATCTACTTAATTTCATATTTTTTTATATTGATAATGTACATTTTCGGACTACATAATCTATGCTATGGTTTATAGCTTTAATAATGTTATTCTTATGTAAGTAAAAGAAAACGTTGGCCACGCGCAAACGCATGTGCTATTAGATATTTATGCTGCAGCTACTGTTCAATACTTTTCTGAGCCCACAACAAGGCTTTGCTTACTACTAATACTAACGTACTAATGATTATGTAAAACAATCAATACTCGCCTCCGCAAACATAGGCAACGCAGAACAATGGCAGGACTGGTCAAACTTATTTTGTCGTTGGTCTACCAAAAAGTATCTTTTTCTTTTTAGTATTAATGTGAAACAAAGGTATAGATTAAAAGCGCTACCAAGGAGGTTCGATCAAAATAAAATATAAATAACCGTAAAGCATACGCACGGCGCCTGTAATTTGAGCGTGCGCACGCGCCGTTGTATGGCCCGTAATTTTGATTTTTCGAACAATGTAACTACATTTTTTAGCAAATTTGTTGGAAAAATATGAATTAATAAGCAATTGGAACCAGACTTAACAACCCTCGTTTCTCTTTAAGTTTAACTAAATGGTTTCCTTCTGGAAACTAAACATATAGATAGTCGTGGCCCACTCCCGCACGAGGGGCGGCGCTTATTAGGCGTTATTTGAAACAACAGTGTGCGTTAATTGACTTTGGCAAGTTATTTTTTTTTTACTAGAAACTTTTTAAGTGCTTAATCTATACTTTTGGCATTTTCTTAGATACAAGTGTCGCTGTTAGGCTAGCTCTTGGAGAAACTCAACTGGTTGCAGAAACTAGAGCTTTTCTTGAAAACAATGGCGTTTATTTGGATGCATTCAACAAGGTACGATTATAATGAATAATTCAATTCGAAAACTTGATGTCTCCCTGGAACAGATAAAAAAACTTTCTCTCTTCTCACTATTATATTTTTTATTAATGCCAATATTTTAGTAGTCAGTTTAGTACTTAACATTAAATTAATTTATAATTATTTTTAGCCTGCTCAGAGGAGATCAAAAACTTGTATATTAGTAAAAAACTTACCATCAAATACAGAAAAGGAAGAAATAAGGTTATTATTTGAGAAACATGGACAAATAGCTAGGTTTTTGATGCCAAAACATGGCATTACTGCCCTTGTAGATTTTGTAGAAACATTTGAAGCTAAGAAAGCGTTTAATAAACTAGCTTATTCTCAGTTTAAATCTGCACCTTTATATCTGGAATGGGCCCCAGAAAATGTGTTTGTTAAGACTTCTCAAACAGAGAATGCCGAAACAGAGGCAAACAAATCAACAAAAGATGAAAAAGTAAAAGATGAAGAAGTTATAGATGATCATCAAAATCAATCGATTCATTCAACACGAACAGAAGTCAAAGAATCTGAAATAAAAGATTCTAAAATTGATAAAGAGTTGGGTGACCCCGAAAACGACACGACGTTGTTTGTAAAAAATCTAAATTTTATAACAACAGAGGAGGATTTGAAAAAGGTAATTACTCAGCGATAATGTTCAAAGTAATGTTTAAACTTTATGGTGGTTGTGAAGTTAGCAACGTGCGCAATTTAATCATGCGCGCTGGTTTCAATTCAGTGACATACTGCGCGCGCCTACATGGCCCTACATTTAGTAATTCTTTCTCTCGCAGAGACTTGCGCCAACTTCACAGTCTTCATTAAGTTTGAATTGCACTGTACACAAGTAATATTCCGCATCTCTCTGAAGGAAGCTTTAAATACGGGCTCTCCCTAATAGTCCAGGATCCCAGGCCTGCCAGACCTTAACGCGGAAGTATCCTTAAACGGGGATCCCGCGGCTTCGCACTAAGCAGCTTGGGGGGTATTCGCAGGGTTTTTTAGCGGATAGTACGCCGTTAAGCGTGCTCGTAAATGGCGTGGGTTACTTTGGGGGTTAGCCCCCTCGTGCCCGTGACGTTTGCGGGTGCAGGGTGTGAGGTCCGTTCGGCGGTGAGCCTCTTACCTTTAAGAGGCGCCTTCGCCGTCGTCTGTAAACAGAGGTTTTGCCTGCGTTACAAAAAAAAGGCCTGCTAGACCTTACTTTTTTTCTGATCTGAAGGTTTTGCGGTTTGTTTTCCATGTTTGTCATTGCTCTCATCTCACAATATTACAGTTCAACGTAAAGTAATGTCTAATAGACAAAATATTATCGATAAATACATAATATCACAACTATTTGACAGAATATTGTGTATTTAAAATGTTTATGTTGTGTGGAAGTGCGAAGAGGACATGACCATTGTACCTACTGTAAAACCCTAGTAGATTCACATTCATCCTATTACTGTATACATCGAACGTATACATACTAGCTAACTTGTGCTGTATGCCAATTCACAGATATAATAAGGGGGCACCCGATTATCTATATTTTTTGTCCATCGGAAAATAAGTAAGTTCTAGTGTAAGAAAATAAGTAAAGAAATACATACTCTCTCCTCGTCTTACTAAAGGATAATTGACCGATTGTATTTTACTTATCACTAGACAGATTTGAATTTTACATCTATTTATTTATTTATTTGACTGACCCATATGTAAAAGGACAATGGGAAAAACACCTAGCTCCGCTAACAATGTAATTAGTATGAATCTATAGATCTATAAAAAACTAGCCTTTTTACCAAGCTGCGCAATGCAAGAGCGCGAAGCGCGACGCGCAGACAGGGTTATGTGTTTAACAGTCTATATATGTATGTTTTTTCCTTTGTGGCACACTAGAGACCAAACGCCTGGACCGATTTTGATGATTCATACATCAATCGATTCGTCTCAATCATGGGAGTGCTACTAAAGATATGATAGTAATCAAAATTCAATATGGGCAAAATTAGGCGCCATATTGTGACGAAGTAAAAAAATAAGTTGACAAAATATGTCGAGTGGGGTATCACTGTCTAGATAATCAAAAATCATATTTAGGTTCCTAACACCATTTTTCATTTAATATGAACGTTCAGGATCTACAACGCTTTAAAGTTGTATATTAACCACTTACGCTTTTAATTTCAATCTTACGTTTGTATGGATCTTTGTTACTCTTTCACCTAAAAAATACTGAATGGATTTTAATGAAACTTAACAGTAATATAGCTCATATATGATAATTACATATATATAATAATTTATGTAGTTATTGAGTGAATTGGCCAATATATAACAATAAGTGTCACATAAGACGGAAAAAAATCTCCCATCTGCGAGCCATTTTGGCCTGCACTGCAAAAACAATAAAAGTTACATGAATGTAATGTAGAGTGAAAATGTATCTCTTAAATAGTTCTAAAGAAAAGTCCGTGACACCATATATCTATTTTTAATGTGTATGTCATTACTGCTAAAATAGTGAATCAAAACTAAAATATTATTTGATATCTATTTCCAAAATGCACATTTTGTATTAACAAATAATTTTTTATCAAAACAAATACTTTTATCGCTTTTGATATTTAAAGACGATAAACTTTGCTTTTTACACTATGTCATTTCGACAAATATTTAAAAAGTTACAACGATGACAAACTGATAGTGCAGTGTACTATGTAAAAGAATCTGATCCTAAACGAAGCACTAACAATAAAACTGTGATACAGTTCCTTCTTATTAAATGATGAAAAATATATTATCATAATAGGTATTTATGATTATTGAATTTTAATGAAAAACTCAGAGTTTTACTGTTTTTCATTTTTTTAACGATATTACTTAATGCTACAAAAAGGTTTACTTAAAATAATGACAAATAACCCATTTTTCGCTAGTAAGTACATACTTATTGGAATCCCTTTATTTATTAATCAGCTCGCGATAATATTGGTTTTGTAATAATTCTGCAAAATTCAAAGTAAATAATGTAGATTTTTATAGGTAAATCACCCCTTTCATCACCTACCTATAAGAATTGCGATGTTGTAGCTAAGAACCAAGTTCCCATCTACTTTTATATGGGAATTCATTATATTCGATTTAGCTATTAGGGCACGGAAGCGCAACAAACAAACTCACTTTCACATCTATAATATTATATTATACTTACTAGTGATCCACCCGGGCATTGTACGGGCGAAATTTATTTATCGGGATAAAATATAGCCTATGTCAAACTGTATTTAAATAAAGCAAAATGTAATAATAAATAATGTAGCCTTATGATGAATTAATATTTGAAACCGGTTCAGTAGTTTGACATATTATTTGTTACAAACATACAAATCTTGCCTCTTTATAATATTAGTATAGATAGTTAGGATAAGATAAGTATTTAATTGATGAAAAAGATTTAAAAATAAAGTAAGTAATAGGTTTATTTGATTATATTTGTAAAAGTTACTTAGCATTTGTGCTTAACAGTGATACGTAATTCGGTATTTTTTTAAACAAAAAAAAATTTGGAAAATAATTGCCATGATTGCCCTACTTCATTCGAGCTTTACACTACCAACAATAAAAAAGGGTTGATCACAAAGTCTTTGACCTGTTATATGTGAACGCTTTAAAAGAAAACCACAAAGAGAACTATAAATTAATAATAAATGAGATTGCTATGGTGCTCTATCTAAAGTTATGAAAATTTTATTATGCGCCTTTAGTTTAATCAAATATTATAAACTTTGCTTTGGTGATTGCATAATTATTTAATTTAGTGATCTAAGGCAGTTGCCACCATTGTCCAAAACAACAAACGGGAATTACTACTTTCTTCAACCTGCGACATAAACGTCATTGATTGGTATTGTATATAGGGTGATTAAAAACATTTGAAGTTAACTTCTTGCATCTACATATTGGGTTTCTGTGAATTATGTAGGTAAATCAAATTATGAGACTAGGGACTGACACTGCATTTGTGTATATCACAATCTTAGACGTCCGGCATTGACATGACAATGCAGCCACTGCCAATTTTAAATAGTCGACGAATAAAAGAAAATGAATTTTATATTTACTGCTAAACTATTAAAAAAAACATAAACAAAAGATGACTTTTTGAGTAAGTTCTAGTTTACTATAAAATTTACATACATTAGAGATATTTATGTAACGACTTGATTTAACTTCACACATTTTTGCGAAAATTGAGGCCCATCTGTAGCCTTGACCCCGCTGGTAAAGTCTCTATATGTCTTAATAAATTAATCCTTTAGACCGACGCAAGGTACTTAATAATTCCCGCGATATTAATTCCCTTACTGAAGTAACAAGACTACGGTATATACCGTCTTAAAATACTAACTAACTAAAAAGTGTGAAATAAAAAAGGTAAATTAAAAAAATCAAAAACCCGACTGCTTAATTATACTTCAAATAAAAACTGAAAAGAAAAAAACAAGTCCAGTAGTCTATAATTCTGTTAATAAGGAACAAAGCTACTTTAGCAGTCGGGACCCACTGTTGAAAAATATTATGTATTCTTGAATATCTAATGGGTCCCGACTGTTAAAGTAGCTTTGTTCCTTATTAACAGAATTATAGACTACTGTACTTGTTTTTTTCTTTTCAGTTTTTATTTGAAGTATAATTAAGCAGTTGGGTTTTTTGATTTTTTAAATTTACCTTTTTTTTATTATGATACCGTAAAAAAATATCTTGGTAGTCTTATTTTAAAGTAGCGAAGTAAATTCATTTTTAGTACCTTCATTTTATATTATTAGTAACCATAATAATATACCATATCGTACTATAAAACCAGATATACGACAAAGCCTGCCGACCATCCTGCGCTTGCGCTTACTGAGACACCTCAAAACGGTTTACGGGGGTTGAAGGACTTGCAGTTCCAAATAGTCGACTCGTCTTACTTCGTTGTGATTTTGCGCTCCCTGGCACTCGATTGTTTTTTTTCTAACACGCTTTGGATATTGGGACATGATTATCGGTTTTGTCAATTAGTATGGATGAACTGGAATAATGTTTTCTCTGAAGCGTGGGCAAGTTTGTGTGATTTGAGGTCCCTCCGTTCTACATAAAAGACAATTTACTATAACGAACAGAATGTTTGAAAAAACCCCAACCCATGCGGGGATTTTTGATTTTACTCTAGCGCGGCAGAATAACATAAGGAGGGCATCCTTGCACCTTGTAAAGTACTCCCATAATACCTGAGCACCCTATGTAGGGTCGAACTAACTAGCTAAATTGATTACCTTGTTTCATAAATGTTCGTTCTTTATAGTACTTGTACCGACCTATTTAACTTAAAATAACTAAAGACCCCGGGATGGAATTTGATGCACTTTGGCACAGATATCATGACTATAATACCTTTCAAACAAATGTAGTTTAAGCCGTGGTGGACGTGGGTGCAGCGTCCATACATTTTTGCCCAATGTCCTTCACCATAATATAGAAGTATCAACTTGTTTCAAAATTTATAAACTGACGAAATGTGTTGATGTATAAATATTCTTATGCTTTCGTTTGCCGTAATTTTGGGATATTTCAGGTGTTTTATTTGTACTGTTACAGCATTTTTTAAAAGCAGGAAATATATACAGTGTGACAATAGCCAAAAAGAAAGATCCCAAAAATCCAGGAAGCCTCCTTTCTATGGGCTATGGATTTATACAATTTTACAAAAGACAGGAAGCAAACGAGGCACTCAAACTTTTACAAAATTCTATGTTAGACTCAAAAAAATTAGAGTTGAAGAGATCCGAAAGAGGAGCTTCGTAAGTATTACTTTATGTCTTGTTTTCATGAATACCAACAATTTGATAAAAATATTTTTTAACTTGTATAAAGCCCGTTTTCATTTCACTTCATTATTCTTCTCGTTTCGAATCCTTTACAGGCTCCGTGGTTTCGTTGCAAGGATTTTTACATTTTTTTTTTCCCCGTATGTCGTGAGTGTTGCATTTTTTTTTTTTCATTTCTAGTAATGCCCAAAAGGGCGGCAGGCTGCGATAGGCGGCACGCCTTATGCCTTACCTGTAATTATCGCTGCGCTATCTATACATATAATAAAATGGTAGGAAGGACAAAACTGTACATTGAATATTTTTTAAAATAACAAATCGATACCGAAGTCAAAAATAAAGTTTTTAGAATTTTTATCTGTTTGTCTGTATGTATGTCCGATATAAACTCAAAAAGTACTGCATGGTGTAAGTCGGGTCAACATATAGGCATTCGCATTATCACGCTATCACCTACGGGGAACGAGCAGTGAACCTTTATTTCTAACTAACTCCACGCGAACGAAGTCGCGGGCGGCCGCTAGTCTTAAATACAACACTGGCTATAGCCCTGATTGGTTTGTGCTAAAGACTGAAGATGCTCCCGGTAACAACGGTTTAACGTACTAACATCGGTGAATAGGCTTTTCCTAAGCACGGAGGACTTCGAGATGTGTGGTCACCCATCCAATGACGGGCCATTGCGAAAATTGCTTAACTCCCACGATCTAAGACCGAACCCGCTAACCACCTGCGCCATCGAGTTCCTTCACCTCATCTGACAGTGATCACACTCAAGGAACCAACCGCCTGACCTTACTTCCCTGAACACCATTCTCTTAACTATGACGTTAATAGTACAACAAAAAAATTTAATACTTATTTATTAATCTAGTTAAAGTTTTTTTTTGATCTAACATCTTTCCTCTTGCTTTCGTGCAATTTGTGGGAGTGATTACGTGAAGTGGGACGGTGGTGTGTAACAAGAAGTTTGGGAAGCGCGCGCTATTTGATTTGATATTAGAACATAATGTTCAAATGGCTTATTCCGTTTGTAGTAGGTTTTATTTCTTTTTTTACTAATATAAGGTGAGGCCTATCCTTAAGCTGCAAGGCGGCGCCATCCGACATGTAGGTAACCCACAATGCGAAGAAATGGCGCTGCCTTGCAGCTTAAGGATAGGAAAATTTCGATGCGGCGCCATCAGGCCCGCGGTAGCATAATTGGTCAGTGCATTCGCCCGGATTGCGAAGGGTGCGGGTTCGAGTCCCGTCCGCTGCCTGGTCCGCGTGTTTTTTTTCTATTAAAACTTTTCTTTAGATTTAAACATCTAGCAGTTAAAAAAAACATAAGGTGAGGTTACAAATATTACACATCATACGCGACTATTGTGAGGCTCGCTCGTTTTTTTTATTTGCACCTCTAACATCAACCATGCGGTCCCAGTGCGGATTGGTGGATGCTAACGGCTGCAAATGCAGCCGGGACCAACGGTTTAACTTGCATTCCGAAGCAGGGAGAAGCTCAAAATAGTAGCAACTTTTTGTTCACCCAGTCTAAGGGTGTTTTTCCACCAGAGATGTGTTATGCAACTATGCTGCGAGGATAAGCTACGAAACTACATGACCGTTTCCACTGATGCTAAGCTATGTAGCGGGGCGAGTAAGATGTGCTATGGAGATGTGCCGCCGCAAACTTTCAATGACAAACGCGGGCATTCTTCTCTTGATATACCTACACCACTCGCGGCCATCATAGCCCGCATCCAGAGCACGCATTCATAGCGCGCATTCTTCCATATAAAAAACATAGCTTAGTTGAACTCGTTTCCACCAGTGCTATGCAATGCTATGTGAACCAATGAATTTGATTGGTAGATATCAAACGCATCCACAGCAACGTAGCATAGCATATCTCTGGTGGAAAAGCAGCCTAATGCTTGGACCGTGTGGATTTTTTCGAATAAAATTATCATTAGATTTATAAATGTGGCAGTTTAATACTGAAAATAAAATAAACTTTTTATTCCGCTGGCTACATTTTTCTGTTATGTGAGGTAAACATTACTCTTATGTAAGACGGCGTGCATGACGTCGCGTCCGTGGCGTTCATGGTTTTAAATCAATTGATGTTTTTCTATTACTTACAGGAATGAAGTCAAGACATCTAAAAAAAGCAGTAAAGATACAGCCCAAAATGGCACTAAAATTCTGGTACGCAATGTGCCATTCCAAGCAAATAGAAATGAGCTGCATGAAATATTCAGGTAATTGACCACATAAAAAAGTTTTGTATAGTTTGTAATAACAATCTAACCTACCGATAACCATCAAAAGGCGATAATTTAAATAAGTAATGAAAAAGCGATTTATCGATGAAAGGGTTTCGCGACTCCTATAGGAACCTCCTTCCTAGTTGCGCTCTCTGGGAATCGAACCCTGGATTAATCGGCTCACAAGATTTATTTTAATAACGATAAACGACAAAACGCAAGAAACTTTAGGCAGTTACCGTGAATATCAATCGAGTGAGTATCAACCTTATAACTTGACACATTAATAAATCTTAAGCAAAGCTAAGCGTATGCCGATGTCACGGACTACCGAAGATCTTGTTTTATAAGCGGCGTCTGCGTCTGCGCCGAGAAGGAGCTGCATACCGCGCCATTCCGTAGTAGGAGGTGTAACGCCTCTATGGGCGGTACCTCTGTGGTATAAGAATAGAGGGGGGAAGGCGGCTCTAAAAGTGTCCGTGTAATAGAATGCGAAAGAAGATGAGAGACCGCTAGCTATCTCTCTCTCTTGTGACGCATGGCATCCAATGGCATCACATCAAAATAGTAAGATGCTTACGGTTGCCAATGCGCATGCGCGATTGGAGAGAGAAAGCTAGCGGTCCCTCATCTTCTTTTTCTTTCTATTAGAGGGACACTTCCACTTGTAGTAGAGTCTTTAACTCCCCTACTCTATTCTTATACCTCTATGACTACAGCCCGTAAGCTAATGACGGCGCACCGTGAGCAACCATCTTGCTGCTGCAGGCGCGGGAACAATAGAAGGTTCGGAGACCAGTCGCTGTGACGTCACATACTGCACAAACGCATCGGTTGCGGTAGCGGATTTGAGCCGCTACAATCGACATTAACTTTCAAAGTACAATGAAGTTTGAATACATATACATAGAACATTGTACTAAAATTAATGAGGACACGTTATCGCCAAACAGTAATGGCTTACATGAAATGAACTAATGATCAAATTATTGGGTGTGTGTGAAGTAGCTATTGTTTTATCCACACTTACCACAAATCACAAAATAGATAGTCTCTACAAAAGTCCTCATGTATGCACTGCACGTTTCATACCTAAGCTCGGTGGTCGCGCTAAAAATGTTAATTTGGCTTGTACAGAAAAAAAACGTGGTAGAAGCACTCGTACGTATCTATTAGTTGTTTGATTTATTGTTGAGAATAAAAATATAAACCAAAAATAACTCTAAAAGTTATAATTTATTATTACTAAGTATTATAATTTTAATGTTAGGTAGGTTAGGCGTTTTCGGTTACGTGACAAGATCAGATCAAAAATACTTCTCTATTTCATGTTAATATTTAGAAGTATTATCAACTACTTACCTATTTTTTTTTTGTCAGAATAATGTAGTCCGAAGAATACAGAACAAAAGGTTTACACACACTACTTCATGTTTCGGCACAGAATATACCTATTGTACTACCTAAAAATACACATGAATGCAATGAATACGTATGATTTCAATAGCGTCTAAATAAAAACTTTTTTTTTTAATTTACGCTGTTTATGCACTTAAGTACAGGGTTAGTAAGGGTTGCAAAAAAAAACAATCGAACGCAATTAATTAACATTATAATTTCTTCACGAGTGAGTGCACACTCCGTTGACAGAATTAGCCGACGGATCCTCTGCAGTTTAGTATGTACTAACAGATACAAGCAACAAACCCAACCGATGATTTTTCATTTTGAAAGATGATTATCTTATAGATATAGATTATCTATACTTTTGGACGCCGTCAAATGCAAAAAGATAGCAAATACAAATAATGAAATTTTAATATTTATTTGTAGGGCATTTGGAGAAATAAAAACTTTGAGATTGCCGAAGAAATTGACTCCTGGTTCGGAACAACATCGTGGTTTCGCTTTCGTCGACTACCACTCGAAAGCCGATGCTAAGGTAATAGAATCCATTTTAAATGCTAGTAGTATGTCTAGTAAGACATAATCTTATATATAAAATTCTCGTGTCACAATTTCAGTTACCATACTTCTCCGAAACGGCATGCCCGATTTTTATGAAATTTTATGTGCATATTCAGTAGATCTGAGAATCGGCTATTATCTATTTTTTATAACCCTAAGTGATAAGCTTTGTCCACCACGAACATTTTATTTTTTGGACAATTTTTTATTTTATTTTTTATAATGTGTCATTTAAAATACATACAACCCTAAATTTTCACCCTTCTACCACCAACCCCTATTTTATGGCGGTACGAAGTTCGCTGGGTCAGCTTGTAATATATATATAAAAACTTTGGATATTTTCATAAATTATATAATTTTTGTTTGTATTAAGGAGCTCTTTTACAAAATTGCGCCGCTGTGGTGCTGATCGGCGCGTAGGTAGATTTGTACTAGCATATATTGCATTTTACGGGTGATGTTTCGAGTCTTATAAAATAATTATTAAAAAAAATATACATATTTCAGTAGTTCAATGACGGTAGATTAGTTTTATGAAAGTTTTTGATAGTAAATCTATTTAATTCAATATCAATGTACGAGGTAAACCTGCATTGTTTTTTTGGGAAAACTCACGGAACTTAGATGTTTTTTTTGATAATTAATGAGATGGAAAATCAAAATTCTAATTCATTATATTACAACAAAAACATATTTCTGATGTCGTAGTAATTAATTTGATCTAATTTATTGAACATTATTTAGAGATTGAGGCGTTTGAAGTTGTGCATATTATCGTTTTTTCCGTAAACTAGCTGCGGCAGATTCTTCAGTACAAAATAAGGAAAATAGAATTTGCAAATATTCTACATTAACTTACGATAGGAAATAGTCGAAATATTTTCTAAGGTGGTAAACGAGACGCTCAAAAAGTACGTTTTTTTTTAAAATGTGAAGGGCTCTTAAATATTCCTTTTTTTTGGTAGTTTTAGAGGCTGTATTAAATATTCCTTTATTTTCAGTCGCCCCCGCGAGGATTGCCACCGGAGGCAAACGGAAATGAAGTCAGCCCTCACTTCAGTTTTTTTATTCCCGTTTAGCTCAGGTGGCTATCCCCACAACGGCTAAGAATAACGGATTATTAAATACGGCCTTGAAAACTATCCCAAAAAAACTTTTTTTTTTACAAAATATTTCAGTGTTTGCTATTCACAGGCTACTGATGCAGAACTAACTTCATAAATCTTTAGCAGTAACGAGAAAAGAAAAAATCCTGAATGAATAATTTCTAGGAATAAACTCCATTAATGATTGTTGATAAAAATGTTTTAAACTATTGCTATAACTCTGTCAGGCAATTATTTTTAATTCTTGGGCTGAGCAAACTAAAAGAACATAGCAAAAATGTTAATTAAATCATTTAAATTCACAGAGTGCATTTGAAGCATTATGTTACTCAACACATTTGTACGGAAGACGTCTAGTTTTAGAATGGGCAGATCAAACGGATGAAAACGAAGACATTACGACTTTAAGGAAGAGGACAGCCGAAAATTTCAATGCTAAATTACCTGGCGGTAAAAAGTCAAGAAAGGCTGCTATTGATGCTGAAACATTTGTTGATGGTGATAAATAATGTTTACACAATTGTATATCTACTTTTTCATGTGTGTGTATAGCAATTTAAAATAAAATGTTTTCATAAAAACGCTTAATATACTTCCTTCTTTATTCATATTGACACTGGTACATATTTTTTTACACATAGCTGGATGGCATTAAGAGATATAAGTTATCCTATGTGTTAATATATCTAGGTATATACTGTATGAAATTTATAATACTTTGTTTAAAGTATGTTGCCTCTGTATTACAGTAAATTACTTCATTCATTCTAATATTTACAAGTTACAGATGAAATTTAACTAAAAATATTTCATTTTTTTCTGCAAATATAATTGTTTTATCGCAACATTAAAAAGATAAGTTTCAATTGCTCCTAAAACAACAATTACAGTCCCCGGCACGTAACTTGGCAGGAGTCTTTAGATGCGCAGATTTTTAGGTCTCTGGTGCTGAAGCGCGACGCATGGTATGTTGTAGGGCCGATACGAGCGCGCGATTGGTGCGTCAGTCGACCCTTACCTCTCGCACCGTGTCTACGTTCCGTTCGCTCCCGATTACACTTGCTTCCATGAAAATCTGTACCCTTTGTTTTTGTTGACGTTGATAAGTTTTGTTGATGAATGTCGAAATTATGTGAGAAAGTTAATAAAAATTGAGGCTGACACAGCACATTTTTTCATTTACGCCGGTGGCGACAGCAACGATAGCAGTCTCCTTCCGCCAGCTCAGGTGGTACTTACTTTACTGGTGGTAATTTGATGCCAGCCCCCCCCCCCCCCCCCCCCTCTTAGCATGAGCACCGCGATATGATATATAACGCGTTTTTATCATGTTCACTTGTTAAATTACTATGGAGTTTGACATTTGGACGAGATAAAAATCGTGATATAATGTAAATTATGGTGCTCATGCTACGGGGACAGGGGTAGCAATTTTATCAACTGATAGTGACGACGAGAACACTTTTTTTAATACATTTTGTGACTTTTAATTGCATATATTTTATTTATAACACAACCTTTATGAATTTCTCTGCTTTCTTTAATTTCTTCTAAACAGACATGATTGATAATAAATGATGGCAATAACCATAGAATATAATGATAGGAATAAAAGTGATCACTTTTTTATTCCACTAAGTGCACGATGCGCCTACCCCCACAACGCGTTGCAACGCCAAAACCTTGCCAAGTTAGGTGTCAGGGACTGTACATAAATGGTTAGTCTTTAGAGAGCAAATAAGAAAGTATTTTGTACAAAATATCAAGTAGTGCAATATTTAATACACACAAGAATACTAGAACTAGAAAATATTTACAAACATGTTCTTGTTACCTAGAACAATAATGAAAAATATACTAAGATTAAGTTTATGTGATCATTAAGTAATATTATAATGTTGCTATTCCATAACAATCTAACTGAATAATATAGCCATATTACAAACACAAAGATTAAATTAAAAAGAAATCAGACATGAAAATGAATTTAAAAAATATTGAAGGAAAATATAGTATGGTCTATTTTCAAATTTTTACTTAAAGTTACTTTAAATATTGCCTAATACTTACATGAAATAATTTTAAGACCACATACCTACCTCATGCATGGAATATAAGTGTTCAAGAAAGAATTGATTGCTACATAGATATTTAGAGAGGATTTAAAGAGACATTGATATTAATTTTTTGAACTTATATTGTAACAAGAATAAGTTAGCCATGATTGAATTTGTTGTTGCAATTTCAGGAATGTATTTATATTATATTTTGTTTATTACTATAATTATGATGAATAACTTTTTTACAATGATATATATATTAATACATTTTTTTTTTTTACAAAATCAATGGAAAAAATTAACCAAGCAAACAGATATGGTAGTCACATGAATCTTAAAAAAGAACAATTGAAACCATTTTATGTGATTCCCTTAAATTTCAATCAATCTTTACAGTTGAATAGATCTTTCTCACAAATATGCTTGTGCCTAAATATCCCACAGTCCCACATATTATTCCCAGAGCTAAACTGAATAGAAACATGTATCCAAAATAGAAAGTTGTTTGGAATAAACCATACATCTTTGTTTTAAACACAAAGTAATAGAAAGAATAAAAATACACATAAATAGCTGTACTACCAGCTGATAAAAAGCTTGTCCATTGCCAACGATAATCCTCAGCATTTAACAAGAAATAAGTACATACAATAGTAACACACACTGTAACTATCATCAAAATCAAGAACACCAGTAGCATAAATCCATATACATAGTAAATTTTATATGCCCAGAATGAAGTGAAAATGAAATACATTTCAATAAATATTGAACCAAATGGTAAAATGCCTCCCATTATGATGATCACAAAAGGTTCCATAAACCATTTTTTTTCTGGTATAGGCCTAGGAACAGCATTAATACGACATGGATAGTCTGGTTGTCCAGCTAAGTTTCTACCTAATACTGTACCAACCAAAGTTAAAGGCAAAATAACAAAAGTGCAAATTGACATAACAGCAACCATACTTCCAAAAGGTATGGCTCTAGAAGCATGATAATACATTGCAATAAAGTTAATAAAGAATGCTGTTCCGCAGACTAAAACAGGTAACAAGAATGCCGAGAGTAACATTTGCTTGATCCATAACTTTCCCCCCATCCTTGCATAGAGGGATCCGCCAAAATAACCATTTATTGGAGATGTGGCTGCATAAATAAAAATTGCTGTGGACAGTAGAGATCCCCTCTCTGTATACAATTCACCAAAGATAGTGAAAATAATGACAGCTAGTGTTACCACTGTCAACTGATACCCTGACCCAACAAGGGCAGAGAACAAAGCTAGATGAGGAACAGGCCTAAATACATCACCATGAACTTGCTTCCAACCATATTCATCCCCTAAATCTTTTTCCAAGTCATCAAGATCATCATCTTTTGAATACCTAGCATAGTCTTTCCGCAATGTTCTCATAAGAATCATAGAAACTAAACCTACTAAAAATATCACCATCATGAAACTATTGAAAATGCTAAACCAATGTATTCTATGTTGGAAAAAGTTAGGATCCAAATATTTGTCAAATCTGTCTTCAAAGCGTATATTACTTTTCTTCCAATTTACTTCATAGGTGAAAGGAATTTTAGCATCAGGTGTTAGTCGTTCTTTATTTTCGGCAGTAAGATTAACTTCCACAATTCTGTTTCCATTGTATCCTATATCAAATTTCTTGTGGGTCCAAATATAATATTGATCGCCATCTATCTCACCAACTATGCCCCAAATTGGGAGGTCATCAATGTACATCTGGTACCAATAATGATTCTTCACAGCGTACACAAGAGCCTTGTAAGATTGTTCATTAAGCTCAATAGCACAGAATTGTTGCGCCGGTACATTATCCTTGAAAGTAATATCAAGACCACTAAATTCAAGCTCTACACCTTGCAGCGCTTCTGATAAGGTCTCATGGTAATGACCTATAGTTACTTTCGTCCCAACGCAAAACGGTAGCGAAAAATATGCATACGTCTCTTGTCGATTGTGATATGGTCCTACGGTGTTCATCCAAAGCACAACTTGCTCTCCGTCTTTATATAAGTGTGCATGTTCATCACATTTCACTAAAGTCCAAAACGTAATAAAATAATAAATGAACTTCATTTTAGTGTAACTGATCGATTTGTAATATTTTAAATTAAAATAAACATAACACGTATGAAAAAGGTACCGCCGTCGGACATTTAATCAAGTGTTGCCACCTATAAAAAATACTTGTACAGTTAGCGATCATCGTTTTTTCGATAACAGATAATTTTACGAATTATTTTTCCCCAATGTTCTTTTTATATATTATATATTTCCCTATTATCCTGCTGTTGTTGTTGACAACCAAACGCAGCACGCCTGGTCGCGCTGTTGCCACTTGCTTGTTTATGATCGGTACATATATATATAACAATGTACTCTATGGTACATATGAAGTGAGCGATAACGTGACTGGTATGAGCGAGAGTAAGTCGTTAACAAGTAGTTTAACAACTTTGAAAACAGGACTAAGTAGTGAGTACTATGAAAAATAACATTTTCATAAATCAAGCTTGTCTTTTAAACATTAAAGATTATTGATGTGTAACATCTTTCCTCTCGCTTTCCTGCAATTTGTGGGAGTGATTTCGTGAAATGGGACGGAAGTTTGTAACAGGAAGTCGCGAAAGCGCGCGCTATTTGATTTGATTTTAGAACAATGTTCAAATGGCTTATTCCTTTTGTAATATGTTTTATTTCTTTTTCAATATAAGGTGAGGTTTCAAATGTTACACATCATACGCGACTACTGTAAGGCTCGCTCGTTTTTTTTACTTCTTGAATCCACAAAAAAGAGGTTAGGATAAGACTGACAGTATTCTGTTACCGATAAAACAGCGCATGTAAGAGACAAAGAACGAAGCCTTTTTTGAACAGAACAGATTCGCCATTTTTGGAGTTTATTGGAGTTTACTCCTTAAGAATCGATTTACTTAAATAAGGGGCCCGGTATGAGAAAAATGTGAGGAGTAAAATCTACTGAACAAATGACCTCGTTACGTTTTTGTTTCTTCGTTCGATATTTGACTTTATGGTGAGGGGATACAGTCGAAAAGTGTGTTTTAATGCAAAAGCGATATGTTATGACTGTGTTCCGAATTTGAAAGAGCTTTCCGAGGAAAGACGAGCGCGTACCGATCGAGCCCGAGCGGCGCCGAGGCGCAGCGAGTGCCGAATGCATTACGGAGTGGTATAGGGCTGGCGACAGGGAAAACTTTTCAGCAGAATGTTTCATAATGAGAAATGTTTTGGAGTTTACTCCTTAAGAATCGATTTGCATATATAAGGGGCCCGGTATGAGAAAAATGTGAGGAGTAAAATCTACCGAACAAATGACCTCGTTACGTTTTTGTGCGCAACCTCATCTGCGCACCTTTCACTTTTAGCCATGGCAACGGATAAAAACATTAAGTTGTCACAAATGTCAATAAAATAAATAAACTAAAAATAGATAAAATCGGAGCAAAATTAATGAAAACAAATAAATAACAGAAAATAGAGAAATGCCGGTAAGTGTCCAGCACTCTGGAATAGTGATTTTCAGTACAGATGGAATTATAATACATATTTACAAAATGATGGCTAGTGTGTGATATTTTTGAAATTGTGTGTTTCCAGAAATACATAATAAAATATATGATGAATATCGATGATGTTAGATGATAAAATGTGTGACATGGAACCTATGATAGTCGAAACCATGGGACGATTCCTGAGGTATCTCTACTTGTAACCTTAGCTTGTAACCGACTTCTTCGGATTTGATTTTGTTTTGTGTCTATTCAAAGACAATCGTTTTTAGAGTGTAAACTCCGGTGGTGAAAGAACAACAATACAGCTCAGCCGTCTGTAGAGTGAGAAAAGAAATCGCAGTTGGCTGCAAAGCGACGCGGACTCGCGTCGTTTCGCTCACGCTGCGCTGAAGCGTACAATTCTGTCTCGTTCGCTCCATTGAATGACTATTTACAGAAGTGTACGTGTGTGAGAGTCGGTTATGCATATAGTTGAGTCGGATCATATTTTATTTGATGCTAGTATGAGCGTACCTTATCTTCCCTTTTTGTTTCAATCTATGAAATGCTTTAATAACTGCTTTTCAATATAATGTAGCCACTTGAGTTGGCTAAACGTATTAGTTATTTTGTAAACTTGACAATAGATTGTCCTTATCATCCTTTATAAGGAGTGGAAGGAACCGATTGATGTTAACTTAAGAAATAGCGACCACGAAGAGAAGTGGATGTCGGCATAAAAAAACATAAAGTAAAACTGTATGGGCTTCGTATTCTATGCTTTCCTATATAGAGAGAGACAGAAAGATAGAAATCTCACCTCAGGCTGTATACGCATTATTCTTCTTGCCTTCCCTGAAAGGTGAGAAAAAAAAATCACTTATCTTTGGCTCGTTGTTTTTCAATTTGCATGGAATTGGAAACCATTAAAACCTTACAGTACAAACAACTGTAGTGTTTTAAACATAGAGAAGAAATTACATTGTAGATTTTGATATTGACATAATAATAACACTGAGTGGCTCTATTGACAGAATACACACACGTGTGTGCAAGATTTAACCATAATACTACTCTTTGATTTAACCTACGTTTGGTCAATGCAGTGGAGCAATTTGATTTTCGGCTAACACATTTTCTAATGTAGTGGTATTATTAAATAATCAAAAATGGATTTAGACTTACCAAAATGTGTGCAAGCCAAATTTAAATCGGACACTGGAGAGGAAATTGGCAATCCATTGGATCTACCTTTGAACGTTACAAAAGACCAACTTCAACTTATTTGTAACGCTCTTTTACAAGAAGTAATTCAATTTTCTGAATTTAATATATTGCTTAAACAATCGATTTGTCTGTATCTGTCATATTTTGTTAAAATTCCAGGAAGATAAACCTTTTCTCTTCTTTGTAAAAGATGTTGAGATCAATTCTACACTGCAGGATGCTTTAGATTTGAGTAAATTAAATTCTGAAGAAGTTGTAAAAATTATATATCAACAGCAGGCTGTATTTAGAGTAAGACCTGTCACTAGATGTACCAGGTATGAAAATCAAACATTTCTTTAATTATTATATATTAATAAAAAAATATGTTAACATTATGAAAATACTATATTTTTAAAGTTGGTTAATAAAACATGGATTCCTAAAAATTTATTCATTCAATTTTTAAATTTCATTTATTTTTTATCTCTAAATATTACAGTTCAATACCAGGTCACGCTGAAGCTGTTATATCAACAAGTTTTAGTCCATCAGGAAAAGAATTAGCTAGTGGATCAGGGGACACTACTGTTCGGTTTTGGGATTTACTTACACAAACACCATTGCATGTGTGCAAAAGTAAGAATACTTAATAATTCTAAGAATCCCAGATGGAATAACAGAATATCCTTTCAATATAAGTGTCAAGTAGTCAGCACTTCTTCATGTATGTAGAAAAAAAAAACAAATTAAATGTTTTAGGTCATTCCAACTGGGTGTTATGCATCAGCTGGTCACCAGATGGATGCAAACTAGCTTCAGCATGTAAACAAGGCAGGATAATATTGTGGGACCCAAAATCAGGCAACCAAATTGGAAAAACTATGATTGGACACAAGCAATGGATCACAGCATTAGCCTGGGAGCCATATCACAAGTAATACTAATATGTATATAAATGCAATCTAATCTAATTTTAAAAACCCTTTAACACTGGATTTAGTTAGTAAAAAAGACAACTGTATATAATTTAAAAAGTGGTACATGTTACCAACTTTAACCAAATGCACATGATATCAGAATTTGGTGATTGATATTTCATTATTTCACAGAAATTCAGAATGCAGAAAATTAGCAAGTTCATCAAAGGATGGTGATGTTCGAATATGGGATACAGTCACAGGGATCACCATTTTGAGTTTGACAGGCCATTCAAAAGCAGTAACTTCAGTGAAATGGGGTGGAACCGGTTTAATATATACTTCATCTCAAGACAGAACAATTAAAGTAAATATCTAGAGCATAATCAGTATAACATTTAATAACTAAAGGTAGCATAAGTATCTATAGGCCACCTTAACCTACATTGCTGTGAAAGCATTGTTAAATCATCAGACTCACACATCACATCAGATGCACAGCACTAATAAACCTATTTCAATGTGATTTTAAGTAAATTAATTACTCATCATTCATATATCATCTATTCTGTGAGATTTTAGGGATTGAATAAGCAAGACATTGCTTATTGAAGTAATATTATTACATTAAATTAAATTCCTTTAAATAAATTTACATCTAACTGTACTGAATACTAGCTGCTAAATAAATTGTTTATATGAAATGAAAGATAATTACTTAAATGTTCCTTTTCATATAAACAATTTATTCTTAATTTTTTTAGGTATGGAGAGCAGATGATGGAATCCTCTGCAGAACTCTAGAAGGGCATGCTCATTGGGTTAACACATTGGCCCTGAGTACAGATTATGTAATACGGACTGGTCCTTTTCATCCAGTTACAGACAAGAATGGACTTAGCACAGACAGTCAGTGTTGATATTTTGGTTACTTAGCACACTACAACCACAACTCCATCCAGTTAAACATTACGCTTACCACATTATTTAATGAACTTGAAATATTAGGCTGTAAAATTCAGGAAGACAAAGTTTGTTGGGCGCATAGTTCATAATAAAAACGATTGTACGCACAGATTAATAAAGTAATTTTTACAATATTGTTTGTAAAAAATACTTAAGTACTATATAATATTAAAATAAAGTTCCAATCAGAACTAATTCTAATCACTAGAGTTATATGGATCGTAAGACTCAACTTTTCAACACAACTTTTAATAGTTAAAAATAATACAAAAATTTTAATAGTGATGACTAACAAGAGTTTCCGTTTATAGAAAATGTCCTTCAGCTACGTGCTCTAGAGAGGTACCAGGCCGTTTGTCCTGAAGGAAGCGAGCGCCTTGTCTCTGGGTCTGATGACTTTACTCTTTTTTTGTGGCTACCTGAGAAGGATAAGAGGCCATTGGCACGAATGACAGGTCACCAACAACTCGTAAATGATGTTAAGTTTTCACCAGACACAAGGTAAACTTTTTTTTGTATTTCCAATATTTTGGTTTGCCCTAATTGTTCCTTGTTTGAATTAATTTAGATCTCTATGTTTAAAGGATAATTGCATCAGCATCTTTCGACAAATCTGTAAAGTTATGGGAAGCTGCCACAGGCAAATTTATTACTACCTTGAGAGGGCATGTACAAGCTGTATACATGGTCGCCTGGTCTGCTGATTCTAGGCTATTACTAAGCTCAAGTGCTGATTCGACATTAAAAGGTTAAATAAATTCCATAAGTCATATAACATCACCACAGCCATTATTAAAAGGTTTCTAATCTGGTTTATCAATTTTAAAATGTTATAGTATTATTTCAACGCGTATTAAGCTTGTATATTATGTTTTAGAAACTTTTGGAAAATGCGCGTTTCGTAATAGCCAATAAACATGCTTATAAATGCGTGTCCTGAGAAGTATTGCCTCGCCGATTGGACTAAAGACGTTGCTTAGCGTGCTTATACGCACAGTTACATACCTTTGGTGTATATACATATATGTTAATTCGTTAATTTTGTTGAGAGTTTGCAAACAATGTTCAATGTTTTCTTTAGGTACTATAAAAATTATATTCGTTTTTAGTATGGAATATTAAGACCAAAAAGTTGGAATTGGATTTGCCTGGTCATGCTGATGAGGTGTATGCGGTTGATTGGTCACCAGATGGCGCATATGTTGCATCAGGAGGAAAGGACAAGGTTTTGAAATTGTAAGAATCTCATATAATATCTTTTATAGGTTTCCCTGAAAAGTTTACCAGGAGTCTCGAAATTAGTAATTATATCCTTTTGTGTGCTTTTTCCGAATTGATTATTTCTAATAAAATGGGTGCCTTCGAAACAGTTTTTTGACAATATCTTCTACACATATTTCACGATAAAAACTTATTTCATAAAATGAATAAGAGAAAGTTTCTTTTGATACATAAATCTTCTTTTGTATTATAGTGTGCGAACACGCCGCAAATTCTGCTCTAATAAGTATGTACAGGTACCAAATAAACTAATAATCCATAACATCACGTGATAGAGTAACGGCCACTTTCAATAATCAATCTTCGGTAAAAGTTAAGATACTCTGGTTTCGTTACTTAGCAACGGTTGTTATTATAGTCTGAATAATAAAAATATCGTAGCAACAAAGCTCGAGTAGGTCTACCTGTTACTGGAGTTTGATTGAAACTGGCCGTTAGTGGCGACAAAAATCAACTGTTCTTAGCACCCCATATAAAATTCTCCCATTTCACTTTCGATACTAGTTTCTATCCATCTAGCAGTTGCGTGTCCGAAATATCCTGCACTGCAATAAATATTAATTTATTAATGTTTGGCTCCCTGATGTGAATTACGTACCTACCCTAGAAGAGCACCCATCGATCGTTCCGATCTAAATCTGTATTGAGGATCAATGATCAGAGAGTGATCCTCGAGGTAGCACGTCAGACAGTTGTTAAGGACTAGAATTATACCCAATTTTGATGACAGCTTTAGGCTGGTAAGTAGCTGCTGTCTAAGCCATTTTTGGAAAGTGGTTGCACATTAGCATCTTTCCAAGTCTTCACACACGTCCCAAAGACTACGAGAATTGTTCCAAGCACATAAGAACGCCAGATAACTTTCGCTGAACATTTTTTTAGTACAATTGCTGCAAATTCCATCTGGTCCACTATATTTCCGGACGTCTAGCGATTGCAATTCTGCACGAACATCACGCTGCCCGATTTTAATATCAGGTATAGCACCGTAGTGTCATATTTAGTTATATCGGTAGTAGCCCAGTGCATTAATAGTTTCGGGAGTTAGCTACGAAGAGTTCAGTAAATTATCTTTCTCTTGCGTGAGGCTATATAAAGCTGCCGCAAGTAGGGCTTGCAAAACTTCAGAAGTAGCAAACAAGCTCCCTGTTTGAGTTTTTTTTGTAATGACTTGGCCAAACGCCGAAAATTACCTGATAGAAGCCTAGCAGAAACACTATTGCAAGCTGCTTTAAGGTGAATCGACCCCGGGATTTATTATTTATACTCTTAATTGCAGCAGCGCAATCGCGATTGACCCAGCACTGATAAGGTCAAAAAATGGAATAAACTATTACATTCCCATTAAGATCTCCTCAGTAATAGTAACAGCGCAAGCCGATGGGCCCCTCTCACTGAAGTTTCCTAGGGATTTGCGCAAAGTGCTCATGTAAACTGACCGACCTGGCGTTTGACTAACGTCAGATACCAGGCAGTCATCCGATGAACTCAATGGGGCGATCACAACCTAATAGCGCTGTGGGTGAGTCGTTAGCAAAAAGTCCAGCGAAAATGACGTAAATGCTCCTGCGCGTCATTTGCTGCCATACCAAGGTTGTCAATTAGTCGAGTCGCCTCAGCGTCGCCGGTGTGAAATCCGTAGAGGCGCACGTAGGGTCTAGCCAATGAATCAATTCTTTCTCCTTCACCACTCTCATAATTCGTTCTAAACCAACCACAAGATTCAGCAGAGGTATGGGGGGAAAACAGGATAGGCCAATTTCCTATCATCACACTTGATAATTATAGACAAATACTAGTTTAATTTATTGTTTAGACGTTTTTACCGTTAAATAAGTCCGGAAATATCGAATTCGTATCGTTTGCGAGTCCGAAATGTCACTGTCAAATGTGTACTGATTTTTACTGCTGCTGTTCAAGTTTCCCTACAAAATTTGACATTGTCATTTCGGTTTGCAAACTATTCGAATTCGATAATGGTTCGTACTAGGGGTACTGTACGCTTCAACGCAGAGCGCGCGAAACGGCAAGTCCGCGTCGCTTGGCAACTGACTGCGTTATCTTTTCTCACTCTACTAACGGCTGAGATGTATTGTTGTACTCTTCTTAATAACAAATGGCGAATCAGTAAATAACATTCAAGACAAACCGTGATTTTTAAGAAAAAAATGTCCACTGAGCTCCTTGGTATGATCATGATTGGAATACCTACCCGATCGTCAGGGAGATCGGGTCGCGCCGATCGCCCTAGATCGAGTCCCTTACTGCCCAAGTCTTATTACACCACCCTTAGTAAGGGTCCCTTAAAATTTGCTAGTCTAACAGACTTTTGAGACACATTTTGAGCGCTCGATGTGTATGGAGGGTTTTTAATATCATAGGGTACAATCCCTTGAAGCTCTGAGAAAGTTAAACTTCTATGGTTTTTATTATAAAATTATTATATTTATTTTAGTATATTAATTACTTCCCAACAAAAAAGTCTCAACACAAAAATAGCCGTTATGAGAAAATATGACTTTTATGATTGTTGGTAACGTTGAATGTGTATAATTAAAAAACCATAAGACTTGCTTCATTGAAATTTGATTATCTTAATAGCTTATTTAATGTGAATTTCATAGGATTTAGTATTTACAGCGAAATTTTTAAATATTTCTTAAAATAATAAATCTGGACTTTGGAAAAAATTGTACTTTTATAGATTACGCCTATTCCCCTAAATTAATTTTAAGAAAGAAAATTAATTTTATTTTACTTTTTCTTTAAACAAAAACAGTCGTACTTAACCCTTATTGTGACACTTCATTTGTAATAATTCTTATATAAACACTAGCTGATCCAGCGAACTTCGTACCGCCATAAAAAATAGGGGTTGGAGGTAGAAGGGTGAAAATTTAGGGGGATAAAAAATAGATGTCTGATTCTCAGACCTACTGAATATGCATATAAACGAAATTCACGAAAATCGGTCGAGCCGTTTCGGAGTAGTTCAATAACGCACACCGTGACACGAGAATTTTATACATTAGATGTAAAACTTTTCTGGAAACAACACACACACTCTTTAATCACAAATGTGACACTATTCATGATGACGAATTGAGCGAAGCGGCCGGCCCATTTGTAATAATTCTTATATAAACACTAGCTGATCCAGCGAACTTCGTACCGCCATAAAAAATAGGGGTTGGAGGTAGAAGGGTGAAAATTTAGGGGGATAAAAAATAGATGTCTGATTCTCAGACCTACTGAATATGCATATAAACGAAATTCACGAAAATCGATCGAGCCGTTTCAGAGTAGTTCAATAACGCACACCGTGACACGAGAATTTTATACATTAGATGTAAAACTTTTCTGGAAACAACACACACACTCTTTAATCACAAATGTGACACTATTCATGATGACGAATTGAGCGAAGCGGCCGGCCCAGTAAACATGAGATCTTTGTGCTATCTAGTGGTCACTATGCTTAACACAATAACATCGAATTTACAGCAGGGCAAAAGAAAAATTAGCTATTTAATGTTTTAAAGATATCAAACACACCTAACATGTTATAATATTAATATTAGTGATACAAATATCTAGTGCAAGAGTCCAAACAAATGCAAATATTGAATAAACTTATTTTATTTGTTTCAGGTGGCAACATTAAAGCACTGCTGAAAATTACATTATTTTATTAAGAGAATCAAAATGTTACATTTTATTGTATCAATAAATATAAAAAGTATATATTAACTTTTATTACTTAATTTTAATGCTCTTTTTAACATTAGCTTTAATGCCTGATGCTTCCCCAGAATATCTAGTGATTTCATTTCTAGGCTCACGTATGGCACCCTTCCTCCTTATCTTTGCCTTTCTATATTTGAGTTTATGTTTCACTCGGGGATTTCTCTGTTCCTTCTTTCTATGTGGTGTTAGACCTTTGTTCTTTGCAATTTGATAAGTAATTTGTCTCTTATCTCCTATTTCTTCATTAACAATATTGAAAGATTGTGATGATGTTGAAGGTTTGGTAACATCCTCTACATCATTAGGAGAGTTATCATTGTCTGAAAAACCACTTTCTTCTGATTGATCACTATTCCTTGTAGTATTTCTTTCATTTTTCGACTTGAAGAAATCAGTTCCTTCATAGTTTTCTTCATCATCTGAAACACCCGTATCTTCACCATCATCTTTTTCTAATGTGTTAATGAGTTTCAGTTTCTTGGCTGATGATTCAGAAACAACATTGTGAGACTTGCGTTTTCTGCTTTCTTTCATTTCAGTACTGACCTCAGTAACACGAAGTTCTAAATTATTCTGCACAGCAGTTAATATTTTGTCTATTTGTGGTTTAATAACTTCCAAGAATATAGGTTCCATTTTGTTCAACATTTGTCTGTACTGATACAATCTCTTGATAACAGGGTGATTTTGAATATTGATTTTTTGACTTTTAAGTAGTAAATAAAAGCTTATGTTTGTACAGTAATTTAAGATTAGATCATAATTTGTTTTAACAAATTTTGATGCAGGACATTTAGGTACTTTACCATCTTTTATGAGTTTTAAAAGTGGATGTAAATCATCCTTAGCAACTGTGAGTTTTGTTTTGAAATCTTCAATCAAACCAGCGAATTCAGGGCTTTCTTTCTCAAGTAACTGCATCTTCTGCCTTTTGGACATCTGACTCAAGTCACTTTTGATAACAGTTTCTTTTTCGTCCACATTAACCAGCTGTTTGTTAAAAAAATCTAATGCAAAATCTTCATCACTTAGTTGTTCCAGAAGCCTTTTTTGAATATTTTTTGCTTCTTCTTCTTCCAAAAGAGCAGCTTCTTCGTCATTACCAAACCCTCCATAATCTTCATCAACATAATCAGTAGCATAATAAACACCTTTTTTCTTTCCCCATGCTTTTGAATCGGGCAAGTCATCATCAGATTGTTCTTGACCCTCAACATCACTATCTGCAATACCCAAATCTTCTCTCTTATCTACTTCATCATCAGATTCTGAAAAAGCGAACATTTCTTCCTCATTATCATCTTCATTATGTTTTCTCTTAAGAACCTTTTCTAAAAGTTTTTTATCTGACTCCGAATATTCTTCTTCTGAATCAGAGGGTTCATAATTGCCCTTTACATTAAAGTTAGACTTCACCCTGAAAAAACATAAATAAAAGTTAAAGGGCAATCAGTTAACCACAACGGAAATTACAAGGAATGCGCGTGTTAATCGCTGCAAATATTCAAACGATAGCTTACCTTATTTTATCAGCCATTATGAGGTATTATTTTCTTCTTTAATAAATGATGTGCTATTACCAAAATGCTTTTGCAAACATTTAGTCGCATGTAATTTTTAGAGGTTAGTTTATTACCAAATGCCTTCTTAGTGAGTGATTTTTAATTATATATCAATTAACTTCTTTCCGTTCGAAATTAAAGCAAACATTTCTACCTCAATATAATCCAGAGAAATACTCGCTTCGCCCAAAATTCTACAATTATCGTGCAGACATTTTATTTCGTAAAGATTTTGGTTCCCTGCACAGACTACTAAGCAAAGGCACTCTGTGCTACTAAGGTTAGAGATGGAAAAAACGGCTTATTTCTTAAAAGCGTTTAAACGTTGTACTTTTTAAAATAAGCGCGCTTGAAAAAAAGCTTTTTCGTTTAAACGCTTATTGGCTTAAACGTTTAAAAGCATGCGTAAAAAGCGCGACGTTGTGTTGTGTTTTCGTTTAGGTATATCGTTTAAAAAAGCGTGAAAAGTTTACTGTCGTTTTTAATGTGTTTAAGTGTTTTATTGCGTTTTTTCTTCTTATTAATGAAATTTTTATTAAAAATTTTTTTTAAACCTAATGAATTGATTGGCATTAAAAACGAAAGATTTTCAATTGAATTTAGATTTTTTAATAAACATTTTTATAATAGTCAATAAACTTTCCTTCTTAGTTTACAAGCTTAGGACTGTCTGGAGTTAATATACTCGTGATCCAGGCGTACTTAAAAGTTCATTGATTTTATATACATACTTTTAACTATTTTATATGCACATTAAACCAATACACGAAACGCATTAACACGTCAAGCAAGCATGCAAACACACCGTACAACACCCACGCGCTCTTACCCCGTCACAGTGACAAGCGTACTGCTTTTCGACTTCGTTTAATTAAACGCTTTTAACGAAAAAAGCGTTGGTTATCCGACCAAATTTTAAAAAAGTGCATTTTTTTACGTCGCAATATAATAATTCGCATTCTGTATTAACCGGCTCACGAAAGATGGCACGCCGACGCGGCGCTGTAGTCGCGCGTTCTATGTCTGTGATATTGTGAAATATTTAGTACCAAGGAATTCCGCGTACCCATTTTACGATACTGTAGTGGACTAGAAGGATCGAAGTATGTAGTTTCCTGGCAAAGACATAGATGGCGGGATTTGCACTTTTTAAGTAAAAAATATACTTGCACTTTTTTAAGTGAAAAGCTTACTCACACTTTTTAAGTGATAAGCTTATAAAGCTTATACTTAAAAGCGTGCTTACAAGCTTAATATTTTAAGCGCGCTTATTTAAGCGCTTTTCGTTTAAATGCCCACCGCTAACTAAGGTGGCAAGAAAACCATAGAGAAATTTAAGTCTGAATAATGGCAGAACTATACTTATCGGTCGTGTTGTGTTCGTACTTGTAAAGCCAGAAACATATTAACGTGTCGTGTCGTGGCGCTCCAGAAGCACATCGGTTTCATACATTTACTATGGTTAGAGACATATTTACGTATCGTGTCGTGTCGACGCTTTAACCTCTCTATCTCTCTCTAACCCATAATAAATGTATGAAACCGATGCGCCACGACACGTTAATATGTTTCTGGCTTAACGCATCCAGAAAGCTATCTGTTTCATACATTTAGTATGGTTAGAGTGAGAACGGTGTCGACTACATAATGCTACATAGGAGGAAGGTATATTAAATATTGAAGATAAATTATTTTACTAAAAGAAGATATCATTTAATTTTTAATAATAAGTAGAACTGCATTCACATATTTTTTTAAAGTCGCATGCCACAAACGGGAATCAATCTAGTGAAATGTGAAACAAAAAAGAGAAGAAGATGCATTTTATAATTGAATGGGATAATTACAAGGATTATTTTTAAATTAAACATTTTGTATTAATAATTGTACACTAACTACAATAAAAACGAAACGGTGCAAGAACTTTATTTTCAATTTAATTAATCGAATGTTTAGAATGTGATCCATTCTGTTGTATACAAATTCTTACTCAATTAATTTTCTCACTGCCCGTCCATTACCTTATTAAGTATCAGTTCCGAGGCAAGCAATTTTAAAGAATCCGTGTTTGTTAATAGTTGTACTTATTCATTAAAACAAAACAATGTCTTCTTTCAGTAAAATAACCTATCTTTATTATTTATAATATACTTTCCCTCCATGTGGCATCCGTGGGACTTAGAGGATATATCAATGAAGATGGCATAGGCGGGCGAACGAAATTTGAAATAACAATCATTTTTCGTTCATGATCGTAAATCATCATTTAAAAAATACGTAATCAATCTAAATCAATTATACAATTAATTCACACACACAATCAACACATTGTTTTTAGACATCGTGCTCAAAATAATTAAAATTTTAAAAGATAATAATATTTTACTAGTTTTGCGTTTACGTTCTATAGTTTTATTTTTACTTTTTAACATAGTGAGGAGACTAAAAGAATCGTATAAATTCGATAATAGACAGATTCTTTTGACGAGTGAAAATCTGTTAATACTGCGTCCACCTCGTGATCACGACCCGCCATTTTGTTTGTCTCTTCAGTACGAGTGCAAGAGCCTTGTATACGATACGCGTGTTCAGTTTAGTTGATTATGTGTTGTGTTTTTATTTCGTTCTTATCATTGTAGTTATAATAACTGTTTAATAATTATTTCGTTGTTACTAAATTTTACCGGATATTTGATTGGTTTTGTTTGTATTTATAAACACTATGGCCGAAACTCAGACCACTAAAAGAACTGTGACGCAGTCAAGCGCAAGAGTTTGTAGTAAGCCTACAATAAAATTACTTTGAAAGAGAGTATCAGAATGGTGGTCCATTGCTGCCACCTTCACAAGTGACTAACCGAGTAAGTGCAGCTCTTGGTATCAGTCGAAAAACTGTTTCCCGAATAAGTAAGGAAAAACATGGTAATGATTTAACAGAAGACATTAAATTAAAGTAGCCATTTAAAAAACGATCTTGTAGATCGATAGTTACACATATCGTCAATTTTGATAACGAAGCCATATGGCTACTATAGTAGGAACGAATTGCTGACTCGATAAATTGTCAAATTATTTACGAGAATCTGGACTGTTTCACGGCAGTACTCGGAGCAATGAAGAAGCCTGGAGAAGGTATTACTAAAACCCGGTAGCCGGTTTCATTATTATGAAAGGATTTCATTATTATGAAATCCTAAACTAAAACCGGCTACGTTTAGGATTTCTTAATAATGAAATCCTAAACGTAGCCGGTTTTAGTTTATGGAAACTAGTGCTTGCCGCTACAATATCGACAAAGTATCGATAAAAGTATATTTGATTGAAATGTTGTCAGATAGATGATTCAAATTTCACCGTTTTCTATCCGAAATATATTATGTATATGTCGCAGTAAGATAGATATATCCGTAATATACACTCGACTGCAAATAAACTGAGCCACCCGCTAGTACCTTGGAACTGTAATTCGATTTTTTCAAAAAGTATAACACTTACAACTGTGAAAGCTATGTCTACAGAAAGTGCGTTTCATAATTATTAATATGAGTAAAAATTTATTCTAAAGTACTGTCAATTTACTTTGTAATCCAGTAAGAACCGCAATGCTAACAAAGTTGCGATTATCTTCTTTTTTATAAAATGAAGATAGTCTGATACTTCTTTTCATTTCCTTAGTTTTTGTCCATAGTTTTCTCAGACGTGAGGGTTTTTGTTTCGTTCGTGACTTTCGAATACCACAGTTGGAAACAAAGAAGAATCGTTTCTTCTTTGTTTTTTTTTAATAAAAACTTAATTAATTGTTTACTCTCAATAAATACCAGGTCATTTTAATCATCATGAAACGCACTGTCTGTAGGTATAATTTTGATAGTTGTAAGTTTTATACTTTTTAAGAAAATCAAATCAGAGTTCCGTGGTAGCAAGTGGCCCAGTTGATTGCAGTCGAGTGTAGTTATATCCCTAGGGATATAATTATGTACCGGAACATAATTATACAAAAGCGAATCATTACTATCTTACTAGGAATATAATTATAAAACGGTTCAAGTTTAGTGATATAATTATATTACTTGATTCAGTCATGCGGTGGTAAAAATTAAAAATACTGAGAAATATAAAAAGATTGCCTCAAAACTGTTGATTAGTTTCAAGTATTTTACAAACACCAAGTTTCTCAATTGTATAGTTAATGCTTAAATACAAAATATGATCAAAATAATTTTATATCACTGTTATTGCTAAAAAGTATTGTAACTAATTGCGGGTTAAAAAAAAGTTGATTTTTCATTAAAAAATAACCAATAATATTATTTTAATTGAGTCTCTGTTTACCTATAACTTTTTATCTAGATTAGTTTATCTGACATAAACATATTACTAGATTGTGACCGCAAGATAATATTGAATCGCCTTCGTATAACTATGTTCCGGTATATAACTATATCCCTAGGGATATAACTGTATTACGGATATATCTATCTTACTGCAACATATATATCTTTATGCCGTGTTCACAAGGAAAAATTTAATCGTTGTGGAACTTTAAATAAAACAACCTACATCTTCATTTTAAGATTTTTATTGTCCTTTAAACAAAATAGTTTTATTTAAAAGTTACGAACTCGTTCCTCAGGTTGTACAAGTTGCTTAGTTATATAATAAATTCTGATTTTCAAGTAATACTCAGCTATGGCTTTTATCAGCAAATTCCTGTGATTGTCTATATTCCATTGATCAATACTGTGTTGAGATAAATCTATAAATAAATCGCTGCAGCTAGCTAGTGTTTTGCTTATAATTGTTAAGGTATTTTGAGGAAGCCCTATTTGTTGAACTCCAAACACCGAGTATTGCTTTAAAAGTCTTTCGACCACTTTGCATACTTTTATGACATCTGGTGCAGCAAATAATAACCCTCCTTTGTTTTTAATTATAGTGAGTGTATTTATTTATTTAATCTTTATTGCCTTTACACTGCAAATGGCGGACTTAATGCCAATATGGCATTCTCAACCAGTCAACCGGAAAGAACATACAGAGCTATAAAAAACGGCAGAATCAAAGAAGAGACATTAAAATCAAACAATGAGCAAATATACTATCACTTAACTATACATACGACCATACTTATATTTATATATAAATATACACACAAACACTATAAATAAATAAATAAATATATATATATATATATACATACACGCACATACATATAACACATATACTTTGTCGGATTACAGTATTCTGATTGTGGTTAAGCATTATGCAATTGCTTAAGGTAGTGTTCCCGCGCCAAAGTCTTAAACACAATCCTGCTTGGAGCGTTACGCACATTCAAAGGAAGTGCATTCCAGAGCCGAACGGCAGTAACGGTAAAAGAGTTTGAGACAAACCCAGTGTGGTGAATGGGTACATTGAGTATCAGATTATTAATGGACCGAAGATTCAATATATGAGAAGACCCAAGGAACTGAAACCTAGATTTCAAATATCCAGGGGTACATGGATCGTATAATATGTTGAAAAGGATGCAAACTGTCCTTAAGTACCTACGCTCTCGAACAAGCAGCCATTTAAGTTTATAACGGTATTCAGAGATGTGGTCCTATTTACGTAAACCAAAAACGAAGCGAATGGTATTGTTTAGAAGACGATCCAATTTAGTAAGAAATAATTGATTTATATCAGTAAAACAAACATCACCATAATCAAAGAGGGGATGAACAAGGGATTGTACAAGGGAGATTTTGGTACACGGAGGGAGAAAATTCTTTAAGCGGTAAAGCGAACCAAGTGTTCTGTTTATCTTACGGCACATATTTTCCATTTGGCCATCCCAACTAAGCGTGTGGTCAAGAACAAGCCCAAGGTTTTTGACTTTTGTAGAATACGAGATTACTACACCATTGAACATAACAGCAGGAATTGTGATCCAATGCAGCTGCGAAATTTGTCGAGAACTGCCGATAATGATCGCCTGACATTTATCAGGGTTGATGGTAATTCCAAAGCTGTCAGACCACTGATGTATCCGAGAAAGATTTTGATTAAGTAGACTAATTGCCCTCCCCAGGTTAGGTAGGGTGTCCTGAGCATACAGTTGAAGGTTGTCCGCATACAGATGATAAGAGGTGGAAAGAACGGAAGTGAGGGAGTTAATAAATAGAGAGAAAAAGAGAGGAGAAATCACGCCTCCCTATGGTACACCAGCGAGTAAGTCGATCCAGTCCGAAGTTGATTGATTGATTCTAACAGCTAGTTGACGCCCTGAAAGGTAAGAGCAGAACCACTTAAGCGAAATGGAAGAGCACCCTATTTGCGCTAGCAGATCAAGAAGAATGTCGTAGTCAACTGCATTAAATGCATTAGAAAAATCGAGAAGAACTAACACAGTCAACCGTGACTCCTCCATGCCATCTCATATGTCCTCAACTATTTTAATAAGCGCCGTAGAGGTACTGTGCCCAGGGCGGAAGCCAGACTGGAAGGGAATAAGAAGTTGGTTGCGATAGACATAAGACGAAAGCTGTTTATGGACAGCAGCTTCGAGAATCTTAGAAAGGTAAGGTAGAATAGATATAGATCTAAAGTGACTGAGAAAGCTGGGGCTAGAAATTTTGGGAAGAGGGACAGAGAAAGCCTTTCGCCACACACTAGGAAATGAGCCGGAAGATAGAGATTTGTTCATGATAAAGGTCAATATAGGAAGTAGAGGGTCCAATAATACGATAAGCATGTTTCTGTTGATATTATCAAATCCTACAGCCATGGACTTGATAGAAACTGCTAACTTTTTAACATCATCCTCTGTAAGTGGGCTAAAGGAGAAAATGTCTTTTGGAGGAGTAGCCGTGGAAGAAAGTTTGGAAATGATGAGAAATTTGACAGTGACAGGAAGTTTGTGTACAAAAGAAAAATGACGGTTGAATTCGTTTGAAGAAAAAGGAACACAGAATTGGAATCAACTTTTGCCAATACCAATTGAGTTAAGAACGTTTCGGCTGGAGATGAGTCCATAAGATTCTGATGTATATAACGTCGTTTAGCACCTCTTATCATCTGATTGCAGCGGTTTCTTGCACTCTTGAAGGCCATCATCACCATTAATAAAGTTATTATAGATGAACAGTACCCAATACCTGTCATTGAGGATATATTCGCTGAGATTAACATTTGTCAAGCTTATCTCAACATGGAAATGGATGAGGAAAGTGCAATGCTGCAAACAATCAGTACACATAAAGGATCCTTCAAAGTCAACTGTCTTTTATTTGGTATCAAGGTAGCTCCAAATCTGTGGCAAAAATTTATGGACAAAACTCTGCAGAATATTCAAGGTGTCAAATGCTTTTTTGATGACGTCATCGTGCAAGGGGAATCAAATGAACAATTGTTACAGCGCCTAAAACTAGTTTTCCAAAAACTAAAAGAAAATAATCTCCGGTTGAAGAAGGATAAATGTCATTTCATGGAAAAGAAAATAAATTACCTCGGCTATACAATTGACGAACATGGACTACACAAAAATAAAGATAAAATAAAGGCAATTATCAAATCAGAAAGGCCGAAGATTATCAATGAATTACAAATGTTTTTAGGAATAGCGAATTATTTTAATAAATTTATTCCAAATTTAGCATCTCTATCGCATCCCTTGAACAACCTGCTAAAAAAAGAAACTCCCTTCGCATGGACAGAACAATGCAAAATAGTTTTAGCAGAATTAAAAAGGAAATTACGGATGATAAAGTTCTTTTAAACTTCGATCAACACAAACCTCTTGTTCTAGCTACAGATGCAGGCCCAACAGGCCTGGGGGCAGTACTCTCACACAGGCTATCTGACGGATCGGACAGACCTATAGCATTCGCATCTAGGTCTTTGAGTACTAGCGAGAAAAACTATAGTCAGATAGACAAAGAAGCGACGGCAATTTACTGGGGGCTCAAAAAGTTCTACCAATACTGTTATGGAAGGAAATTTATACTTATAACTGACCACAAGCCTCTGACAACTATCTTTTATCCTCAAAAAACACTACCATCAATGAGTATATGGTGCATAAGAAAATTAAAAGAAATATTTGCAACTTTCGGGTTTCCTTATGTTTTAGTATCTGATAATGGGAGGCAGTTCACATCAAATGAATTTAGAAGATATTTAAAGTTAAATGGCATAACTCATAGAACATCAGCGCCGTATCACCCGGCAACAAATGGACAAGCCGAACGATATGTGCAAACGGTTAAAAGATCACTAAATAGCATGGACTCCGAGGGAGGTGATATACACGAAAAACTTTTAATTAACAAATCACAGCTTCGCAGAGCGCCGAACTAAAATACAGGAAAGAGTGCATACGAGCTACTTTTCGGGAGGGACATTCGTCCCCAACTTGCTGCTGCACTGATACCTCCACTAAACTCTCCCTCCTTTCAGTTTAGGAGAACACCCACCGACACCGCCAGGAAAACGTTTTCACCTGGAGATCGTTTACAGGTGCGCGACTACTCACCCAGATCTAAATGGGCCTTTGGTACAGTCACAAAAAGACTAGGTGTACTACATTATGAAGTACTCACAGACGCAGGCGAATTGTGGAAACGACATTTAGATCAAATGCTGAGTACAACATTTCCGAGATCGGCCTAAGCATTTGTGAGGGAGGACTGTTGTATACTAATCTCTTTGCAAATATAAAAGAGAAGACGATGAAGGAGCTGCTACCTTGGTTACCGCGTTGTTATTATGTCATCTTTGATTATTAAATAAATGCTATGAACATAATCTACTGATTATTATTGAACACTATACATTACAGAAAAATATAATATTAAAATAGAAGGAAAATATAATTTTAAAATAGAAGAAATAAATGACAATGCAAAATGCATTGAAATCACAAACAATGTACTCTTGAGACTAGGCTGCTACTTATCGGATTTAAATAAAATATAAATACTGTTCCGTAGGTCACTTTATACGTAAATGTAATGTAACTCATTTAAAAAAAACTACTCACTATATTAGTGTCTTTGCTTGTATAAATATACATATAAACATACGACTATGATATTTTGTATGTTTGGCAGCCCAAGTAACAAGTCATGTGTTTTTAATGCAAAACCAACATGAGCACTTGTGAAATTCTTCATATCCATATTTAGTCAGTCAAAAATATTTTTTATAACATAAGTACAATTCATAACGCTATAGTTTTTTTGCTCATAATAACAGTAAAAAATATTATTTCCATACTCCACACTAATATTATAAATGCGAAAGTGTGTGTATGTCTGTTACCTCTTCACACTTACACCGTTGAATCGATTTGGTTGAAATTTGGCAAAGATATAATTTGAGTCCCGGGAAAGAACATAAGATAATTTTTATCCCAGAAACCATCCTTTAAGGGGTGAACAGGGGGGATGAAATGCCAAACAAATTTTTCCACGCAGACAAAGTCGCGGGCACCCACTAGTTTAAAATAAATACGTGTCTCTTAGATTTCTGAATTCAGTCACCCCACATACCATACCAGAGGATATCGATACTAAAATTATGATTGTACAACACTATGAAATAAATATTTGTATTATTTTTGTAAAATATCGCCTAAATGCGATCCCCCTTTTAATAATAGATAGCAAAAACATAGGAGTCTCACAAAAATACATTGAATTAAGCAGTATAGAAGACATAAAGAAAAAATTACATAAAAACTAACCTGTGAAACGAGACATTTCTGTCTTCATCCGATTTTGTACTACTACTACGGCTTTTACAGCCGTAAGCAACGCAAGCCATGAAACTTTTTTTAAATACCTGCTCGGCAATGAATAATTTTAAATGAAATACTTAGTTTCACTTCGAACACAATAGTTTAATCACTAGGCAAAAGTCCACAAAACAAACACAACAAGTAGTCAATTAAACCAACAAATTATCACAAGTGCGCACAGTACGAAGCCAAAACAACGTGTGATGATGATGATGTTTTTTTTTACATTGAAATATATTTCCGCCTTTATTTGCAATTTTACATGTGGTAATATTATGTTCGTCAAATTGACATTGACAGAATGGGGATTGATCATGATTTTAGCTAACATACCTCAGAGACTTACTTTACTCCATAGAGTAACTTTGTATAGCTTTACTCTTTGCCTCAGAGTAACAAAGTCTTACTTCTTTAGTCATTGAAACATACAATCACATTTATTGCTTACTAATTTATGAAATAAATGAATACCTCTATTTATAAAAAACAAGCAATACCTCCAATTCTAAGCCTTACAGAGAAAAGTAATACACTAGGTCTAAGCTTCCAATGACTACCTTTAAACAAAAATCATGTTTTTGTTATTTACGTTTATAGCCTGTATGATTAGTGTAAAAATCGGGGGAAAGGCATCATTAGTCGGACCAAATGAGTTTATAAATATAAAAGAATGCCAGCATTGTAGAGTATTGACAGACTCGTTCGGATACTGGATAGAAAAAACCTCAAGGGGAAAATTTGATGGTGGTGATGCAGCCTGGGAAGAAGCAAAACTAAAGTCATATTCACGTAGTGAAATTCGATTAGTAGAAATTCAAGAAGGACTGTGCACTGAACTTAAAAAATTCCAAGCTAATTGTTATAGTTTGGCTGAAGAAACAGAGACACTACTGGAAAAGTGGTGGTTTTTAAATAACCCACAGTCATTGGACCTCTACTCATGGTTATGTATCGACAATCTACAATACTGTTGTCCTGTTCATCATTTCGGGCCTTCGTGCACTTCTTGTCTTTTAGATGAAAATAAAATGGTTTGTAGTGGACATGGAAAATGTGATGGTGATGGTACTCGTAAAGGAAATGGTACTTGTTTGTGTGATCAAGGGTACACAGGAACATATTGTGATGAATGTGCTAAGAACTTTTTCAGAAATAACATTGCTTGTAATCCATGTCATAAAGCATGTAATGAATGTATTGGCGATGGAGTAGATGCGTGCAAAGAATGCAATGTAGGATGGCAAAAACAATCTGACTCTTGCATTGATATAAATGAATGTTCTGATCCATTGAGTTGTAAATATAATGAGTACTGTATTAACAAGCAAGGATCGTACACCTGCAAGCTATGTGATAAGTCTTGTAAAACTTGTGAAGGCTCGGGACAGTTGAATTGCACTTCATGTGAGTCTGATTCTGTACTTTGGAATGGTAAATGTGTTAATGATGCTTTGAAAAGTCAAATCTTAAGAATTGCTCTAAAAAGAGCAGCCCTGTATTCAGGGTTATTAATTATAGCATTCTTCATACTGCGACAATCTAAAATGTTATCTTCAATTGTAATAGCTATAATTGCAGTTTATGTATACTTTTCAGAAAAAACATCTGATGTTAACTTGTTAAATGTACTATTAAACTTAAATTTAAATTAGAGTGAGAGAATCATTATTTTACACATTATAATATTAGGCATGGAGAAAGTTTTGGGCACAAAAAGAGATCTTAAAAGGACCCTACAATTTAAACCTCAAAAAGATAGTGCTAGATACTAACCTTTTACCTTGCTTAACATATGGCAGCCAAACCTGGGTGTATACAAACAAAGTAAAAAACAAAATAACAACATGCCAGAGATCAATGGAGAGGAGCATTCTAAAACTAAAAAGGATAGATAAAATTAGAAGCACTGAAATAAGAAGCAAGACTAAAGTCATAGATGCTCTAGACTTTGCTATGAAATCTAAATGGAAATGGGCTGGACACATTGCCAGATACAAAGATAAGAGGTGGACATTGAGAACAACAACATGGAAAGGGCCAATAGGAAAACGTAGAGTGAGAAAACCAAAGAAAAGATGGTCTGACGATATAAAAGAAATAGCTGGACCAAAATGGATAAATATTGCCAAGGACAGAGAAAAATGGAAGAGTCTGGAGGAGGCCTATACCCGAAAGGGATCTGTTAGTATGTAAGATGTATAAATGTTAAAATGAAAAACCTGTATAACAGAAAAATAAAAGCTTTATTATTATTATATTAATATTATGCATCAGTAAATTCATAGATTGGTGTTCATAGATTTTTAAACAATTTGAGTTTTGAAAGTATGAAATTTAAATGCAAAAAGTGAATATATTATGCCAACATTATTGCATTTTAAAATGGTACAAGTAGTCCCATCCCCCAACTTCCCTTGCTTAGCAACAGCTGCCAATAGAGTGCACTAAAGTAGTCTCCTTCATTCTCATTCATAAAGCAGATTGCATCTCACTGTTTAGCCTCTATGTCTCAACGGTGTCAGCAACTGTCAAAAAAGGAATCACAAAATATTTTTACATTAATTTCTTTAAAACTGTACTTATGAATGACATGACATTTTTTCTTGTCTCAAATAGTTCCCGTGTATTTTGTTTACTGTCTTAAAACACACAAGACTTTTTATCTGGAAAAATGTAAAATATTTACATGATGTAGCAAAGTGTAGCCGCGGCAAGAGAGTGTGCCCCACCGAATGTAAGTGTGCTAATAACCTGACTCGCATTGCCACTCTAGAGCGTGTATGAGGTATCTATAATTAAAAATGATCATTGCAGTGTGTATTATTAGGGAAAGTATTTAACTGTATTCTTGGTGAGGAAAAGAAATATAAAATAAATACCTGAGAAAGGTGTATTAAAAATACATTTTATTGCGAAAGTTACATAACTACATTAAAGTGACAATTATATACAAAAATTAATTACAACACTTGGAAAAGTATTGAAAATGTGTAAATATAGGCTATAATACATTGTGGGTATATATAACAAATTTAAATAGAAATAAAAACTACTTCTACATATATTTTATAAAGAATAGCAGATTGTAGGGTAACATTAAGAATCATTTGCAGATAATAATACTTATGTGTAGTTGGAAGATGATTTAAATGCGCACCATAAGGATGCACTATTAATTTGATGCATATTCTAAATTCCTTATGGATTTCAATTGGCAATTATAAATTTGGCTTAAGCATAGATTAAATTTCAGTCTGAACAGTGGTTTACTTCCTAAGAAATTACATAAATAATAGATGACTTGTTAATAAAAAAATTATTTTCAATGTCATCTTAGAAATTCTATATAAATTGTGATGCCATAAAAACTAGTACCATAGAACAGATAAATTAATTTTCCAACAAAACTACTGGTGGATACTTCACAATTATAGTTAATTAGAAAAAATATTCTCAATCTTTTTGCATTCATATGTATCTAAAAGTGCATAATATTTTAATGCCTAATTAGGGGTGGCCTTAGGTATTGCAATACCTCCGGAGATAAATCAACACCCCCCTGGCGTGAGCATCGCATTATGAGCTTATTAACAACACTTAACTGTCTCAGTCTATTGTAGGACAGCCAGGTTGTTATCACACTGGCGATTTATGAGAGAGATTACAGCAAAGCGATTGCACCTTTTATTCCCAGTCACCCTCGCAAGGATAACCACCGGAGCGAATGGGAATAAAAAAAACTGAAATGTGGTAATAATATCATTGCCGACAGTGCCAATCCCCATGGGGCACTGGAAATAAAGGAAGTGTGCAAAGAGCTCACGGAATACGTGTTTAGTCAGTAACAGAATGTTGGCTTGCCATTTCGAAGTCTCTGAAAACGAAAACAAAGAAAATGATGAATATTTTTTTTCATGTAACGGGCTATTGAATTGTAGTGTACAAGATGGCGTCGACGGCGCTATTTGCGGCAAGCTCGCTGCGCACTCGCTTTACTTTCGGCTCTCGCAAATCACTAGTATGATATAGCCCTCAATGTTCATACATCGTGGGAGGGGGGTTTACAATGCACTTGAACTAGACTACTTGTGTGCAAGAAGGCGAGAGGCCCCTGGAAGAATGAAGCCCGACAGTTGCCGGTTCACTTCCTCCAAGACCACTGTGTCTAATAATAAACTCAAACTTACTTATTATACTTCGACTTTAAAACATTGGGCTATAGGTATGATTCTCTAAACCGAAAATTAAATTTGACATTAGTGTATATCCTGATAAGTTCCTATGAAAAAATTAATTAATAGACAGTTATCAAATTAAGTTTTAAGATTAGAGAAACGTGTCAGTATCAGGCCCATAAGTAGTTAAAAAATAAACTAAATTGACAAACAGTGATGAGGTTTTAAAGTTATTAACAAAACCATGATAATACAGTAGCATATTATTTTGATAATACAATGTAGTTGATAGGTTGGCAAAAATTACTTCTAAATGTGGTGTTCTATGGGAATGATGTTATGTACCTATTACACCTTCACGTCGTATAGCAGGGGAGCCCAAGCGGGGATTTTGGATTTACTCCAGCGCGGCAGATTAAATTTATGGGGGCAACCTTGCACCTTGAGAAGTACTCCCAGCATATCTGAGCTTTCAAAGCAGGGCCGAACGTCTGTGTAGCAAAAAAAATTGACAACAAACGGCCATGGCTTTTGGTCGCGTCCAAATCCTTAGTCTTTTGAATAGAAACCACGTAACGGTTTTGAGGACGGAAAAATATTGATCTTCCAGTTTGCATGGTGTGGGGGTGGCCGTACGAAAAGGTTGAATATAGGAAAAAAATGTTCGAGCGCGTCTGACATTGAGAAGGGATGTTGGTTGATGGACGTGAACTCTCCAATAGTCCTTTTCAAAAGACTGACGATTTGAACGAGACGCGATCTCCGGTATGGTGAGAGTATTTCTCAAGGTGTAAGGTTGCCCACCTTATGTTAATTTGCCGCGCTCGAGTAAATCGAAAAATCCCGCTTGGACTGGGTACCATTATATCCATTCTTTAGTTTGCAGTGTATGAATAGCACAAAATTAAATGTATATAAATCATTACACACGACACCTCATCAACACCATATTAGGCAATTTTATATAATAGAAATGCCACCAATGATTAAGCAGTAAATGGGTCTTTGGTGAAGACAAATCAAATATGTAGAACTTATTATATTAATAATATATTACTCAACAAAATAAATGAAAGAAAATTAATCATTGTCTTTTTAAAAAAATTAACACAAATCATATTATTAGAGATTAACTTTGTTCTAAGTTCTTTTTGGTAAAATTTCATTTTTAAGTACTAAAATAACACCATTACCTATGTTTACTTGTGAAATAAAATACTTATTATATAACACTAGCGAATCCTCAGAGAATAATATAATAACTACCATTCATTGCAAAATACACTATATCCCTTAATGTGTGCTAATAATACAAATAAAAATAATATTAACGGCCGCACTAAGAGCAGTCAATTTTAAGTTTGCCTAAAGTTATACTATACCTTTTTGTATTAGGGTATTTGACAAGTTTTAGAAAACGATCTCACGTTATTTACTAATGTTTCATCATCATCATCAGCCTATTACTGTCCCCACTACTGGGGCACAGGCCTTCCCTATGGAGGGAATAGGGAGATTGGGCCATGACCCACCACGCGGGCCCAGTGCGGATTGGTGAGTGCTAACGACTGCAGATGCAGCCGGAACCAACGGCTTAACGTGCCTTCCGAAGCATGGAGGAGCTCGAGATAGTAATTTTTGGTTACCCATCCAATGACCGACCATTGCGAAAGTTGCTTAAGTTCAACGATCGCAGCCGAACGCTCTAACCACTTGCGCCATCGCTAATGTTTATGGAGTCCATAAAAAGCGGATATTTTTAATTCTGTTGTGCAATTTAGTAAAAAAAACCTAAATTAATAATTCAATTTGTGTGTGACGTCACAAGACTGTCATTAAAATGTCAAACGATACAATGTAATGTCACTTTGGCCGGAAGTAAACTAGCGTGTTACTTCATTTTAGTCTTGGCCAATCCCAGGCGTTTTCGGTCACATGACCCTGGAGCAAAAAAATTCAATCCTATTTAATGATTTTATAGAAAAGGTATTAATATGTTTTCTTTCAAAATAGTAAAATCGCTGCTAATATTCATATTGAATACAGATGTTAACAATAATTGGTACAATATTTTTCATACTGTCAAATAGCCTACTAGGCATGACTTAATGCATTAAATTATTTTGACGTTTCGGAGCACGGCTATTAAACACGACTAGCATTTCAAATGCTACAATGTGAACAAAGTCATAAATTTCTGCAAAAATAACGAAAAGATACAAACAGTTATTCACAAAACACTCTGGGACAAAAAAACAGGCACCTAGGTAATTTACGATCCACGAAAGATTTTAATAAATTCAATTGAATCTTATTAATTATTGGCCTAGTCTTAACAATATTGTGAACTTAACATGCATGCATTTTTTCTGACAAATATATCCAACAATAAGAAAGCTATCACCAGTAAAGATAAGTTTATAATTGAAATAATCAAAATGCTGATGACGAGTATAATCTTTTTTTGCCAGAATCAGAGCTTACGCCAGGGCAGGCTTTCCACTATATTTTAATTACATCTTGTGGATAACGCCGGGTTTTTTTTATCTCGTGCTTTTATTAGGTTTTGATGTTATAAACCTCATAATACAAATTCCATGTCACAAATACGTTTGATCGAATTGCATATCTGTTTAAGAAATTAATACACTAATATTCAATTTTAATAATATCAGTCTGCTCTGATTTATTCTAGTTATGATTATCAATTTTCGGTCCCATTTTTTAATACTCATCCAAATTGTTCTCTTCAATCATGTTAATTTTATATTTAGTTTCATATAAAGCAATATAAACATCAAAATTTATAAAAGCACTTCACATTACAATTTTATGGAATTTTGTATATGATATTATTTCCTAATTGATACTTCTATTCTCAGTCTGAATTGTATAAATGGAATGTACGATTTTATTAAATACAAGTAGGTTCTACTACAAAAATACAAATTGTGCTAAGAAAGACAAATCAGATAAAAAAGAGTAGATGATTAAAGTTATGAAGAAGTTGTAATAATATTAAACATTTCTTTCAGGTTATTCAACCATAATCTGAAATAAATGTTTTGTATTAGAAAGTCTGCATATCTAATGAAAAAAAGAATGTTAAATACAAATGGTGCAATATAAATGAACTCTAACACACATTAACTATAGAGCATACCATCTTTCGTTACAAAATGTAATCAGTAAATCTAATGTAGAAGATAGATGATATCTTATTAAAAGATTTTCCTTCGTTGACAGCAGTACAATAAACATTTACAATGCGACCAAGAACTTTATGAATGTGGCGAAAATTGGAATTAACGCCGCCGTCTTTGTAAACGTCATATTTTGTAAGTAATTTACGAAGACAGTGGCGCTCTCTCTGAACTGTCACTCAAGTTCACAAAGATCTTGTTCGCACTGTATAACAAGTTAAGCGTATACACCTAAAATACTTCACGGAAAATATATATTTTTTATAATAAAAGTCTTACGATTTATGACTGTGATGTTATGCCAGCACTACACATGGCTAACTGTGGTTGCGATTTGTACACTTGATAAGAAAATAGTCTATAAATACCATAGGGAATGAAAAGGAGAGACTATTTTCTTATCAAGTATACAAATAGCAACCACAAATAGCCAAGTGCCGGCATTAACTGGAGCAATGATAGTAGTGACAGATGTCATATTTTGTTTAAAATTGAAATGCATAAAGCTTTTCGACATTAAAAAGCCTGTACCACACTAATATTCATTCATCAGCCCTCTAATACAGTATTATACATGTAGTGCATTTCAACCTTTATGGTGTTTGTGAAGTTAGCAGCGAGCGCAACTGTGCGCAGATTTAGTCAGCAAAATCCAATCCCAAGAGATCTCTCTGTCTACTAAGCGACACTGACAACTCTCTAAAAAGAGTTATGGCGATGGTGCAGCCCAAAGATATACGAACTATTAGCCGCGCGATTGCTTCGTCCCACTCACACATTTTTTACATTTTGTAAAAAATGTGTGAGTGGGACGCTCTGGTCATTATTTGTGTCTATGGTTAAACCTCGCGCACAACTACATTTCGTTTATTGCGCTTCCACGTGGGCTAACTCTACAGCCGCCATTTGGATTGAGGCTTCGGGCATGAGAACCGCGACGGCGGTCGCGGAGCGGGGCAGCGCGGACAATGAACCAGCGATATATCTAGTGGCCATGAAATAGCAGTGATGATATACGACCCAGTGCAGCCGCGGTCCTGGGGGGAACACAGGGGATATGACCTATGATCCCCGAAATCGCACACGTCCAATTGAAAAATATATAAATTTACAAAATAAAAGAAAAAGCAAATATTTGCCCGTAGCCGCGATGAATCTCAGCAGGATAAGCAGTAATGAGCTTCTATCATTTGTTAAAATGTAGGTACCATTCCGTACAGTTGTCAGACGTAATTATCTACGATTCGACATTGATTTATGTTCGACCAATTACAGAATTCTTACTATAATAGAGTAACTCAAAACTTTAATACTAATAATAATTGAAGTGTTGTAGACAAAATTACCAAAAACATTGTGAACAGTAATTTTTTTAATAACAATAAAACTCAATTTAATCTGTCATCATTGTCTGTGGGTATAGCTTTCTGCTTCTTAGTTTTATACTTTTGTTTTTTTTCTTATTCTCAATTATTCTACGGCTCGTGTCGTGAGTGGATTGGATAAAGTATATCATGTTTGATTTGTATTTGCGAAAACTGTGTTAGGCATGTCAACACTAAATCATTTTGTTTTATCCTCTGTTATAACATGCCGTGTGTTTGCCACGAATAAATAAATAAAAATACTGTTGAATACATCGCTGACATATCGCGACTGCCGTCACTTGACTGCGGCAGTTCTCGCGACCACAGCCTTAATTGCACTACACTTGAAGGCTACATAGACTACATTAGGAGCCAATCTGCCGATTTCCAATTAAAGTTATGTACCCAATAAATTATTACTCAATCAAAAAGAAATGCCATTCGTTGTGGATCATAAATAAAGACGGTTGTCAAGTAATTTTCACAATTCCTTATTTCGTCCATTATACGGACGGAGCGTTAACAGACGTAAAATTTTTAGCCAAGTACTGAAAAATCAACTCTACCGCCACCTTAGATTAATTGACGAAAAATCTCTCTTTCATTTTAAAAGTCAAGTTCAACTTTACTAATAAAACCAAAGGTCGGGCAGTCATGCCACAGGCTCGCACGCAAATAAGTACGCATCACCTGTGTGATTTAATATGGCAAATATTAAAAATGATCAACAAAAATAGTAATTGATCCTCAAAAGATCGATTTGAAACCTAACCTAATGCTTAGGTTACCAATTGTATTTTTAGGTGATATATTTTTATTTCTTCGGGATTTCCCATTTAATTTGTGATTATGTTAAAAAGGAAAAATACGTTGAATATTGACGAAGATAACCTTATATCCTGACGTAGTTTGTCTACCAAGCAAGGCGCGACTAGTCCATCAATGCTGGGGTTTTGCAATAAAGCATTGAGGGAGATATAACCTTGTTTGCTGACGTAGTTATGAAGCGAGGCACGCTTAGTCCATGAGTGCTGGGCCACGGTGATGCGAGGACAGTTGTGCGGCGAGTTGTCTCTGTTGCATTAATTAGTCCTTGAATGCTGGTCTGCGGCGACAGAAGGACAGTTGCGCGGCGAGTTGTCTCTTTTGCTTTAATTAGTCCGTGAATGCTGGTCTGCGGCAGAAGGACAGTTGCGCGGCGAGTTGTTTTTGCTGCAGTAAGCAGTACAGGCTAGTAAGCACGGACGTTGCTTGGAGCCCGCGCTAGCGCTCGACGGGCGCAGCAACGTCGGCCCGAACACCCTATTTGCTGACGTAGTTTGTTTTGTATGAAGTGAGGCGCGCCTAGTCCATAAGTGCCGGGCCACGGTGATGCGAGGACAGTTGCGCAGCGAGTTGTCTCTGCTGCAGTAAACAGTACAGTATACCGGCCTGCGCCATCGCGTCGACGGTGCCGGCGGCCAGTAGGTCCGTGCGTTGCTTGGAGCCCGCGCTGGCGCTCGACGGCCGCAGCAACGTCGGCCCGAACACTGTCGCGAGGTTGTGCAACGACATTTTGTTCTCGCCCTCGTGTTGGTTCACTCTGCGGGATATGACGACATGACACGATAAGTTTAGCAATGCGGGTTTTCTACGGGCGCCAGGTGGCATCACTAAGACGAAAGGTCTACTCATCCGTCCAATCACCTATGTCATCATAGTCTACGGATCGATGTAAAGTCTTGTTCGATTAATTCGCACCTAAAACTTCATACAAAAGATTTCATTTCACAGTGGCGTCAACTGGTGGCGTAAATTTTCCTAAACACTCCCTAATTATTACATCCACCATGAGTTTTTAAATACAAGAAAGGGCTGGACCCACTTACGGAATGAGTGATATACTTGAAGCAGTATGTTAGTTTCCGTTACACAAATCAAAATATTAACAATAACTTGTAAACTAGGAGAGAAAATATATTCGAGTACCGAGATACAAAAAAGGGAAACTCACTTGACAAAATGATTAAGAAGGAAGTCGATGCAGTTTTTATTAAGATCTGGCAACTGTGCATAGCATTTCATCAAAGCATGGCGCCTTGTGTGAGCTGGACCAGAATCAACAGATGCACCTGCTCCCTGGAAATAAAGAACATTTTATTATACTAAGTGATTATAAGTTAATAAATTCTTAAATATTTCTCTCTTAAATCAGGCGTCTTCCAGTTTCTTTGGTTCAGAATCCGCACAGACGCATAAAATCATAACATTAGCTTGATCGTTTTTAGGCTCGGAACACAGAAAAGATGTATCACGCAGACAGAGCGCGGACATTAAGTCTCTCCCGCGTCCTTTTTTCTAAACTTATTTTCGATAGTGTCACATCCCAAACCCTAACTTCCTACCCTCATGATTTTTATCCATTTATGGGGGCAACCTTCACATCAATCGTGATGAATGACACTCTTCTGATACGACGTCCGTGTCAAGCAGACGCATCTACCATAACAGCACGCAGAAGTCTCAACAGTTACGAGCAGTCTCGAGGATACGTAAACCAGTGTGATAAAGACAGTGGTGTCGATTCTGGCATTATGTGAGCCACTACCAGCGTTGCCAGATTTTTTTTTGCCAAGTCGTGATTTAGGATTTTTTTAAGTGAAAAACGCGGTATTCATTCGTCGAAAGCGGGACATAGTAAAAAATGTATATAATCAAATGTTATTGAATATTTATCTTCATTACGCGCCGGGCAGGCGGCCAGTCCACACTTGTCTGTGCCACCGTCCAGTTATTCCCAAAAAGCGGGATTGAGCCTGTCCCGCGCGAGATATTTAATATTGATTTAATAATCGGGACGTCCCGCCAAAATCGAAACGTCTGGCAACGCTGGTGAGCCACTACGTATACTTATTTACTTATCGGTGTTCCATACGAAATGGAAACATCAAGTTAGTATCAACAAGTTTACCTGAGTAGCACCCCACGCTCGCAACAGTTCCGGATATAGCGCGTCGGTGAACAAAGCTTCGGGCAGTTCGCGCAGATACAACTTCAGAACCCCCGTCACCGAGTGTATGTCTACCTCCTTTAATAGCTGCTCTGCTTCGTACGCATCTGAAAAGGGGCATACTTTGAAGAGAACGACTAACCTAAAACTGAACGCCCCTCAATTTACTCTTACATGCACAATCTGTACAGATGCAACACACTCAAATTAGCTATAGTCATTGGTCATTCAAAATTCAGTCGCCGGCTAGACACGAACGTGGCAGCACGCTTCTATCACTCATAAAAATGTGGCCTTTCCACATTTTTCAGTTGAGGTTAGGTTAGGTTCAATTCAAAATTAGATGACATCTACAACCGTTGAATTTTGTTAAGATTTAAATATTTAGACTTATGACAAGTTTTGAACTAGCGGTTTTATCTTTTATAGCATTTGAAATAAAGCTATTGTCAAGAACAACATTTTTTTTTCTATGGGATGTCATCGATGTGCGCTCGTTCTACGAGGATTTTTGTCGGTTCACTTTACTTGTAAAGTTCTGGCTTCGATCAGCCGCTAGTTTGATAAAATAGTGTAATAGCAGTAATTTAAAAGAGTCGGCAAGTATGTCTGCAGCACAAGCTCTTATAGAGATAAGAGCTTGTCACGAAGAGTCGTGACGGAAGTTAGTTATTTAGTAATGCCAGAGGAGCTTGATGCGTACGTGGTTAGCGTGTTCAGCCTGCAATCGTGGAAATTAAGCACCAATGGCCGGTCATTCGATGGGTGACCTAAAAAATATTATCTCGAGCTCCTTCGTGTTTCGGAAGGCACGCTATGCCGTTGTTCCCACCAGTCCGCACAGAGCCCGCATGGTGGGTCATGGCCCCCGCTTCCTTTTCCATCGATAAGGAAAGCATGTGCCCCAGCAGTGGGAACATTAATAGACTGATGCCATCTATGTCTGGTATAATAAAATATTAAAATTTAGTGCTATAATATAATTATGGTGTATAAGGATAACATTCTAAGGGTTTCTATTCTCAAATTAAACGGGAATGGGTGTTAATGCTGCAACACATTTTTTTTAAACTATAGTAGTTATTAATGAGTCACGGTTGTATGTACAGTCTATTTGTTCCAAATATATATTATTACTAGCTGAACCGGCGAACTTCGTACAGGTTACAATATAATTTACATGTGAAAATTAAATTCATGTTTTTAATATCCTCCTCACAATTTTTGCATATTTTCTCACCGTTTAAACCTTCCCTAGACTACGATAAAGATTTCAAAACCAAAATCAACTAAATTGGCCCAGCCGATTTAGGGTTTTAGCGAGACAAACGAACCACTATTGATTTATATATATATACTAGCTGACCCAGCGAACTTCGTACCGCCCTAAAAAAATAGGGGTTGTCCAGCGGACAAAATTGTGAATCTAAACCATTCTCAGATCCCCTTGAACACACACAAAAAATTTCATCAAAATCGGTCCAGTCGTTTAAGAGAAGTTCAGTGACATACACACTCACAGAAGAATTATATATATAAAGATATATATAGACTAGCTTTTGCCCGCGGCTTCGCTCGCTGTTTTTATGGGTTTCCCTGCAATTATTCGATTTTTTCTCACCTTTTAAACCCTCCCTAGACCTCCACAAACATTTCAAGACCAAGATAAGATAAATCCGTTCAGACGTTCTAGAGTTTTAGTGAGACTAACGAACAGCAATTGATTTTAATATATATAGATTATGTAGTAAGTATAGTACTTACTCGTTTCGAAGCTCTTCTTGAGGCGATTGAGGTCCGAAGTACTCCCAGACACACGGTACACGCCCACTTCGTGTATACCGCGCCGCTCCACCTCCCGCACGCACGCGCTTATTATGAACGGGATGTTGCGTTTCTCTCGCCTGCAGGATTGTCACAATGGAAGTAATTGACGTTGAAGTATTTAATTGACGTTAGTATTCTAAGTAAAACAGGAGAAATCGTTGAATGAACACGTTTTATATGGGCTTTACATTTTAAAGTTAATAGACCGCTTACCATCAGTCACCGTGTGTGCGTGTTCTTGGGCTTTAAATTTTTAAAAGCATACGTGTACGATAAGAATGCGATAAACAGCATACAATTAAAATCGGACTGTAGGAAATAAGCGGAACAATATAATGTGCGGAGGAGCTCGATGGCAGAAGTGGTAAGCGCGTTTGATCTGCAATCGTGAAAGTAAAATAACTTTCGCAATGGCCAGTCATAGGATGAGTGACCGTAAAAATAATTTATGGAGCTCCTGCCAGTAGCGACCCGCCGCCCAGCGGCACCGTGTGCGACAACTGATCTACGGGACTGTATTATGTACTATCGCGGAATTTCGCGCTCTGTCACTTGGCGAACAAAATGCTTTGAAGGGTTTTCTACAGTAGTTTTTACTACGCCCGCCAATCCGGGCCGCCGCACAAAAGTAAGAGAGAGCATTTCATTGATTGAATAATGAATTGAATTGCATTTGTTTTAGTTGCAATTTGTCATCCGCATCGTGATCGCGACAGCGCTATACGAAAAAGTAAGACAGCGATAATTACATGTCAATGAATGAATTTTTACTACGCCGCTACCGCATGCGATTATGGCATTATGAGTGACAGCGGGTCTTTCCGCGAGTGTACGTACTTGGCCACGTGCGTGATCTTGGCGCCGAACAGCGCCCCGGGCTTGGCGCTGGGCACGCGGCGCGCGGACCGCTCGGGCGGCAGCAGGCGCAGCCGCAGCGGTAACGACCCGCCGCCCAGCGACACCGTGCGTGAGACGCCGCCACCTGCGCCTGCGCCTTCCGACACCCACTCGCGCGACAACTGATCACACGCAACAAAAAACATAGATGAATAAAGATATGTTTTCTATTCTACGACAATGAACTTATGATATTACAACTGGGTAGTTTTTACTATTATGTCTCATAAGGGATGACATATAGACAGCCCCTCTGGGTGCGTCGTATTCACGCGCCCGCCGAACGAGTCTTAACGCCGGCCGAGCGTAAGATTTTTTTATAAACACAAACTATGAATAACGCGTTCTCCCACAACTTTTTGCGCGTTTGCTATGTTTCATCACTAACAATAAAGTACCAATTATTGGCGTGAGTATTTAACATGAACATTGGGAGCGATTTCGCTATTCCGAAAAAAGTAGTTGATAATATTACTAAAAAGCCTGAAATAAAAAAGAATTTTTTGATCTACTGTCACATGATCGGCAACGCCTAGGACAGGCGGAGCCGAAAATGACTCCTTGTAAACATACTGATGAACATATACATACATATAGACGTAATAGTAATGTCACTTAGGTTTGGATTTTAGGATGGGCAAGCAACCAGTCACCTGACTGTAAAAACCGTTTATTTTAAAATGAAGAAAGAACAATATGAAAGAGCTGCATTTTTTTTACTATGTTCCAAAATAAATCAAATAATATGGATACAGTAACAAAAACAAATCCATATTTGCACGTGCAAGCTACTAAGAAATAATCCTGGAAGTCGCGGTTCTTGTCGATAACCCGCCAAAGATTATTATTAAATTTCATTCTTAGATTTGATTATTATTAAACATCATTAGTAAAATGGTTAGTACTAAAAATATCAGCACAATTAAATAAAAATATTTTTCCCATAGCTACTTGAAAAAGGGAATTCCATTCAACGATAACAGTTAATAAAATTCTATCTTATTTACTGACTGAACAAAAATATTTGAATTTGGAACAAGCACAAGTCATATAAATCATATACAAAAAAGTTAACATTCATATTAATACTAATAAATCGTTATTAGTGTCGATTCTGGCATGCTTCTTTAAACTTAAAACTAAATTTAACATCAGTCACTCCTTTTCATTCTGTATAGAAAATGTTAGCTAGCTGTTTTGCTTGAAGATGCAACAAGGATGCACTGTTGTCAAATTTAATTTTAGTTTTAGAGAATCATGCCAGATTCGACACCTTGTCCCTGTAAAACATAAGCAATATGAAATTCTATTCATTTTCTCTCAATGGTAAAAAAATGGTTAGGTTTTATGAAATACGATGCAAAAGCACTTTTAAAATCCTTAACAAAAAACTCCTCATGCGACTCAGGCATGCACGCGGCCGTATTTACCTAAACTGCAGCAGCGGAATTTTGTGAAAGGGCTCCTAACACATTTTGTTTTACTGTAGTTTAGTTTTAAATTGTTTACCGTAAACCAATGAAGGACTTCAGAGAGAGAGCACAATTTACTTCGTCATAACAATCATTTCCTCTTCTAGCTTTAAACACTAGAGGTGTCATTAGCAAATGAAATGAAATGAAATGAAAATGAAATGAAATGAAATGAAAAGTCATTTATTCAGTCTAGGCTGTTACAAGCACTTGTGAAAGTCAAGAAGCTACGCCATCGGTTCGCAAAACTACGGCGGGAGACCTTGTACTGAGAAGAACCGGCAAGAAACTCAGCAAGGGCTGCTTTTTTCTCCCTGTATTGATATATACAGAGTCGTCAAGTTGAAAAATGACTTCACACATACTTCTGAAGTCACCTTCCATTACATTATTTAGGGTATAGATATATAGTTACAACAAATTTTATATTTAGTATATATAGGAAGCGGCATTAGATAGGTACCATACTACTGTTACAAAACTGACTCATACCCATCAAATAAGAAATTACAAGAAACACTATGTCCATGCATTACGATCATTTAGATAATCATTAACTTTATAATAGCCCTTATTCATAAGAGTATTTTTAATCTGAGATTTAAATTTGGTTAGTGGAAGCTCAATCAGATCTTGGGGAACTTTGTTAAAAAATGCAATACTACATCCCAGAAATGAACCTCTTGATTTTTGGAGTCTGAAACATGGAACGGCAAGCTGGTTCTTAAATCTCGTGTTTAAGTTATGGGTTTGACTTTTTTTTGCAAATGCGTCATAGTTTCTTCTTACATATATTATATTTTCATAGATGTATTGCGATGCCAGTGTTAAAATATTAATTTCTTTAAATTTTTCTCTAAGAGATTCTCTTGCCTTTAAATTATATATGGCGCGAACAGCTCTCTTTTGCAGTACGAAAATACTTTCTATATTAGCAGCTGAGCCCCACAACAAAAGGCCATATGACATAACGCTATGAAAGTAACCAAAGTAAACCATTCTTGCCGTTTCCACATCAGTTAGGAGTCTTATTTTTTTAACAGTGAAGGCCGCAGAGCTCAGTCTACTTGATAAGGCATCAATATGAGGATCCCATTGCAGATGCGAGTCTAAAGTAATACCCAGAAACTTTGTAGAATCCACTAACTCTACAGGCTGGTCATTTATTTTTAAACTAGTATTAACTTGCCTCACATTAGGTAAAGTAAACTTAACACATTTTGTTTTGCTAGAGTTTAGTTTTAAATTATTTACCGTAAACCAGTGAAGGACTTCAGAGAGAGCACAATTTACTTCGTCATAACAATCATTTCCTCTCCTAGCTTTAAACACTAAAGAGGTGTCATCAGCAAATAGTACTGTCTCACACAAATCTCTTGTAAAGTGAGGAAGGTCATTAATATAAATAAGGAAAAGCAATGGGCCCAATATTGAACCCTGGGGCACGCCCATAGAAATGGGTGTTCCTGTAGACTCAGCTTTATTTATAACTACTTTCTGAATCCTAGCAGAAAGATAAGACTGTATCAGACTTAGTGAAATATTTGATACACCATAATGCTTCATTTTATTTAACAATGTTTCATGGCTAACGCAGTCAAACGCCTTAGATAAATCGCAAAAAATGCCAATAGCATCGTGCTTACTCTCCCATATATCAAAAATGTGTTTGAGAAGTGCAGTTCCAACATCAGTAGTACTTTTGCCTCTAGTGAAACCAAACTGTTTTAAATGAAGTAGCTTATTTATAGAAAAGTGTGCTAGTAATTGGTTATAAATTATTTTCTCAAATACTTTACTTAGCGCTGGTAATACAGATATAGGCCTAAAATTGCTGGGATCTGATTTATCACCAGCCTTAAAATGAGGGATAACTTTAGCACATTTCATTAGATCTGGAAACACTCCCTCATCAATACATTTGTTAAATATAATGGCCAGTTGTGGCGCAATGACAGTGATAATCGGTTTTATTATATATGTTGACATTCCCCATAAATCCTCTGTCTTTTTAATATTAATAGAATTAAATGTTTTTATAATACAATCACTACTGATATGTCTAAAATAAAAATCATTACTGCACTTATCAACACTTGACTCAAGGAGGGTCATTGCTAACCTAGAACAAGAATTAAGATTTCTAGTTGATTCAAACGGTGCACTAGAAAAGAAATTTTCAAAAGTGTTGGCAACGGCATCATCTGTCCGAATAATCTTGTTGTCTATTTTTAAAGAATATGTGCGTTCATTGAATTTATTTCTTCCAGTTTCATTATTAATTATATTCCAAGTTGTCTTTATTTTATTATCTGATAGACAAATTTTTTTTGATAAAAATTTAGCTTTCGCTATGGCACACACCTTTTTAAAAGTTTTTGAATAGTTTTTGACATATTCTATAAACTTAGGATCAGATGAGGTTGCTTTGAGAGCATATAATTGATACAACTTATTTCTACTTTTGTAAATACCAGGTGTGGCCCAATTACTAAAATTCTTTTTAAAGCTATGGCATTTAATTACTTTGCGTTTGAATATTTTATTAAATTCATCTTTAATTAAATTAAATAAATCTTCATATAAAATATTATTATTATTACAAACTGGTGAGTCCGACATTTTATGATAAACACTATCTTTAAATTTATTTATACCCGTTTCTGTAATTGGTCTATAAGTTAGGTCATGTTTGTGTGAAGCATGATGGTGTTCAAGAGAGGCTAATTGTCCACTATGATCAGAATTAATACAATTTATTATTGATTTATTAAAAACTTTCCTATTACAAAAAATATTATCCAAACAGGTTGCTGATGCATGTGTGATGCGGGTAGGCTCAAAGAAGATATGCTCCAAGTTATATGATTTAAATAAGTTTAGAAACCTACCCACTAACGGACACTTAACTAAAATATTTATATTAAAATCACCACATACAACTTTATTACATTTACATACTATATTGAAAGCGTCTTCCATAGCGGACTCAAATTGAGTGTAATTCCCAGATGGGGGTAGATATACACATATTATGATCATTTCATCAAGTTCCACACAAGATAGTTCAATATTACGTTCAACTGAAAGTGAAACAATATCTGAACGTTCTTTGTATTTAAGATCATTCTGTAAGATTATGAGAGAGCCTCCCCTGATAGCCGATTTCCTACAAAAACTACTAGCAACTGTATAATTATCTAAGTTCATAACTAATTCATAATCTCTGAGCCAGTGCTCGGTAATACATAATATTCTAATATTCTTTGCATTTAAAAATAAGGATACTTCTAGGTCTTTACCAGAAAAGCCTTGTATATTTTGATGAACAATATTTAGGTATTTAGACTTTTCCTTGGTCATGTTGTAGCTAGAGAGTTCCTCTGTTGTCTTAAGAACTAATTTAAATTACAATTAATGTCAGTATTTGGAACAAATTCCAAGGTCTGATCTACATAATTATGCTGCTCAATAGAAGCAGTAGTGATAGCCAAATTTTTGGCTATGTGTGTAAAATAAAATAATAGCGAAGAAGCTATTTGTCTCTTATTGTAATACGAAAGATAATATTTATCTCTTGTCATTTTATAATTATATATTAATTTATTTATATCTATTAGATGTACTATTTGACTACTATACTGAGTCATGGTACTTAATGCCAAATTTAGCCTATACCTAATATTATTTTCTTCATTTGATAGACTCCTACTATATGGAAATGTAAACATAACTATTCTATTTACATTTAAAGAACACAAAGAGTTATAGTAGGTTATAATGTCATTTTTGTTAATATTGCCTCTATTACCAATTAAAATAATTAAACTTGTATTTTTGTCAAGTTCAAGACTTAATATTTTTTTCATTAATTGGTGCATTGTGGCACCTGGCAAACAATAATTAATTATGCTTTCACCCAGCTGTTTTTTTAATAAGCAACCTAAATCTTTACCTAATTCGTCACACAACATTATATACTTCTGACAGTTACTCTGCTTAAAAGAATTACAACTAGTTGTGATCTCCGAGTGAACAGATTTAGTGATCATGGACTCGCATACTATATCAGTGTCATTTTGTTCAATACTACTCTGGTTTGATACCAAAGACTGACATTTAACAGGTGTGTCTTCGTGAAGGGAGGTGTTAGATAGATACTTAAAGGCCAGAATGTATTCATCTATCTGTTTTTTGGAGTTATTATAATTCTGAGTCATTTTAGATAATGATTGCTGAAGGCTTTTTAACTTAATATTCAATGACTATAAATAGTACTGTCTCACACAAATCTCTTCTAAAGTGAGGAAAATTATTGATATAAATAAGGAAAAATACTCGTAATGAGAACTCAATGGAACGGTTGGTGTTGCAAGGGAAAGTTAAGGGCAAAAGATCTCGCGGGCGCTCTCCGACACGGTTGACAGACCTTATTAAATCGGTGACACACTCCGGCGTAAATGATTGCTCGTGCTCCGTAAAACATCGAGCTGCATGGACACGCATCGCGATTGTATCAGTGGCACAGGAATCGACCAAGACATGACCACGACCACTCTGTCAAGAGTGCACGACTAGGAAGAAGATCAAGTTTAAAGCTATACCTTTAATGTGCATTTTCCTCTGAGCACAGGTCGTGCCGCATCTTCGTATAACAGTAGCCGCAGGTTCTGCGATCCTTCCAGGTCTAGCGTGAAGCTCTCGTTCCAACGCGGCTGCGCGCTCCGACACACAAGCTTGGACTTCGCCTTGCGGAAGTAGTGCCCGTACGAGTCCACTTCTACCACCACGTAATAGTCTGGCGATTAAAACGTTGAAATGTTGTATTTGATACGGGACTCAAGCACAGGAGATCGCATGATGTAACAAAGTCGGATTTTTGGGGGTTTAATTATCGTTTGCAGATGTGATTTTTATACGCGTTAAAAAAGCACTGAAATGAAACCTAAGGGTGTCCAACTTGTATTTACCACTTAAGGTCCATGGCCCAGAATCTTTTAACACATATTTGCTTATATTTTAATATTTTAAGCATTTATCTGCTAGTTGTTTAAATCTATAAGAAAAATACTAGAAAAAATTCAACGCGAACCAGGCAGCAGATGAGACCCTTTGCTATCCAAGCAAATGAACTGACCATTATGCTACCGCGGCCTTGATGACCGTAGGTACGAGCCCATGTCTGTCTGCCTTCATATAGTTGAATCTCAGTGTACGCACCAGCGGCGGTGTCTAGGGGCGCGGTCATGCCGGCGATGTGCAGCTGTAGGTCGCCCAGGAGCAGAGAGTCGTCGCGGCCGCTGCGCAGTAGGTACGAGCCCATGTCCGTTTGCAGGTAGCTGCGGCACGCTGTCACCCACGCCTGCAGCTCCAACATCGACACCGCGCTCGCACCCGCTGGCGGTGCTGACGATGCCTGCGGATACGCGTAACTCCATTATTAACTGTTCAGTGGAACATCGCTTGGTCAGGATAACTTATATCATTGATAGAAGAAAAGTTTAAAAATATACATAGAGTGCAAATTTTTATTGTTTGAAATTATCTTAATATGTAAAAAATATTATTCATATACAAATTGAAAATGAAATTGAAACGTTTTTATCAATTCAAAATAAAAATTGATACTTCGTAAAAAGTTAAAATAAAAATAAGAAAATTGGGCAGAAATTTAAGAAAACTGATGTTAATTTTTCAACTCCCATCGAATTTTTAGGATTTTCATTAAATTTTATCGGGCAGGAAAAAGTCTGTCGTATCGTCCCGCTAGTTAATGCTATTTTGAACCAGAAATATGACAGTTGCACAAACTAATCAAACTATTGATAAAATCTCGATAACTTTACAATTTGGCTTTTATTTGCTAAAAATAATCCTTATTGCCTTTAAGTAATTTAAGAATTCAGATGAATCGCATACCTGCAACGCATGTATCGAGTCAATCCACTGCGTGCGTTCATATTCGGAGCTGAGGAAGAATACGTGCTGCCTATGTAGAGCCGTAGAGCCGGGCGCACGAGCCCCCACTCTGAACACGAGATTAGGAGACGCTAGAACTAACTGCCCTTCCAATTCGGCGAGCTTCTTGCGATTCTTCTCTGCCCCACCGCGACCTCCAATCCGAATTTTCTAAAAATATCGAATAACGATAAGTTGAGCTGTTCTTATTCTTGAAGTAATAATAATACCCCAAAAATTATAAACAAAGCACACGAATTTGTAAACTACAACCATAAACATGAAACAATGTAAAAAAAAATAGGTAAAAAAACTTTTTAAGTTAAACGGTTTTATGTTAAACATACATTGCAATGTTTAAGATAAATGTACTAGAAACCAAAAAATAATAAAATAGATACAGTCGTGGGAATTATAAACATATGCATAGACTAGACTAAAATAAAACCGTGGGGCACGTCAATTGTCTACAAATTATCGACTTAATGTGCGATAGAAGAATAGTTTAATTCGTCGTTAGGCAGTTGGCCCGCAGACGGTGAGGAAATTACTATTTTCTTGCTCATGGAAATTCCAATAGTTATACACTCCATGTAAATAAAAGAGATGTTTCAACTAGTTTATCGTTGGACATTCACACTGCTGGCTGGCGAGGAATCGTTTACTACGAGCAGTGCGTAGTTTGTCTTTAATCGACAAAACATATGATAAAAGTACTACTCGCTCACCACTATGAAACCCTAAAACTCGCTTATAATCGAGCTTGCTAGCTTGTTTCCACATTCTAGCCCTACTTATCACACGTCCATCGTTGTCGGTTGAACAACTGCCTAATTATAGTGTAACATTAAAAAACAAACATTTTAATCAACGATTGTAGACAATTGACGCGCCCCACGGTTTTATTTTAGTCTAGTCTATGCATATGTTTATAATTCCCACAACTGTATCTATTTTATTATTTTTTGGTTTTTAGTACATTTATCTTAAACATTGCAATGTATGTTTAACATAAAACCGTTTAACTTAAAAAGTTTTTTTACCTATTTTTTATTATACGCCATTTAGTGGCTGCGCCCATCTTAAATATTGAGGTTGTATAGTGCACTGTATTCTTCTTGTCAAGCCCTTTTATTTGATACCCATATTGGTGGGATTGATAAAAAATTGTTATCAGCCATTTGGTAGCGGCGGCCATCTTAGATTTCAATAAATAGTATAATAAATTGTATTCATATAGCATAATAAATTGTATTCTACTTGTTGAGACCTTTCATTTCATACCCATATTGATGGGATTGATAAAACCTACGTTATCCGCCATTTTGTAGCGGCCGCCATCTTGGATTTCAATTTTTTATAGTATATTGTATTCTGCTTATTGAGCCCTTTCATTTGATACCCATATTGATGGGATTGATAAAACCTACGTTATCCGCCATTTTGTAGCGGCCGCAACTTGGATTTCAAATTTTTATAGTATATTGTATTCTGCTTGTTGAGCCCTTTCATTTGATACCCATATTGATGGGATTTATTAAACATAAATTATCCGCCATTTTGTAGCGGCGGCCATCTTGAATTTATAATGATAATGAATAAACATAATTGTATTGTCACCAAAATCCAAAGTGTATACAACATTTCAGATTAATCGGTTGACAGGAAGAGGGTGAAATTTGAATTACTAAATTTGACCCAAGAATAAAACAAACGGGGTGAGCTAAATAAAACCGTTTAAAAAACATTTAAGCTTGACATTAATAAAAAAGAATATCCAAACAACGTTGGTCTTAATTCTACAACTAGAATGTTATCTTCAAAAAAGTTTTGTATGACTTTTTTTGTGGAATGTTAAGCATACTTTTGAGGATAACGTTCTAGTTATTTATGTTATGTTCAATTTCATCGGTTCATAGATTAAACTAGACTATTGTGTGGTTATCTTATCTTTATCTTATACTTTTCATTTAATCACTTTTAACAACTTACTTTGTCATCGTGCGAAGCGCGCTCCTCAGCCAATATCTGGTCTCGCACAGTAGAAGCTTGCGATTTGAGTGCCACAATGTTAGCGGGTGAGGTTTCTCGCATGTCATTCGAGTTTACAGCTGCCGACTCCTCTTCCACCACAACAATATCAGGAAGGGGGATGAACCACTTGAGCTCGAATGTAAACTTGTCACGACCGGAAGCCTAGTGATTTATAAATCGACATTTCAATTTTGCTTTTTGTTTCTGCCATGTCTAATAAAAAGGTAATATATAAGGTCACACAATAAATGTGGCGTGACGTGTCTACTTCGAGTGCGACGAGTATTGCATTGTTTACAAAATATAAAATAGAAAAAATCTATTGGGTTAGAAACTTCTGATGCAGTCACCACTGTTTTTGATGGTGGAGCGACCCACTCATTATCCAATACAGTAAGAAAGAAAAAGTCTCGTTTAACCCATTTACGGGTTTGTGGCCTCACCGAGATGAGGACGAGACTTCCCCTCATCTGTAACTATCGGAAAGTAGATTATTGTGTGTTGTATCTTTTGGAGGAGACGCTTTGATTTTTACATACTGAAATGAAGTCACAACTTGAATCGATTCATTACCGAACAAAAAAAAATATATAGTCAAAACATTAAATCACAATTCGAAAAAAGGACCGTCTTCTTAATATAAAGGGTGACAGAAAGCACTTTACAATCATAATGTAGATGTTAATAACCTTCAACGAAAACTTCTTTTTTGTTTTGTTTTCGAATCAGGGGGCACATAAGGAACCAAATTAAATAATAGTTGTGGGCATATATGGGTTAATAAAGTGCTTTTATTAAAAACTCACCTTGTATTTGGCACATGCGATAACATCATTGAACAGAAAAAGATGCCTTAATTTCCTGTGACCGTCTGATAGCTCTACTATAAACGAATTTTTAACAAGTCTTCTTTGTGCTCGGTCAGCATTCTACAAAAACAAATGAAGGCTATTAGAAAGTGATCAATAATGGCTCAATTACATTTGGTTGATAGCCCGTATTCGGGAACGCGAAAGAAATTACTCGAATTCGGGCACCCGAACAAAATTTACACTGGAAAACGGACTGGAAGACGGTGTCGGGTAACTAAAACTACCCGAATACCAAGCGTAATCGAGCTATTAAGTATGTTAAAACAATCCATTGCAAAAAAAAAAACAGGCACGTTTGTATTATTTTGTAAAATAATATGCTTAAAGTTCTGTTTTTTTCTTCAAAAATTCTTTATAGGATTGACTTCTGTTTGATTACTATACTACTTCTATACAGTAAGTAAGTTTCGTTTATGTCCCCAAGACTAACGGTTAGTTGACAGCTGCAATTAAGCTTGAATTGTACATTGATTAAGATTATTATTTTTTGATGAATCATTCTGACCTGTGAGACATCAAGTGTAGACCTAAAAACCCTGAAGAAGTAAGAGGAATAGAAGTAACTAGCAATCCAGTGAACCAAATGTTCACAAAAAAAAAATGTATTTAATTAATTGAGAACTTCGGACATTTTGTATGGTTTCGTTTGGAATAGAAATCACGTGATTTCTCGATAACCGGAAATGCTACGTTACTCACATCCGGTTTGTAGTCTTATCAGACTATTCTTAACTTATAACTTAAACATTCTCTATATCTATCTCTTACGGTTTGGCCGCTGAAACAGCACCACGGACGGACGGACGGACTTGTCTATTAGATAAGAGATCATGTCCCAGGGCTCTAAATTACTCAATCAAGTGGACAGTATACAAGGTGTAAAAAAGACATTCGACATATCAACATAGCCGAAAACCATGTATTCTACCTATCATCAGGATATTTTTTGTCTTGTAAACTATATTTGGGAAATAAATAGTTATAAAGCTATTGTTTTTCTTTTACTAAAAAATATAGCTTCATTGAAGGTCAAAGTAAAAAAAAGAGATTATAAGATTATTTCTTAATTACTGTCTAAAGAAACATTATTAAAATTTTAAGTATATCGTAACAAAAACTCGCTTTCAAAAGTCAGTACTCAATGTATGTCGACTGTAAGCGCCCACTAAAGTTGCCTTCGAACGATTCAACTTATCGCAGTACGCCGCGCAAGTCACGGGCTGTTACGCGTTATACTGCATGGTACTGTTTGTAATATATTTTTATCACCAAAAAATAAAAATGGTTTCCCAGCAAATATTGCTTTTCTAAGTTTCTAATTTTGATGAAAATAGAATGCGTAGGCTTCGGCTTTGTCGAAGGTCTTTTTACACTCTGTATAATATCTACTTGATTGAGTAATTTAGGGCCCTGGGACGTGGTAACTGATGCTGATCGGCAGGTAAAAGCCTCTTCGTGACTGGCCACAAGATTACTTCTATTCCTCTTACTTCTTCGGGGTTTTTAGGTCTACACTTGATGCCTCACAGGTCTGATTGATTTACCAGAATACAATAATCTTAATAAAAGTACAATTCAAGCTTAATTGCAGCTGTCAACTAAGCGTAAGTCTTGGGGAAATAAACGAAACTTAGGTGTGAGTGGGGTGTTCACCTGACTATATCTTCGCGTAGTTGCGCTCGCTACTTACTTCATTACTGCCATAGTTCGAATCGCATTTTGCTTCAAAAGTAATATCTTTAACTACCTTGACAATAGGGAATATGCATGTTATACAGATAAGGCTAATTTCTTTATATAAACTCTATTATTTTTGTATTGTCCCTCCATTAATATTTTTTAATAAATGTGCAAAAACTTGGGGGAAATTCAAATATCTGAAATGCACAGAGCGTTTGTGACGCAGAAATACATAACAAATCAACAAACAAGCGAATCAGCAAATGTTCACAGGATATATCAAAGTCGTAGTGCAAATGCGTAGTGCCCGCACTGTACCTCCTAATCCATACTGTGGACTTGTTTCTTTTGTTGCTAATTGTTATAGATTGTAACACCACACCAAGGGTTCCAAATAAGCAAGCGTTAAAAATGTCTAAAAACTTATTTTTAGACACATTACGGCCGACGTTGTATAATTTTATATTATATTAAGGGAATGTAAACTATGAAATAAAAATATAAAAAAAACCTCTACGCGTTCATGAGAAAAGAGGTAGTAACTTTAAAATTTTCAAAAATATTTTTTATTATATGATGTAACTAAAACTTTACGGTTTTCGCATTTTTCCTTTATATGTACTATAAGACGTCTTCGTACCAAATTTCAAGATTATAAGTTCACGGGAAGTACCCTGTAGGTTTTGATTCCCGTGAGTTTCGAAAATTTGCGGCATAAACGGCTGTATCTTTTGATTGCTTTGACTTAGACGTTTGATTTTTTTCACAGCTCCAAGGGACAGTAGACATGAGTTTTAGATATGAATTTCAGTTTAATACCTCCACGCGTTCCTGAGAAAAACGGTCTTGACAGTCGGACGGACGGACGGACTGACAACAAAGTGATCCTATAAAGGTTCCTTTTTTCCTTTTGAGTTACGGAACCCTAAAAAAACCATGCATATTCCCTGATGTATTATACTTTTTAATATTCATACAAGATTAAGAAATAGAAATCAAGGTTCCCGTTTTTATTAATAGTCCAGTCAATGTAGGCTTAACTTTGCCATTTTGAGTTGATCACCTGCAACCAACGCGAAAATTTCCGCAAGGGTTCGTAGATTAATATACTAAAATTGCAGGGTGCTGCATTGACGGCAAAGGGTGAAAAAAAAATACGAAATGGTGCAAAAACGAGTTTTTCGTTAATATCTCGTAGTCCAGTCAACAAGTTCAAAAACGTGAAAAATAGAGATAAAGCTCCTGAAAATATGAGCAATAGCTCATTGGATTCGGAACGACCTCTAGAAAAATGAGTTTTGAGGATTTTACTGCACGTAAAAAATTGCAATTGTTATTAACAAAATAAGATGAAAAAAAAGAGGTATTTACGTTTTTGTTAATAACTCATAAACTATTAATATTTACGATATTTGGAAAAAAGGTCCTTAAAGAGGAGGAAATTTACGAAAAAAAAGTCCCAGCTCCCGGAACTCTACCTCTATTATTTATAATTTTAATTTAACGCTGAAAATAGGGCTCCGCGCAGCCATTACGGCATGGGCGCACTGCCGTTAAAGACAGTTTCTTACATAAAATTATTTTTTTATAGTAACAAATATGAATTTAAAAATTTAAATAAATTATGGTGTCATCCAGATACTTGAAAGAATATATTCCCGTTGGAAAAAAAAATTTAAATTAATTTTTCAAAAAGTTATGCAATTGTTAATTAACGAATTTTTTTCCTATCTCCGTTTTCATAAATGACGACATAAAAATTTAAATAATAAACCTATAAATTTTTGGCTCTGTGGAGCTCTTCTTATATATATACTTAACAAGATCCCGCGATAAAAGTTTATTAAAGTTAATTATTTTGTTTATAACAATTTTTTAAAGTTAAAAAAAAATGAAAAGTCTAAGAAATGTTATTAAAAAAATTTTTTTAAACAAATGTTATATTATTGCTGCTTTCTTATCCAACAATGGCATTAAGTAACATCGGAAAAAAAAAATTTAAATCATTTGTTAAGAAATTGTTTATAAACAAATAGACAAGTTTAATATTTAAAGAAATTTTTTTTTACCATTATGTTGTCTTGGCAAAATAATGATTTTTAAAAAAAAAAATTTTTCTTAAATAAATTTTTTTATTGTTTATAATCGTTTTTTTTATATTTCGATTGTTTAAATAATTAGTTAAGGAATGATTTTCTCTTTAAAAATCATAATTGGCATTTCTTCATAGGTAAATAGAAAAAAAAAAAATTTTATCAATAATTTCATTGTTTGTTAACTTAACAATTTGTTATAAACAAATTCTAACTACCGTTATATTTTTTTTCTAGAGCTAAAAAAAATAGCAAAAACAGCCATATATATCAAAATACTAAAAAAAATATTTTTCTATTTTTATAACGCTTTTAAATATTACACGATACCAAAGTTGCACCGGACACTTCATTTGTCAATAAAAATTAAAATAACTTATAAACTATTCGAGATACGACAATGGACATTCAGGTCGTTTTTATAAAGCATTAATTAATCTTCAAAATAAGCTAAAAACCAAGTTTGTAACTATTGTTTATCAGCTAATACATGCATTTGTTTATAAAATTTTGAGAATTCTTTAACTTTTTCGTATCTCTTATGACTTACAACTTAATAAATAATTAAAATACAGCTATAAACCTTAAAACAATTTTGTTTAGCGATACATTATCTCCCAAATTATTAACTCGATGTTAAATTGAACACGAGTTAAATAAATATTTATTAAATCACGTATATTGTTTAAACAATTAGAGATGGAGGTACGATTAATTGATAATTTGGAAGATAATGTATCGCTAAACAAAATTGTTTTAAGGTTCATAGCTGTATTTTAATTATTTATTAAGTTGTAAGTCATAAGAGATACGAAAAAGTTAAAGAATTCTCAAAATTTTATAAACAAATGCATGTATTAGCTGATAAACAATAGTTACAAACTTGGTTTTTAGCTTATTTTGAAGATTAATTAATGCTTTATAAAAACGACCTGAATGTCCATTGTCGTATCTCGAATAGTTTATAAGTTATATTAATTTTTTACTTGACAAATCAAGTGTCCGGTTCAACTTTGGTATCGTGTAATATTTAAAAGCGTTATAAAAAATAGAAAAATATTTTTTTTAGTATTTTGATATATATGGCTGTTTTTGCTATTTTTTTTAGCTGTAGAAAAAAAATATAACGGTAGTTAGAATTTGTTTATAACAAATTGTTAAGTTAACAAACAATGAAATTATTGATAAAAAAAAATTTTTTTTCTATTTACCTATGAAGAAATGCCAATTATGATTTTTAAAGAGAAAATCATTCCTTAACTAATTATTTAAACAATCGAAATA